TCAATGGAGTTGTGGTAAGCCTCATACCACTTGGCCGGGGCATCTCCTTCCATCAGGTTACCAGCATATCGGATCCTAACTTCTTCGGAGGTAAAGAACTGGCTTTCAATGGAGAAGACATTCTCACATTGCCTGATGAAGGTCTTCACATTGTTTGCTTTGCCATTGAACTTGGCCTGAGGGTGTGCCTTTGATTCTCGGGCTCTGGAGGCAGCGGAGGGGTGTGAGGGGGCCGGAGGTCTCATGAACTGTGTCATGGAGGCCAGGAGCTCTCTCTGCTGCTTCTCCAGTATCTTCCTGAGGTATCTCCGCCATCCTCTTCTATCTCCATACTCAGGCTCCGAATCCGAACTATCTGAGTCCCCTCCCGGGTTGGGATCAACACCAACCGGGGGGACTATTCCATTTCGTCCACCATTACCCGCTGGTTCTGGGTTCTGGTTTTCTCCACCGGGGGTTTCCCTCCGGCTGGAGGTTTCCCCCCGGCTGGAGGTTTCCCCCCGGCTGGAGGTTCCTCCTGGGAGACTTCGCTCATTGAAGCCTGACACAATGGCACCTAACTCCTTGTCGTGAACGTCATAATTCCGTTCGGCTTGTGACATCATTTTGCAGTAAAAGACTCCTGGATACCACTTGTTGTCATCTCGGTGGAATTGGGACGGTATGCTAGATTTAGCGAAGTTGGAGGCATCGGTCTCAATCTAGGTAGCTAGCTCGGCATCAAAGTGGGCTAGTACGGGGGCGGATGGAAGGCCTCTTTCAGGACTTCGAACGCATGCTCCTATCCCTCAGACCAGGTAAACTCGGTGTCCTTGTCTCCTTCCACGGTTAGTGCCGGGTTCGGTTAAAACCGGACCGAACTCCTGCTTCGGCTAACCACGCTGATTCTCGGAACTGGAATAGGAGTTCGCTTATAAAAGCGGGGTATCCGTCGAACTAAGGAGGGTAAGAATTCTTTTCCTTCTATTCATTCTACACTCCAGGGAGTTCGATCTTTCCACACCCAACAACCAAATTTATCACCTCCTTTCAGCAATAATGTTTTTCTTTATTCTATTCCTCTCTTTGTTCATTGCGATCAATTCGTCTATTGTACAAGCGTTTTTATCTAACGCTAGTCGATCTCGGCGGGGGACAAGGCTTAGATCCTCAACTGGTGCGGTTGTTACTGATCTCCTGGAGCTGGATGGTGGTAACACCATCTACGCTCGGAGAGTTGCTCGTAAAGCCGTCCGATCACGGAGTGCTATGAGGTAGGCATGATCCAGCGAGTTGTGTAACCTCTTCTTACTACCGCTAATGCTTCCACAGGCATGCTGTTCCTCGGGGTTTGGAGACCTCGACCTTCGATGGCCATTTCAACCAGGTCCCATTTCTGACTCGGGAGGATTACCGTCGTCCTTATCCCTTCTCCCAACCAGGGGACAGAAGTGTTGGTCAGGCTCGTGTCCGTGCGGCACTGATGGAGAAACGGGAACAGGTGCGGTGGATGCGGGATGAGATTGCGCGAGATGGAAGGGGAGCTGAGTGGATGCGGCAGCGAGTGGTCCAAGAAGAGGCAAGGGAGAGACAAAGACTGGCTCTCCAAGCATATTACGAGGCATGGTGGCGCCAGAAGAAAGCCAGTTATCCCCCTCTTCCGGACTCTTCCTGCCGTCATCGTGGACGAAGTAACGTTGACTTTGGTTGGGACTGGGGCCCAGATGGGGAATGGGGCCGTTGGTCAATGGGACTATCAGGATTTTCTAGGAGCGATCCTGAATGTGGTCTCCTTTCCGAGCGAAGCTGGGCGCTATAACCCTTTGAGCGAATGTGGGCGCTATAACCCTTTGAGCGAATGTGGGCGCTGTAACCCTCTGACGGATACAGTGGAGACCATAGTAAAGTGTTAGCCTCTCCCATGCCAGCCTGAGCTGAAAAAAAAAACAAGCTAACTGCTCGGTTATTTCAGCCTTGAAAGTGGTCCTAGGTGTTCAGGTAGGTTTTTTTTTCTTTCTCGTGGGGTTCTTTAAGCGAGGAGCTTAAAGTTATACTGTAACGGGGGTGCCTTGAAAGGGCGCGACCGTGACTTCGATCAGGTAGATAGGCAGAAAGGAATTCGACAAGCTATCCTTTCGGCTCGTTCGATGGAAAGATAGAGTTTCATTTGTTTGATCGTTATTTGTAGTCTAGAAACTTAATAACTTTAAGGGGGCTCCTCGCTGGTAAAGACTCGCTGATCCCCCCGAAACCAAGCTGGGGCAACCGAGTTCCTTTATGGAAGTTCGGCGCCCCTTCCTTCATTCCCTCTTTCCTTTTTTCACTGGCCGTCCGCCTTTCAAATAATCTGGGGGCACTACCTATTTTCTATCAGGGGGGAGGAGAAGAGTTGCTACCACACCGCGGACGAATTATCGTCCGAGTCAAATCTCGCAATCCTTGCCAAGAAAGGGTCGGGATCCTAGGAACTAGAGGAAACAGCCGACCAGACAGCAATTGCTTATTCACAGTATTTAGAATAGATTTGGGTGTTTTTAAAGCAAAGGTTTGCTTTGGTAGTTTGGGTCGCACTCTTACTCCCCCCCCAAAGATGCACCGGGCTGAAAGAGGAGGGTTCCTGTAACAGGGCCACAGTAGGGCTGTTACAAAAATACCTGTTCTACCAGTCAAGCCATACGGCCCTAGGTTAACCGCAGCTGGTTCTTCATCGATGGGTGAAGAGAAGGGCAGATGAGCCCCTACCTCTATTGGTATAGAGGGTAGAGATCCTGGCGAGCAAGAAGTCTTACAAGTCAAGCTAGACGACTGGACCAAAACTAGAGCAGCAGGACGAGCAGACCAAATAAGGAAGGGTAACCCCAAACATAAGTTACCCTACCTTGGCATTCAACCTTTGAGGCGCAATAACTTTGCAGCCGATGCCCGGAAAATATGCTTTACCACGTCAGAAAGGATCCTGGCGATGCTCCGGTCCATTTGGGGTGGTTGAATGAACGCATTGCGGAGTTGAGGAAACACTGCAAAATAAACACGTTTTAGACCCCCAAAAATAACCCCCGGAGCGTCGAACCGCCGGAACCCTCCTGTTTCAGCCCGGTGCATCTTTGGGGGGGAGTAAGAGTGCGACCCAAACTACCAAAGCAAACCTTTGCTTTAAAAACACCCAAATCTATTCTAAATACACTGAATAAGCAATTGCTGTCTGGTCGGCTGTTTCCTCTAGTTCCTAGGATCCCGACCCTTTCTTGGCAAGGATTGCGAGATTTGACTCGGACGAAAATTCGTCCGTGGTGTGGTAGCAACTCTTCTCCTCCCCCCTGATAGAAAATAGGTGGTGCCCCCAGATTATTTGAAAGGCGGACGGCCAGTGAAAAAAGGAAAGAGGTAATGAAGGAAGGGGCGCCGAACTTCCATAAAGGAACTCGGTTGCCCCAGCTTGGTTTCGGGGGGATCAGCGAGTCTTTACCAGCGAGGAGCCCCCTTAAAGTTATTAAGTTTCTAGACTACAAATAACGATCAAACAAATGAAACTCTATCTTTCCATCGAACGAGCCGAAAGGATAGCTTGTCGAATTCCTTTCTGCCTATCTACCTGATCGAAGTCACGGTCGCGCCCTTTCAAGGCACCCCCGTTACAGTTCCGGCGGTTCGATGCTCCGGGGGTTATTTTTGGGGGTCTAAAACGTGTTTATTTTGCAGTGTTTCCTCAACTCCGCAATGCGTTCATTCAACCACCCCAAATGGACCGGAGCATCGCCAGGATCCTTTCTGACGTGGTAAAGCATATTTTCCGGGCATCGGCTGCAAAGTTATTGCGCCTCAAAGGTTGAATGCCAAGGTAGGGTAACTTATGTTTGGGGTTACCCTTCCTTATTTGGTCTGCTCGTCCTGCTGCTCTAGTTTTGGTCCAGTCGTCTAGCTTGACTTGTAAGACTTCTTGCTCGCCAGGATCTCTACCCTCTATACCAATAGAGGTAGGGGCTCATCTGCCCTTCTCTTCACCCATCGATGAAGAACCAGCTGCGGTTAACCTAGGGCCGTATGGCTTGACTGGTAGAACAGGTATTTTTGTAACAGCCCTACTGTGGCCCTGTTACACCACCCACAGAACATACTCACACACCCAACTCCTCAAAGGTCTCCCCAACTCCCCCAAGAAATGGAACTCGACTGCCATAAAAGGCGTCGCCCACCTACCCATCGAACTCCTCGCATCTCTCCCCCTCCCCCTGATAGAAGGAGGCATCGCCCCAGCACGAATGAACCTCCACGCAAAAACACAACTCCTCACCAACTGGCAATACTTCTACCCACACCCTGAGTACTACCTGTTACAGGAACTACGGAACACTGTTCTAAGGGCTTAGAACAGTGAGGAATACGAGTGACGGGTTGTGATTCGAGGACAGTCGGGTAACGGAAGAACAAGCATAGAAAGATATCGGGTAGTGTGGGGGCACGCGGTGTTACAACACTAGTCCCATACTATTATGGCGGCACGCTTACTATTGGGTGTCTCACCCGGAATAGAATAGTAAGCGGGGTGTACGGCTGTAGGCTGTTCTACTTAGGGAAGTAGGTCTAGGATAATAGTATGGTACAGCCCGATGACTGGCAATTGCAAGGTTCATGATTACGCGTCGGAATTAGAATGGAGGACGGAACTATGCGGGGGCGCTTTTCTATCTGGGTTATCTTCGGGAGCATTATCTTATTCTATTATCGTTGTATCAGTTAGTATTAGAAAGCGGGCCTTGGCATAGGTTCCAACATGTATAAATAGGGCTTGATTCTGCGAAGACTTGAGGGTATATAAACCATCAAGTCAAGGGAATCCGGTTTACAATATCATCAGTTTAAACGCTACAGAATTATCGCTTAGCACTGGCCATTTCCCCAAACACTACCCCCACCCACTCTCCACCACCCCACTACCCTTCAACGACCTTCACAAATTCATCGCAACCCGCATCCACCAGTTCAGGTCAGGAAAGAGCTACCTTCGAGCCCAAAAAACCTGGATGACCGCTCACCTCCCCTCAAAATGCGAACGCTGCAACGCAGCAGAAGAAACACCAGAACATGTCATCCTCCACTGCCCGGCGCTCGCCCCAAACAGACACGGCCCGCTCCAGACTATCACATCACAAAACGATATCTGGAATGACCAGAACCTCACCATAGCTCTAGGTGCCTTCATAGCAGTCAAGAAAGTTGGCTACCCCAGAAGCGCCCCCCCCCTCACCACTGGCCACAGGCTCAACGACCATGTCGACCCTCACATCGATCCCACCACATCCTCCTCATACCCGCTAGTGGGGCCTATCCCCACAATCTACGCCTCATAAGAAAGACCCACATTAGGCACATGGGCTCGGCCCACAAAACCTTTTCTTTGTCCCGCGCTGCTTCGCTTGTCTTCCTTTGTATATTTTTTCAATTTGTTTGCAATATCTTTCCTTAGGGGGACGTGTTTAAGAAAGGTTGGGGTTAGGTTTCCTTACGCCATAGTTTATACTGCATGCGACCATTCTGTACCTAGAAACTAGAAATGAAATGACTACACACACACATAGTACCAAAAATAAACGTGTACGCACTTCATTATATATTACTCGATGTCTTACTTTCAATGAAACACGCCGCATATTTTTGTTTGTTTGTTTAATTCATTAATCACATAATGACGCAGTATCCGTCGTATCGCTTGAAGTATCCCGTGAAGACGACGAAAGTATCTGTTTTCTTTTAATTACATATACATACATAAAGTATATACTAGGTAGTCCTGTCATGAACGAATCAGATGTGGTGATGGTAGAGCAATATCTAGGTCTAGATAAAAATAATTAATGGCTAACATGATAAAGATAATTATAAGTACCTTCTCACTATGTTCACCCCTAAGACAGCCACTGCGTGTTTTCAAATACAGTAAGAGATTCTTTTGCCATCTATGATCATTGCCTCCAGGACCTGGCTTTATCAGGTTTTATCGAATATAATAATTATAATCAGGTGCACACTTTCAAAATGGTACTTTCACAAGTGAGGGATATTAAGAAAGCTTGTTCTTGCGTAATATTTTACTTCATAGAACGTATTTAGGATCCTTATATACGTCAAACCCATGATCAGGAGTCACTAACGAAAAGGATTAAGATTTTCCTAAACCGGTCCTTAATCTATTTCCAACTTCATCCGCGCCAGTCCCGTTCTATATTTTTCCGTGACTTTAACATGTATGGATCACTGATTGATTGATTGATAGATTGATAGATTGATTGATTGATCTTGATTGATATCTTTTAGGCATACATTTTAAGTGGGTCTACTTAATCTAAAGTTTCCCTACTCGGTGAGACTCAGATCTTTCATACCCATCGATCCCTTTCTCAAAGTCGAACCCTAATTCCTCCAACTTGCGCACAACTACACCTTGCTTTTTCCTCTCCAGATAGGCGTTTTTAATTCGATGGGTTCTAGCTCTAACCCATCTTTCCCTTTCTCCCCACTTTGGCGCCTTAAATCCAATCTCGGTATTTCCTTCGCCTTTGGCTTGTTGACACATGTATCCTAAAAGATCGAGGTAGTCCGCATCTCTGGGAAAGTCCATGTAATGAAAATGTTTTCCATCTCCCTTTTCGGCAATCTCCCGCAGCTCCCAGTGTTTCATTTCAGCCATAGAAGGTAGGATAATCCGACTGGCCCAAACTCTTGCAACTAATGCTGCTGCTGCCTGAGCTAGTTGAAAGGGGATCACCTTTACTGGGAGCCCGATAATACTAAGTGTTGGGTCTGGGATGTAAAAAATATGCTGGTATAGATTATGAACACGGGATCCATTCACTATTAGTGGGTCCTTTGTTTCGTTTAGTGATGAGAGGAAAGGAAGTGAATGAAGATATCCCCTTGCAAGTTGAGTATAGATTAGTATCATATGTTATGAAGCGAAAGATCACCATCTTACGTGCAATATAATATATGGTCCACATTTTTTTCTATTCTCCCGTCGCAGAATTCTACAGATCTCTCGGGAATTGAGAAAGACTGGATCTCTGGTAACTTGCAAATCGCATCTTGAGTGTCACCCGCAAAGAGACCTGACTCCCCCCGGCATGATTGAAGGATGGGAGACTGGCTAAATCGACTTATCTGAGCAGCTATGTCGAGACCGCTTGCAGAGTTTCCTACTATAACTACTTTCTATTTCATTCAGTAAATCTTTGAAGTCATACTGAACTATAGTAGTAACTAGTCAAAGGGTACACTACCTTCCCAATATAAGAGTTGGCCTTCCTAAAATTCTTCGAATGCGAAATTGAACCTGGATATGCCTTTGTCCATTCATCTAGGCCGGGCACAGATGGTATATAAGGAATGTTATAATGTCCTACAGTTATGATTATAGCGTCATAATAACGCTTTCCTTGTAATTGACCAGTCTGTGGATCGTTTACCAAAACTTCCCATTTCGTTCCTTTCTTTCGACAATCTACCACTTTAGCGTTGAAAGTGATAAGGTGCTGGACGTCCTTGCCATATTCTTCGATGTATTCCTTCACAGCGGTATGAGGAGGAAATAGAGGCAAGTTGGCGGGAAATGGGTGCGTATCAAAATTCATCAACTGCTTGGGAATATTGGTTTCTGCAGATAGAGGTATTGTGGCCAGACATATGCTCAGCCTACATCGCCTCTCTAGTCGAGAGATGGAATTGAGAGCGCATACCCAAGTCGTCGTACATTGCCGAGATAAACACAGGCTTTCCCGCGCTGATTACCGCCTCCTCGACAATACTAGGATCAGTAGAAGGAACTGATACATTGGCAGTCTCTCTGGTGTAGTTCCAAACTCCTCCCGTCTCCATCCGTTGCTCGAGTATCTCAATAGATTGGAAGCATTTTTCCGCAATAAGAGCTTTTGCTGAAGAGAGTCCTGACGCCCCTGCACCAATAATTCCTATATGTTGAAGCTGCTGATAGCTCATCGCTGGCTTGATAATATCGACTTTTTACACCGCGCGATGTGGGTATTCTACAGTTCCAGTGTTAATGTACGGAGTGAGACATTAACCGATATGTGAGACGCTGCGCGTCAAACCTGGTGGGGTAATTACAGGTATCAATGGTGCCGATCTAAATGTAGTACAAAAGTACATGTACCTACTTCGATCTTCGAACAATACCACGGCCGACTAATGAAGCAGGCAATTGCATTTTTGTATATATATACCCCACTGTTGTTCTCCACTGAGAGAGTACATATAGCAATACTAGAATCATCTATATGTAAGTAATTACATATGTACTGTACTCTACCTAGATTCTAGGATAGCACTATCGAAGGGTTAGGGTTGTGATGGTTTGAAAGTTCACTTTCCACTACCTATCTAGGATATATATATGTACACCTAGAGTAGATAATCGGAATTAAGACCCGAGTTGCAATTAACCCAGCAACATTAGCAAGAAAAAAGTATGAGGGGCTCCTCATTGATCTGCAGTTCTTGTTCACGAGCAGTTGGAACTCGGTCACTCAATCGTTCAATCCGCCAATGGTCCTTACTTTCACCGCACACCCGAGTTCAACATCTTGTCCAAACCGCACCACGTTCTTTTCGCTCTCCGTCAACCTTACCTGAAAATGGTACACGGTCAAGCCAGATACTTACTGGAGAGAGTCTTCGTTCCCTTGCGTCCTTGGAGGAGAGAATCCAGAAAGCACTTCACAGTACGAAATCTTCACCGACCGAGTCGGACGTCCTTTTGGCACTGCAGGCATGCAAAAGTTATGCCGGCTTTCGACTACAAGGTTCGGCGCAAAGCTCTGCGGCTAGTACCCCTACATCCGTTTTACTGTCACTTGACGAGTGTCAACCGGCGGAGCCGGTGAACCATTCTCCATCCTCGCGGGGAGCATCTGAGCAGCAGACTCTTGGATCAACGGTAAACGCAACAGGGTCGGGTGCTATCATTTCCTCCAAACCAAGCTCTCTAAAAAGTCTTCAATCGCTCACGGGTCTGGCCTACAAGATTATATCTCACCCGGATGTCTTTATCACCCCTTCAATCCTTGCATCCTACGTCTCGCTCCAGGCTCTAATCCGCGATCCGTCACCGATACCGGCTGTGTTTTCTCTTTACGCCAACAAATCATACACACCTCCAGGCTCATCCAAACCCCGGCAGCCCAATCCCAACCAGATCAAATACGCAATCCCAAGTCATATCGCATCTGCCGCACTTGACGTAGCTATTGAGTCGAGAGATATGTCGATCTGTCTTGATATCATTGACACCTCGTATGGCGCTCCGGCTTTCATGAAAGCTAAATTGGTCCGGAGAGCTGCCCCAGCAGCTGTAGCAGGCTGCCTAGCTCCTTTTGCTATATACGCCCTCGCAGATACCATGGCTGGGTACCAGGATGAAGTTGATCACTCGCTCGCTTTAAAATATGCGTTCTCTGGCTTATTGGCATACGTTGGTTTTACCGGAAGCATTGGGATGGTTGCTTTGATGACTTCGAACGATCAGATGGTGAGAGTTACATGGATAGTTGGAACACCTTTGAGATACAGGTGGTTAAGAGAGGAGGAGAGAGAGGCGCTAGATAAGGTTGCCCAGGCATGGGGCTTTTCAGAGCCTAATAAATGGGGATTCGAAGAGGGCGACGAGTGGGAGCTTCTTCGAGCAGTGGTTAATCGAAAGGGAATGTACTTAGATAACCCAGCACTAATGGAAGGTATGGAATAGATGTGGCTTGTATGTATGCTCAGTATCTGGAGATATGTATTTCTGGATTCTCGATCATGGTCGCATACTTAAATATCAGCTCAATCAATGTTGGATGGAAATTAGGGACTTCGTGGAAGAAATTATGAGTTTGTTCCACAGATTTACGTGGGTATATACATGCACGGTACTGGCCACATGCCGGATAGGTTTCGCAATATACGTGTTTATAACAGGGCCTTGTCTACATTCATACATTTATTTAGTTCAATATAAGTACATAAAACAAGCACTTAGTATAGAAAAGAAGCACTAGAAGGTGAATTATATTAACAATCACGTGAGGCGTGGCATAATACTTTCACGCAAGTTTAACCAATCACGAGTCATTTTGACCAGGCTTTTATTTTAATTCTGGCGATATGAGTACCTACTACATGCATGTAATTCTGGGGCAAGGTACCCCCCAAATTCGTTCAAAGATGATAGGATTTTTAGAGCCTGTTCTGAAATTCTTCTGTGGTTAGTTCGGGGGGTATTTAGCCAAACATGGGTTTATTACTCTAGTACAAAGTATGTACATGTACCTACTCTACATGTAGGTACCTGACTTACTGTCTCCGCGCCACGGACAGTGGCGCTCTAGGTACATGTTGCATACCGAAAGCCACACTCCTATGGCCCCTTTCCTTGGTGTACCACTGTTCGTGACCGCCAACAGCTCTCTTCCCTTACTCGAACGATAGATATCCCATTTATACCGAAGTTCGCTTTTTTTTTTTTTCCTTCTCCTCTTTGTTTCTTACCTGCTACTTGCTCAACTTCCGCTCTAACTATTCCGATCGGCCACACTCCAGAAGCGGCTTCTTCAATCCCGTCTCGATAAGCTTCAAGGCTAAGGAAGCTGCTACTGTTTACCAGATGTCGCAATTTTTCGGTTCTTTAGGGTATGCTATTCTTTCTCTCTCTTGATTGTTTCCTCAATCTCCTTCCTCTCTTTTTCCCACACCAGCATCATACTTTCTCTACATCTGTTCGTGTTTCACTCTTATCCAACTTCAAACCTCTTGAAGAGTTATTTCTGACATGTTGGCCTCCGTCACCGATTTTTTTAGTCGCGGTTTCCGCCCCCGTAAGCCTAAGCCTGGCCCTCTTAATCAAGAACCTGCTGGTGCTGGTGCTGCTGCAGGCGCTGGAGCCGGTGGTGGAGCCGGTGGTGGAGCCGGTGGTGGGAGCTTTGGTAACGCCTCCCCGGCGGGACTTATGCCAGGCTCCCCATCAGCCCAAAGAGTAACACAGAAACCGTTGTACTTGTGCAAGCCATTTGTTACCAGTCAGCTTGTTAAAGGAAGCTTCTCAACTATTGTTGTGTTGCCGAGATATGTTGACCAGGGGGAATGGTTGGCGTTGAATAGTAGGTTCCTTTTGATTCTGATTTTAACAGACGAGCATCACTAGTACTAAAGGAACGTTATGGTCAACGCTAATCTGGATCTCTAATAGTTTTTGAGTTTTTTGATATGTTGAACAAATTCTTCGGAGTCGTTCAGGAATTTTGCACTGTTCAAGCTTGCCCGTCTATGTCTGCAGGCATTGGGTATGTAATCGACATCTGCTCAAACCCCACCCATTACACTCTCGAAATACTAGCTTGTGCAATGAAACCATGCTAACATAAAATTACTTGAGTACAGACTGGATTATTCATGGCTTGATTCCAATAAAAAGCCTCTTCGGCTCCCTGCTCCGACTTACATCGAGTACGTGCTGCAATGGATCTCAAACCGCATCAATGATGAGACTATATTTCCTTCGAAATCCAACCCTACTACTACGGCCACAATCAACACCCCATCCGCTATCCTTCCTGGGGGGTCTTCTGCTAGCTCGCCTGCCGGTACTCCGGGCGCCAGTGGGCAGGCGTGGATTGGCAAGGAAGGGGGATTCCCCCCAAATTTTTACACCACTTGTAAGGCGATCTATAAGCAAATGTTCAGAGTATTCGCACATATCTACCATACGCATTTTGCCAAAATAGTACATATGAGTCTGGAGGCCCATTTCAATAGCTTTTTCGCTCACTTTATTCACTTCGCAAGGGTATGTGCTTTCATCAAATAAATCCAAGTTAAACTGGCTCTTACATATATAGGCCTTCGATCTGCTAGAACGCCGCGACATTGAACCTCTACGGCCTCTTATTGATACATTCGAAGAGCAGGGTCTCTTCAAGGATAACGACCGATCTAGGGAGCAGCAATGAGCATAATGGGATGTTTTATGACTGATCACTATTACGCCAAAATGAATACCATGGAGTCCCTTTTTTGACCCCCCTTGGCCAACATTACCAAGACGAAATCTATTAGGGTCATGCGATGTCTTTTAGCCTAGCCTTATCTATTCATGTTCTACGTTCACAATGGTCTTTCTTCTCTCCTCTTTCTTTTTCTTTGTGATAAAGGATTGTTTTCTTGTTCCAGGAAATTTACCATCGCGTTGCCCCACACCTTTATTGTAATCTCGGGCTGTGTGATTTGATTTTTCGTTCTTATCAAACAAAACCTTTAAAGCTTCCTAACTTAAATCTTTATCGGGTATTAGATTTGTTTCTTTTATAGATATTCCCTTATTATTATTTTAGCCTATCTAGCATCAGATCGGCGAACAGTTGACCACCTTATAAGTGGACAGTTTCACTGATAATCGAGCGAGTGATGACGAATGATTCGTTTAGTTAAAATTGCCAAGAGGGATGTTTGACTCTACGTTTACGATAAACCTATCCTTTTCCCTCACCAAAGTTATCTCTCGTACCAAATATATCTAGCCCATCAAGAATAAAAAAGTATGTAAATTTCAAGACAGCCATTCTATAAGCGATAACAAGGACTACCGATTACCTGTTCCAGTCCCTCATATCTACATTTTTGAATGAGTTGGGTGAAGAACACGAACCTAATAGCCACCGCGAAACCACCAATGAAATCATAGTTTACCCACATAGATCCAGATCTATACCTCCATATAAGTGATTTCTTGATACATACGTACTAGGAATGGGTTTCCATCTCTAACATCGTTTTTCTTTTTCGTCTGGACCGATGGCCGGAAAGGCGCGCTAACGTCGACTGGCACCATCGAAATACATGTAGTTCAAATGGTCAAATCGTGTTGAATTTGAATACCTGCATGTATTCATACCAGGGTTTTCATACCTCGGCCGGAGTAAGGAGTGATATGACACAGATCACAGGAAGCTCTAAAGTGATGGCTCAAACAACTAGTACTTGCATGGGTACAAAGCCCAAGCTTGATGTTCCCCGAAGACCCGTGACTGCCAAGCCCCGTTGAACCTCAAACCTGCCAGCTTCAACTATAGCTAAGGACCACCGAATTTACCAAATCAAGCCAGCTATCATGATAACCCAGCGAATACAGCACCGCATTCATTTCGGGATATTACGCTTACATGCACAATGCAAGCAATGTTTCTCTTGCGTTCCGGCCCTCGGAAAAGGCAAACCGATGCCTCCCAGACCATCGGTCATTGAGGATGAAATTGTTGAAGTATTTCTGAAGGGAAGGTAATCGGCAATAATGGAACATAGAAACATTCATGATATGGAAGAATTCTGACATAACCACATTGTCCCAGCGGCCCTGGAGGTCAAAAGAGTAAGTGTTTTTCACACTCTATCCATATTTAAATATACTAACGCGAGCACACTTAGTCGTAAGTTATCAGGATACCCAGGCAGTCGAACAAACTAATCCTCCATTCATGGCCTTATAGAACAAAACAGCCTCGGCTGTTCAGCTCAAACATCTACCAACAGGCCTTGTTGTTAAATCCCAGGCCACGAGATCCAGGGAACAAAATCGCAAAATTGCCAGAAATATTCTGGCAATGAAACTTGATGAGCGATTCAATGGAGCCGAAAGTAGGCACGCAAAGCTAGTCGAAAAGGCACAGAAGAAGAAGGCCAGTAAGACGAAAAAGGCCAAGAGAAAGTATTCATGATGACGCCATATTTCCAACCATTCTACAGGTTTACTGATTAATTTGTGTAGGTACGCTAAACTGGACTCGGAGAAAAACACTATAAATTGTGAAACGATGGAGAGGGAGATGAACGATGACCTCGAGAATGATGAAGAGCACCCCCTAGATGCAAATATTGCATCACCACCACAATACGTTTCGGAAGACACACCTGAAGCATTAGATGAGACCGATGAGGCAATAACAGGGTCTGAAAAATCGCCCGAGGCTACCTCTGATTGTCAAAGGATAGGTTCCATAAATTGAGCCTACTCATTTGTTACTATCTGTATATTTATCTTAGCACAGTGAATTCTCAGTTTTCAGGTAACTTCAAAACATTCGAATCAAGAGCGCCGCGATGTGACGATAGTCGCCAAAACTCAGGCTTAGTTAGCCAATCCCTGATTTTATGGCAATCAAACGATTTATCCTTTCGGTTTCACTTACCATAGTGTTGGTTAAATCGTGCAATAGGTAACTAAATTTCAAGGTAAGTATCGTAGTCAACCACATACCACATTATAGCATTGTAGATATCTTTGTATCACTACACATTACATACTATGGAATTAGCCCTACTCTTACAGGTAATAAATATTATTAGCGCAAAACTTATCACTTTTAATGCGTCTCTTCTAGAACGAAACTAATTGTCATACCATCGGATACTCAGAAATTTTCAAATGATTTCCCGTGCTGAAGTCTGGTTCTCTGTTACTTCTTAAAATAAGATAGGCAATGTTCTTTACGTGTCGATATCTCTCCGAACTGCTGAAACGTACCGAGTGATATTCTATGACGCGTAGATTCCATATATTAGGATTCGCCGGGGGATCTAAGATAGCAAATTGATTTTGCAGTAGGAAAAACAGAACTCTCAGAGAAATTGGTCCGGGACAGCAAGGGATCCGGCATGCTGAGTCCCGCCATGGCAAGGTGTAACTAAATACTTGGATTGAAACGAAAGACACGTTGTATTCTTCTCATTGTGTTCTTCTATTTATAACCACACCCATCCCCATGTATTGGTAAGAATACCACACATACAATTATGAACACAAGCGCCACCTGACGGAAAAAAGAAGAAAAAAAAGGAAACGATACTTGGCACACTGTGATGCACTCGCACAGGAAATACCTTACTACCCTATCATTCAACTCGCAATAACAGCCTTGGTCCTACTTATGATTTGCGCGAATTGACTTTACAAACCCCCCCCCAGCCTCTGCCCCGAGGGTCCCAATAATCATATCTTCGTTCATTGCATGATTTCCCTATATTTTCTTTTACAACCCAGTACATCTTCCTGTGACAATCCTGCCCAACAAGAAGATTTATAACCTTTCGCCCGCGAAGAACTAGTAAACCTTCTTCTTTTCGTCGACACTGAATTGTCCAGGTCCCATGTTGACGAGAAGAACAAGACCGCCACTTTAATTTGTCAGCTTCAAGCTTACACAGAGGAACCCTTGAGGGCAAATCAGGAGATACTTACACGATGGACAAGATCTGGAAAAAATCGTATTTGGCGAAGTCCCTGTGCGGGTGGTGGGGGTGAAGCTGCGTTCGCGTTTAGTAAATACTCACTTTACCGACCCAACTCTAGATGAAATCCAAAACAAAGGATATACTCACAGTCCAGAAGTTGTTGATCAAAAGGTTGAAAATGCTCAGGATTACAACCAATAAGACAGCACTGAGCTTTGCCTTGAACCCAACCACAACCATGACGCAAGCAACAAATCCAAGCATACTAACAATCACTCTAGTGATACTCCACTCACCAGAGAATACGAACCCAATAAACAAAAAGATAAGAAGGACTCTTCCAGCAAGCTGAAAATACATCTTGCGATCCTTTTCATCGAGTTGGGGGAGACCTGCAAATGCGAACCGTTTACGGTTCCATGAGTCGGAAAGAACCATGAGGAGACCGCCCATGACGGAAAGATTGCGAAGGAAGAAGTTCAGGTCAAAAATAAGACCGTATCCCAGTGCTTGGGTTACAACAACGGCGAGAAGACCGCCGACGGCATATTCTGAATGACGCCGGGCAATAACTAGGGTAGAGCAAGCCAACATTGCGACTACATTGAGAAAAAGAAATGTGTGCGTGAGGCCCCAAGGTACTATGATAGATGACGTGTTAGATGTAATTCCATAAATAAAATCCTGATAACATGTGTCCTTTTGAGAACCCAGAGACGCAAAAGCAAGGTGCACGAACTGTGTCTATAGTCACGGAGATACTGGAGCTGGTCATTCCATTGTGTAACAATCCTAACTGCATCCTCAAGGAAAGTTACGACAATGAGAAATCGCCCAATTGCCGGTAGATATCTACGGTAATTCCGTTAGTACTCCTCATGCTTACTTGAGCACATCCCCGGCGGTCATTGAGAAAAACTCACGGTTTAACAGGTTCCGCAATGGTATCCAGAAAGTCTTCAATTTTGCTCGTCTGTTCACGAATTGCATCAAGGGGTGAAGGGTCAGATGTAGCTGCCGAGTGTGAGGGTCCCCCAAATGGCCTATTATCCGGACCCAAGTGATAGCCCGCAGTTCCTCGAATTTGTGCCATTGTTTCTGATGTTCTTTGGTGCTACACAAATGGTAGGGGAGTGGTAGTATTAGTGATTCCTGAGAGTAGTGGCTTTTATGAGGTTTATTATTCTCTTATTTCTCCACTAGAAGAGAGAAAATTCAAGAAGAGGCGATGATAAAAAGTTAGGTTCCAGCCGGACAGGTATGTTAGAGCTTAGTGGAAAAACCGAGATCGACACTAAAGCTTGAAAGAACGATTCCCGAGAGCAGCTCGAGCAAGCGAAAATCTGATGGTGATAGTAGTATAGGTTGTGCAGGAAGCGGGGAGGTGGGTGGCTTTATCAAGAGAAGGAAAAGGTAAGAAAGAAGGGAAGGGGGCGGGGTGGTGAGGATGGGAGGAAGTGAGCGAATGTGGGAAGGAGGTCTTTCGTAGACAGAGAGATGACCGCTAGGGCTCAGTGACGGAGAGGCAAGGTGGTCAGAACTGTACGGACGACCAACCCATCCCATCCCTTTGTAGCAGAACCACCGGTCAGTTAAATTCAACACCGCCGCTTTAGATTGGATAGCCTACTGCGTAAATAAACTGATAGATACATGAAATCGCATTCACGGGGATAATATCTCACAGATTTTACTTTATTAGATATTCGTCGCTGGGTACCTATATCATATCATAGGTGCGCACGTTCAAAGTTCTTTTGAGGATTCTTTGACCGATGACGCCTCACGTAACAACAAGGCGCCACAACCCTAATTGTTTCTCAATCGAAAACCCAAGGTGTACCTACATACAGTACCTACTGTAAAGCTCCAAACTTAGCCCAGAATGGAGGGGGGAAGTGCATTTGTGATGCCCGCCGGTCAATTCCCTAACCACGACGCTAGCACTCTCCAGAGCTATTTTAAGAGCTTAGGGTGGTTCAGCCTCCAGGTACTGTAGGGAAAAGGCAGCTAGGAGGCACGGGGGTAGATACATGTAGGTACCTGTAAGTAAGCCTCTCCGGCTTTACCAACAACTTATTATTACACATACGCTACAATGTACCTCTTCTGGCGGATTCACCACATGAGTGCAGCTGGCAATAGGGTTAGGGCCTAGATATTTGATATTTCCTGGGCGATAGGGTTAGGGTCTACATTAGTATTCTCCCAATCACTGTTAGCGATACGATACTCATCTTTTGTTATCTGAGTAAATGAGTTCCTGCAGTTGTCCCTGCAGTTTTTCCTTGAAAAACCCAGCAGCCAATTAACATATCTCGCTAGTATCCCATTTCCTCAAAGATGGGCATCTTTGAACCGCATATGTACCTGTTGTGCCGCAACACATAATGTACATTCTAAAAATGAAAAAATCCGATGTGCGTAGCTACGTCCTCTTTACTTCGTGATGCCATTTACTTCAATCGTAATGTTTCCCTTCAATGTCAGCAGCGCAGTTAGAAAACATTGTTTGATATACTAGGTGACATCGGCGGTAGTTGATGCAGAAATGGCAAGAGTTGAAGATTTCGGCTTAAACTTGCACAACCGGATATGCAAGACTGGACTCTACATAAATATGTAGGTAGTCTCTCCTTGATAAAGCGTTAAATCCGAAAAGAAAGCAAACGACAAAAGACGTTGAACTAGATTTTCAACAGAAGTCATGAACGAAATATTGATAAGAGGAAGCATAACCAGTTACAGGCAAACAATCAACATAAATTGCGGTGTTCTGCTTTTAAATGACAAGAGCAACCCATTCAAAGGTTGACTACCCAGACCCGTTGATGATGAAAAGAAGGAGTAACAAATAACTTCCAGCGTGATTGTAAGAAATGCAAATGGCGGAAATCCCCCAACCCAAATTTTTGACCGAAAAAAAAAAAAGGAAATCCGAACAGCATTAGGAACGTTTAAAAAGGCCACACCTATTCTTCGGGATGAACTGCCCAGTTGTCGGAATCGTCGATTTCTGCCCAATCGGAACTTGAATTCTTGGTATCACTTGTTGTGCTCCCGCTGTCCAAGAGTTGAAATCCATTCCCACTTGTTGAAGTGTCCTTCTTCTGGACAGTTTGCTTCACGATCTTGGCAGGTGCCTTAACTGGGGCCTTGACTGAGGACTTGATTTGGAAGTTCTCTCTCCCGCTCTTAGCATCCGTAGACTCATCCCCAGTTTGCGCATCAGTTGCAGCCTTCTTCTGCTTGCGACTCTTCTTTTGAACTTCGTTCCAACCCCCAATGAGATGCTCTGGGATTTCCTCCCAGTAAGAGTTGTCAAGGTGAGTACTCCTCATCTGTTTCTTCTCATCTTCGCTGTCGATGGGTGAATCGTCGGCCGTACCAGGCTTGTTTAGAGTTGACGTAGAAAATGTATCGAGAAGGCCATCTGTTTTTGGAGCTGCGGGGGCAACAGGTGCGGTTTGACTATTTACGCTCGTCCATGCGGAAGGTGGAGGTGGGGTAGCAGCTTGAGGCTTGTGCTTCTGCTTAGCAGATTCTGCGGCCCTCATAGTCGCACGGTGCAACTCAAATCTGGCTTTTTGTTCCGCCTTCTCTGCCTCCTTCGCGGCCTTTTGTTTCTCCTTCTTTTTGGCATTTTTGCTCGCATGTACACCAGCCTGGTCGGCTGCGCTTGTCGTCTTTTGTTTCTGCGACCTCGGAAGTTGGGTGGATGAATTGATTTTCAATACACCCGGTCCGCCGGTAGAAGGCTCAAGCATGTCACTTGGATCGGAAGAATGTGACTGCTTGGAGGCAGCGGAATATTCGGATTCTGGAAGACGAGTGGCTTCCTCTTCGTCAATATCAGCGTCTGCTCCTGCTGAGGACGTCTGCGAAGCCGTGGCGAAGGGCGAAGCCGGAGCTGCTAAAGCCTTCTTGGGAGCAAGACGGGTAGAAGAGCTAGAGGAGGAGGATTTCTTGCCCCCAACATTGCCACCCTCCTTCAAAGACTGGAGTCTGCGAAGAAGCTCGGCCTGGTCCACCTCTTGGGCAACATCATCATCATCCGTAGACTCTGCGGCCTTAGCAATGTTGCCAGTCGACACAGGCTCCTTAGCGGCTGTGTTACTGAGAGCGGCCTTCTTCTTCTTCTTTTTCTCGCCCGCTACAGCACTCTCTGTGCCGCTGGTACTGAGAAATATGCTGCCTGCCCCCTTATCTTCCGTGACTGCCTTGGAGCTAGGTTTAACGGTAGCAGATTTGGGCGAAAAGTAAACCCAATAGATGCCGCCCACTAGGGCCAGAAAAATGCTCCAGGAAAGAACGACCGAACTCATTTGAGCAATCGGACTGATATATCCAGGCCTCCCTTTAGTCTGTAGGACTTGAAGCTTTGCTAAGACGCGCGGAAGCTATTGGGAAAGCTAAGTGAACAATATCGAGGATCGAGGATGTTGCTCGGATATCTAAGCAATAAGATGATAAAATTGATGATTGCTTTCAAAGGATAGATAGTTTGTAAGGTTGACTGAGAGGAGAGGTGTCTAGAGGTGGTGTGGCGACAGAACTAGCAAAATAGCCGGATGAAGGACGGTCAGCGCCGAGTGGACCAATAATGGCCAGAAAGACCAATTGAGGTAAAGCTAGATGGCTGTTTTGAATGCCAACTGGGTGACAATACTAGATAGAGAGAAGGACTAGTAAAGCGAAAGAGATTCCCACACGAGCTAGCAATGAACGATCAGCGGGAAGGAAGCGCTGAATTGATTAATTGTTCAGGAATAAGAGAAGGAAGGAAAGAAGGAGAATGAAGGGGTAGAAAGTGAGAGCTGTCCGCAACTCAAGAGCACCGAATCTCTCTATCCAGCTTGTGGCCCGTAGTGTGCACTTGTATTTTCCTGGTCTGGCTTGTCAAATAATGTCGTACTAGGGCCATAAGGGGAATAGGCCACCTGTTTCTCCTCTTCATTGGATTGCCAAGAATGAATTTGACACCTTTACTTTTCAAAGACTGGAAGCTCGCAACGAAGAGACCACCTCGCGGAACCCTAGGTCTGAGGCTGGAGGTACGAGCCTTGGTACTTTCTGCCAGTTTCCTGGTATTGGGTACTTTTTCTTCCCAACCATCCTATGCCGTCACATTATAGAAGATGGCCACCCCTGCTAGACATCCCAAATCGCTGTTAACGTTGCGTGCCTTACCTGGCTGTGGTGTGAATTGGCCACTCTCACGTCTTTGTAGACGGAGTGTTACCAATATCTAGGAGCACAAAACTATTCGTCGCGAGGTGCAATCTCAAGACTTGAAAATCGACGTAGCGAGATCATCCCCGGCCTCAAAACCTTTCAAATTTAACTTACACCGAGGGATACTCCTTTTAAAACGTACGTGAGGGCGAGGATTCAATCCATCTGGCTTTCTGGACACTTCATGGAGCGATTGTCCTATTTCACCTTAACTGTTCAACGGCATTTATTACCCACCTGGTGGTTCACCAAGCTCCTTCAGGACTTGTTTCAAATGACGCAAAACAAACGACGCATGACACATGACAAGTTCAAAAGCGAAAGTTTAGTAAAAACTGAAAACGTACACGTTCTGTATTACCTCCCAGCCTACAAGATCAAATGTTTCAGCGAAAGGGATAACAGTCAAGGGATAAACTCAAACATCATTATCATGACCTGGGTGCAAAACAGATGTGAGATGGAACTGATACATTAGACGTTTTTGCTTTTGGTCTGAATAAATGTACCTACATAGGCATATAACTACAAAGAATAACCGAAAGGGGATGGGAAACCTATGTTCCGCGGGAAAGGGATATTGTTATTTGTGACATAAAATGCTGACACAGAAAACTGCCCTGGTAAATCGCTAAAACCAGAAGCCAAATCATATAATATCACTCGTGATTAACCTTTCCCTTTCTAATTCCTCGAGGTTTTTTTGTTTTTGTTTAATTCATTAATTTAATTCCTCGAGGTGGTCAGCATTTTCTACTAGTACTTATCCCCATTCTAAGTTATAATATTAATGTGAGTGAACTGTATAATACAAATCACCGGCTAAATAATCTCCGGGTATGGGTCCACTGGTGTCAATGACAGCTTGGAAATTTACCCGGGCACAGACAATTACAGAGCCTCGCTTTCTCAAGCTCAATACTAGTCATCAGCTTACATATTATATCGATCGACATGAACAGGCAGTAGCATGGTGCGCGGTTTGGGCCTAGCTACGTGTATTGTAAGCTGAGATATGGACTAAGTTTGTGTAAATAGTGTGTCGCGAAACTCGGACTGTGTCGCCCCTAGCCTTAATGTGGGCATTTTTATTGAGTTTACAATAAATACATGTATAGGTTCAGACAGGGCTCGTGAAGGTTTTTGGGTTATACCGAGAAAATATGTTTTTTTTTTTATTTTTCCCATTTTTGAGCGAAGATGAGAATAGGATTAATATGGGTGAGATCGGGATCGATATTTGCAATTACAACCCCCAATCCCGACCTTTCATCTTAGTGATGAAGTTATTCCCGGGTGCTCGTTTCCAGCGAGTAAATAAGTGGCAATCTACGTACATGTACTTAGCAGCGCCGTCTCATAAAACGGTACATAGGTTAGGGTGAATATCAAACTCGTTTTGGGTGGTAAGGAATGATTCAACTACTCGTAGAAAACCCCTGGGAATTTGTAATGAAAACGATTCCCCATAACTCAAATCCTACCTAGAAAATCCCTTACCTTAGAAACAGGACACTCCCGAGGGAATCAAATGATTTGAGGGTATATAAAGATAGAGTCAGATCCAGAGCTTGGCAATATTACAATAACTTTCTATGGCTATAAGAGTGTTCTTATAGTAAGGTCTATCTTTATAATTTTTGTATATTGGCAGGCATCGATGATGTTTAGTGGACATATCGAATGTTAGTCTTATAGACCTACATATATATGTCAGATTCCAAATAGAACGGACTTTCATAATGCAGATACAGATACGTCGTCCGCCGTCGACCCACCAGATTCAAAGAAATAATATATATGTTGTTTCTGTGCCACATACACGGTGCACCTATCTATCCATAAGATTACATGTAACTCGGCTCACCACTGACGCTCTTATCGTTGAAGGCTCTCGCAGCGCTTAATTGTGGCTAGTAAAATAGCAAGTATCTCACTTCCAAAGGATTCTTCCTACGGCACAGATGCATACTATCAAGTTTCGCTCACTGCACTAAAATCGCCGTTCATATCCAATTACAGACGGTGAACAGGATTTGAATCCGTGGCAAGAATCGGCAGGCATGGTCATTCGCAAAAGTGATGACTGTGCCTTTGATAGTGACATGTTCGAGACCAAGAAGATGCAAGGAGAAATAGTCACTAGGGAGAAGGCAAAGAAAAAAGTCCTCCTTTGACCACGAGGCAGTAAGCCAAAGGAGAAAGAAGAGAAGAAAACTGAGGGACTAGACAGATCTTAAACAGCGCCGTGTGATCATGCTACGGCATGCATAGCTACACATGTCCGATCTTTCGATTTCCGTATACTCTCATGGATCCCTGCTGTGTATCTCTCATGGAGTTATGGCAGGCATTACCGAGAATTTGTAATATTTTCCGGGCTTTTACAGGTATCTACCTAGATCCTGGATTCACCGATAATCATTTTTCTTTTTTTTCCCCTCTTTGCCACTGAGTAACTGATGGATCATGGAGGCTAAAAAAGCCTATCGGTTTTTCTTGGATTTATATCCCGGGACGGTTCATATGCCATACGGCGCACATGGCATTGCATCTGTTGAACCACGTCACTACTGTATATTTCCGAACGGCCTTATCCAGAATTTCTCCATCTGCTTTGAGTGATGGCAGAGTATAGCGTGGAAAGTGCTTTGGCCATACTCAATGGCTGTCGAATCAAAAGATTCAACATGGCGCTGAAAAGAGGCACATCCATCGCCGGAACAGACGATCTAGGTCTCGAAGAAGACAAAGGCGTCACCGTGAGATTGGTTGGTGAGAGCAATGAATGGATGAAAGGGACCTAAGCATCAATGAGCCAAGATATATGCGGAGCGGTGGATGCAATGAAGTGGGGAAACTGAACCAGAACTGCGCCTGTCCAAAAAACAAATGCACTGCGCGGTAAGTACGAATGCAGCTGCCTAACTTCGAGCCCCGGCCGGTGAGTATGACCGATCAAATAGGGTAATTACGACATGCGAGTAGGGGCAGTGCGGGAACAACATGCAGTGCTGCAAGACATGAACAATTGAGGTTGATAGGTACTGTCTGGCAAACTGGAGAAACCCGTTGACCAGAATCATGTATGATCACTCGTGGGCGTTTTCACGAAGTGGAGATTTAAGGTCTGTTTCTGATAAGGAGTATCGTTAAGCAAAATACAAGGGGCCGGGAGGGGGGTGGAGTACGTACAACATGCCAATATATTTGATCTCCAGAGCACGAGAATAAACATTCTTGAGGGTTAACTATGAATACCGCCATAACTCGAAAAATTGGCCAGCTTCCAGAGATCAAAATTACTTGTATGGGAAACTTCTGATGCAGATCGATGCCATTCAACCAATCACTCGAGTGATAATCCCTGGCCGGAGATAGCCAGTATATCGAGATCGATGAATAATTGCGGTAAATATATTTGTGTTTGTTTAATATCGGCCGCACGCAGGCGGTAAAGGTTCGGGCCTAATCCAACTCTACCCTCTCGGATATGTACCGATTCCTCCCAGAAGGGGCTTTATTTGCAACTCCAACCTTTCTAATAATAGGTTTGGAGGGGTCACCACCCGGATAGGGATCTAATTGGGGGCAATTAAGAGGAATAGGCGCTTAGCAGGCGAGATTAGTGGTATATTTTTGCCGCAGACTAGAGAAAGAGGGAACGGAAAAGGCGGAAAGGGAGGTAGGGTGTAGCGAATGAGGGGGCAACTTTAGCACCAGCCGAGCACCAAGCTTTGTGGAGATGAGACGAGTCGAATCACATTGCGAGTTTTGAGAGAGTGACGAGTGATGAGCGTGCAGCAGCAGGGGTGTGCGTCTTGGACTCTCAGGGATTGGCTGCAGAATCTCGTCTACAAGACACACAAGCCATGCAGGTACGGTTGAGCCAGACCGATCAAGCGAGCGAGTAGCTTGATGTGGGTATGGATTATTATGGATCATGGGTGGTAGAGAGGAGAGAGATACGCACTGTCCAGTGTGCAACCCGTCCTCGTGGGTAAAACGAATTGTTGGTTTGCCCCCCCAAATCCTGCTCCCTCTATTCCTAGGATACTGATCTAAGACTTCTTTTAGGTACTCTACTACGGACCTTACACCCCCCCCTCTCAACACACTCACCCACCCACCGACCTACCCCCTCTCAAAGCTGGGTTCTTGAGGGTTAACTGCATGCTCTAGTACACACAGTCTTAACCTTGCCTGTCTTAAGCATGCCTGTTCGAGAAATCCATGTTACTCCCATGTCCTGTAATGAGGGCTACCCAATACCCATCTACTGTGGCTACCAAATGTCTGAGACTCTACAACAACCGTCTAGTTTGGTTATGCGCCGCATGCTCGCTCGAGAGTACATATATATCTCCCTGAATGTCTCCCACTTTTGGGTGATCAGTTTCACCATCCCATTGAATCTGTCAATTCAGTAGGATACACTAGAAGATCTTCTTGCCGCCGAACTCAATTCTTCTCTCCCTCCGACTTGCACCCGTATCTGCAGCAGTGCCGAATTCGATCTCCTGCTTCTACTTCTACTTCTCTTCTTCTTCCTATCACTCTTCCTTTTTATCTACCCTAACCTCAGTCAATACTTCTTCTCTTATCTGGTGTTGACCTGTCTCAGTTCATGTTCAGTTTAGCTACTTGGACTGCAAATCTCTGCCCTTTTTGTATCTTGTTGTCTTTTTGTTCGCAACAACTTTAATCCGTATATATTTTGTATTTTCTCTTTTACTTTATTTTTTGTATTTTTCCATTTCTTTCATTTGAATATCTTTACGATGCTTTTCCTTCATTTCGCCGCCGTGGTCATTGGCTTCACCAGCGCCGCCGCGAACGCCTTCCCACTCGGTGCCAGTCCTCAACTGACCGAGCTCGCAAGCCTTCTGTCCGCTTACAAGAACCAAAAGATCACCGGCTGCGATCTCTCAGGTGCGGTCATGCCCGAGACAAATGGTTAGTTTCTCATTGGCCCATTCAACTACCTCATATGCATGCCCCGCAGTTTGGCGCCAACCTTCTAGAAACTATATATAAATATCAACCCCGAGTAATTCTTACTAACATATGAATTAATAAAGGCACGAAAAACCTTTCTCCTCCAGATGCGGGCACGAGCCTTGCACGCGTAGTCCTCGGACGCGGCGTCCAGAATTATACTTGCGCAGACTCACTCAGCACTACAATCCCAGCGGCCAATGGCGCCGTCGCAACCCTCTACGATGCCTCTTGCCTGGCTGCCTGCAACCCGACGCTCCTTCACACCCTCCCGGACATCATGGTCAACCTCCCCAAAGATACGATTGCGGAGTCACTTTCCATTGTCACGAGGATGACCCGTCAGCCGATCATGGTCGGACACCACTACTTTGCGCCCAACAACACCATTCCCGTATTCGACTTTCGGGTGCAGAGGAGCGACAAGTATCTGCTGGCGGGCCAGAGAGATGAGGGTGTGCCAGCAGTCACAACGGCATCGAAGGGTGAGATGGGGGTTGGATACGGCGCTGTGGACTGGCTCAGGATCAAGGCGATCCCGGATATGTCTGTGGATTACAAATTGGCATACCGCATCTTGACAGCGGGTGGTAAGCCACCGGCGACGTGTCAAGGTATGGCGAAAGAATTTAGTGTGGAATATGCGACTGAGTACTGTAAGTAACCTGACTCATGGCCATTGATTTGTGGGATAAGGACTAATGATTATCTATAGGGATCTATGCCTAAGATTCAAGCCACCACTACCACAACTACAACCACCTGCAAACGGCTTTGTGACCTAGAAAAGATTACCATACCTACCTCCTTCACTTTACTTCTACACACTCGTTCTTCCAATTAATCATTAATTTCACCGCTACCACGTACCATATCGTTCCTCTTCCTCTTCCTCTTTTTTTTCTTTTTTCCCTTTCACTGGTTGTAAATACTTTTTGGACTGTTTTGTTGCAAATATCAATTCTGAGCTGTAGTGGTTTTTCTTCTTTTTTGTTGCCCTCGCTCTTTATTTCTTCGTTCTTCTTCTTGTTTCTATACTTTTCTTAGTTTCATTCGTTCTTATCGGATTGGGGTGGTGGGTGCATGCATGGCGAACTAAAAAGGGCGTTATTTTTACTTCGCATTTTCTCTCGTTGTTTTGTCTGGGGTATTCTTACTACATTGCGTGGCATTATGGAATTTGAGAGAGAGGGAGCGCAACATTCCTTTTTGTGTGTATATATATCTTTGAGTCGGTGTGTGGGGGGGGGGGGGGGATTAGGCGTTTGTATATAGATATCCTATGACGATTTTACGAGGATCGACCACGAGGAACAAATCTTACGCAAAGGCATTTTCAAAACCGATGTCACTACGTAATCCAGTACAATCCCGGAAAGGAAGATAAAAAAAAAAAAGGGCGATTTCCAAATCTGCCACGCTAGCAAAACAAACCTTTCCACTGTGTTGGGTTTTACATATATGTCCTGGCCAGGCGATTAGTTGAAAACCCTTGTTTCCCACCACCACCACCCCTGTCAATGATCGTCCCCACACCTTTTTCCCTGAGCTCGCTCCGTTGCGCCATAAGCTCGCGCCGCCGCAGATCACGAATCGCGGGTCTCACACAGCCCGACCGTTAGAGTTCCCTCGTTATCGGTGCTGTACCGGATTATCTTTCGAAATCCGTACCCCCGGTCTGGCGCTCCAACTAATGCACGCCATAGCCGCATCCTGCCAATGATCGTTCGCGCAGGGCCGGGTGATGGGGGAGCGAGAAGTTACCCTGCCTGAGCCTCCACGCTAGAGGTCTAGAAGCTTCTCTTTGGCGGGGCGCGGGAGAGGAGGCGAGGGAGGGCGAGGGAGGCCAGGCGAAGGAGAGAGAACGCGGCTTAAGAGGCCTTGCAGAGGTACAACTGCGTTTGATTCCCCCCTGGAAGAGTAGAGTATTATCGTTCCATCATCTTCATCTTCATCATCATCATAATCATCATCATAATCATCATCTCTCACACCGGCCTCATTACTGCGTTATCATCATAATCACTTATCACAAAAATAGAACACAGCAAAAGAAAGCACTGCAATGGCCGCCCAGAAGTGTAACCACAAGGGCTGCGAGAAGACGTTCACCGACCCCGAGGAGGACTGCTACTACCACCCCGGGGCCCCGATATTCCACGAGGGTCAGAAAGGTATATTTCCACACACACACACACTCTCTCCGACACCACGCACACACACTCTCTCTCCGACACCACACACACTCTCTACCTACTTTACATATATATAGCACTGCTGACAATCTCTCTCTCCCCACCCTTAGGCTGGCAATGCTGCAAACCCCGAGTACCTCCCTTCCCCCGCCCCGCCCCCGTCCTTCCCGCATCACCGCCCCGCACTCCCACTAACCCCCGCCATAGGTACTCACATTCGACGAATTCCTCCAAATCCCTCCCTGCAGCACCGGTAAGCACTCGACCACCGCGCCCACCCTCGCTCCCGCACAGACTTCCGGCCCCGGCGCGTCCGGCCAGAAGCACATCGAGGTCGCGCCGCCGCCCGAGACCAACCCGGACGGCACAGAGATCTATGGCTCGGAGCACAAGCCCGCGCCCCGCCCCGTAGCCACGCCAACCCCACAGGAGAAAAAGGAGAAGCCGCTGGAGCAAGATGAGCCCGGCACCGTGGTGCCCCTAGGCGCAAAGTGTAAGCGCAATGGGTGCGATGCGGTCTATGATGGCGGGAGCAGGGACGATGAGGACGGGAAATGTGTCTTCCATCCGGGGGTGCCAATCTTCCACGAAGGTATGTGTGCAGCCGGGGGTGCGGGCGGCGGCGGGCGGTGAAGTAAGCACTCCGACTGACTGTCCGACCACCATACAGGCTCCAAGGGCTACTCCTGCTGCAAGCGGCGCGTCCTCGAATTCGACCAATTCCTCAAACTCCCCGGCTGCGCCACCAACCGGCACCTCTTCGTCGGCGCGCCCAAGCCCACTGACGAAGAGGAGCTCGTCACCTGCCGCAACGACTTCTACCAGACCTACACGCACGTGATTGTGTCCATCTTCGCAAAGAAGGTTGACAAGGCGCGCGCGCACATCGAGTTCCACCCGCAGCAGCTGGACGTCGACCTGCCCATGCCCGACAACAAGCGCTACAAGGTCAGCTTCCCGCTCTACGGCCCCATCGATCCCGAGGCGTGCGAGTACCAGGTTATGGGAACAAAGGTGGAGCTGAAGCTTAAGAAAGGTATGTTGTGCTTCTTCCCTTTTCTTTCCCTTTTTTCGTGGGCCGCTCGCATGCCTGCCTACCTGCCCGGCGGGCGCGGTGCGGTGCGGTGCGGTGCGGTGCGGTGCGGTGCGGTGTGGTGCGGTGTGGTGTAGGGGATTATGGTTGCTTACTTGAGCGCTTTTCTGTACCGCAGCGGATGGGACGTCGTGGCCGACGCTAAGGAGCGACGAGGCCACGGGGGAGATTATTCAGATTGGGAAGCCGGCGACGGCGTAAAGGCAGCAATACATTGCCCTTTTTTTTTTTTTTTTTTTTTTTTACTAGGCTGGCCGATCGAGTGATACACATGATGTTGAAAGGCATTTAACTTGCTTAGATCGTATGCATGAAACTCGAGATAGATGTGAGAATAAAAAAAAACATTGCGCAATACCCCCCCACCATTCGTTGCTCTGGGGGAGAGAAAGAGGTTGTAGAAGAATTCATAGCTCTCGCCCAATTCGTGGACTGGCCGTTGGGAGCTTCGAGTAGTGAAATGTGTAGTTTCACCGGAAATGGGTGGTGGTTCCTTCAGGTTTATATAAATATCTCGATACTGTCACTGATACTGTAACTGCATGGCATGGATGTATCTACCCACCAAGGTTCCCGATCCCGAATGCGTGCGAGGGCTCGGGCGCGGGCGTGACTTGCCGGATCCCTGTTTTAGGTGCAAAGTGATCATTGATATTCTTACAAACACCTACTACAACAACACACACACACCTTTATATTAACGCTAAACCTGGACATTTGCAAAAATGGTCCGGTTTTAGTGCCTTCCCGCACTGGCGGCGGTTTATTTACTGATGTAGGTATTTACATGTATCTATGGGGTAAATCGCTAAGGATTGTGACGCTGTGGGTAGATAAAGATACGTTTACATCACACAACAGCGTAGGCATTACCAAATTCAATCCCCTGTGCAATTTACCAAAGTCTTTACCAAAAACAAATACGCTATGAAAAACAAAAACCACAGGAGCAGTAGTGAGTTGACTCTTGTCTTGCACCATACGCTACTGGGTCTGGTTCCAGAGAAACTCAGCTCGACAACCTCCTATTGTGGCCAGTGATTACACTGCCTTCATTGACCGCCCGCTGCCTAACCTCCATCCTAGGCGTTCCGTTGTCTTTGTCCGGGCACTCGATCCCTCCTCGAGAAACCTGAAGGCTATCTCTCACATTCAGATACAGTCTATCCAGGGTAAACTCAATTTCACATCTAGCCTTGAGAAGCTCTCCTGCAGGCCAAATGCTTCGCTCACCCTTCTCAATCCAATACTTGACTGTTTGCTTATCTGGGTTTTGCAGCAATTGCTCAAAATCAGCCAACCTGAGGTGCGGGACCACTGTGACGCTGGCACCTGGGATGGTCTCGTCAATGAGGAATGTTCGCAGCCCGAATGGCAAAAAACCAAGAAGGTCGAGCTGGCCCAATCTGTGCCGGATCTCTAAACCCAGTAAGTGCACTATCTTCAAGGTGATGCCATGACGGCCGTGGCGGTGGAGATCGGACATTAGGAATGGGGCAAGGTACGGGCGAGCTTGAGAAACAATAAAGTGGTTGACATTGAAGAGCTCGGCGATTCGAGTCTGTGGGGAATCGCGGTCTGCGTTTGAAGCCTGTGTCCAGCGCTGCCAGGTGATCTCTTGATCGACCCAGGGAACTATCGCGCCATTCTCGTCTTTGCACATCAGCTCAACACTATCGTAGAGGGTTGAGGTTGCGTTAGAGGCGCAAGCAGCAGACCAGATCAACACGTTCGGCGCAGTAAGATAATTGAGCAACTTTGGGACCCCGTTTCTCTTAGCAGTCGAGACAGTGATGTTCAAGATCCGCTTGGTCTTCTGATAGGCCTCATCAAAGGTCAGATCACCGACATTGGCTCTTACACACTCCTCCAGCACTTTCACGTCTAAAAAGTACCCGTGCTTCCAGAATCTCATCAGTTTCCTCTTCAAACTACCTTCCTTCTTTTTTGTATCAAAGGCACTGAGATCTATTCCATCAACAGCAAGGAACCTTATCAACTCCTCCTCTGGGTGTATCCCAACCAGTGCGGCTATCAGCGCTCCCACGCCAGTTCCTGTTATTATTCTAGGCAGCAGGCCACGGAGGTGAAGACCCTTAACGATGCCAAGATGGTACAGTCCAAACATCGCGCCTCCCTGCAGAACAAGCGTTGAGCGCCCAAACGACTGCCTTGTATCGTGGAAAAGATCCAGTTTTGCTTGTGACGTGAGTTGGGGGGTTGGTTCTAAGTTGGCAATATAATTCAAGCAACTGACAACTTCCGAGACATATTCACCGATCAAGTATTTGCTACCAGCATAGGAGCGATTGAAAAGGTTTATGTGCGATATGTTTCCCAGATTCCGAAGCAGACCTACAGTACATGGTAAACATACCATCTTAAGAATTAGGTACAATCGATAGCTTACCAGAACGTACAAGGTTCACGAGTCTTACGATATCACCGTCCTTCCTTGCTTCTTTTAGGCGTCGGAGGGAGTCGCGGATGAATTGATAGTCGTAATCCGTACTGGTAGGGTCATGCCGCCTAGGGAGCGTGTCAGCGGATCGACTCTATCCACGAACGCAGGTAAAAGAGCACAAACCACAAATCATTTCCTAGCTCTGCGTCAAGCTTAATCGCGGTATCTTGCCACTGCTCGTAGGTTTCCGCGTGAGAAAGTTCCTCAAGTAAACATTCCTTTGGCTTCTTCTTTCTGTACCAAGCCCGTAGCTTCTAAGTCCCCGCAGATCTCATGTTAGCTCTCATGAACCAAGATCATGAAAATAACGTAGAAGCTGCCGCCAGAGTGTAGACATTTCTCCAAAATATAAAGACCTCGATAAACAAAGCGTATATTGATGTCAATAAGAGAATCAAGCTGGACTATCACAACGCTGTTAGCTACAGGGGTTTTTGAGGTTGCAGTAGTGATACATACAGGCATGCTATCGAACAGTAGCCTAGCTAAGTAATACATTTGACGTGAGAAGAGAGATAGAATATTCCCACTAATCTCATCGATGTATTTGTTTGGTTTCTGCTTTCTTTGTATGAGGTTTGCGGGAGAATTGCTTCATGTACCTAGTGGGCTTTCACATGTCATCCCATGTGATGTGTTACATGTAGGGGTTGTGCCGGCGGTACATACCACCAGGGGACATATAACGTCTTTATATAACCTACTACCGTGTCAGACTCGAACAAGTTTGCTTGTGAACAAATTTGGTTGTAATTATTGTCGAGTCTTTTCGCTTTAAAGTTTACGGCTCGTTTCTAGGTCTAACACATTACCGGCTAGTCAAATATGTTACACTTGGGCGACTTCGGGATACTACAGTCTCTTAGATTGTTTAATACAGGTAGTAGTAACGGGTCTAGGTATGTGGTTAGAAAGGCTGTAGCTGAGAGTGATCGATCATGATCATGATAGATCGCAGTCATTGTAAAAGAGAGCCAACTATAAACTCATTCAAATTTCCCTACAGAGGACATCCGTGCTTCCCGTACAGAATACTGTTGAATGTTCCTTTATTGGCCCTTTGCTGATTTATATATTTCTTATCTCATGGAAAGGTTCTCAGGATGGCCTTCCTCTATATACATGTATGAACCATTGACTACATGTATTCACAAGAAATTCGTCCCTCAATTTCTCGAGCAGTGCTCCCCAAAAGTAGGCTAGCTAAATAGCTATGTGTTCTTTTAATATTCGCGGTGATCCACCAGGTTGCCTCGCCCTTTATATTATTGTTCGGAAAAACATAATATTTGCGAACCGTTTTGTTTGACAGTTGCTCGTTCTGTCATGAGGGATGACGAGACCAATCAGCTTAAAAGCAACGCTTGAATTCATCACGAGAAAAGAATAATATCGTGAGCCAATGACATAACAATAGAAGCCTAATTTATTTAGAGACCCCGAGCGCCACTTTCAACCAAGCAACCAACAACACCAGCTCAAATGAGAGACGAAAGATCAGGCGTCAAAATGAGCTTTAAGAAAACAAAGCTGCAGTAGACCTACTATTCACAGATAAACCCCTTCTTCCATTTCGGCATCTGCACTCCCTTCAGTTGTGGCATGGGTAGTGGAGGAGCTCCCTTCCACCGCTGCTCCAATAGCTGAAGAATGTGGTGCCTGCTCACCAGTACCACCCATCTCTACCTCTGGGCCCAAACTGCTTTCTTCCCGCTCAGTACTTGCGCTGCCATTAACCAGTGTTCCTCCAGCTCTAGCTCCATGCTCCATTGAGAAACCCCTCCTTTCGACCTCCAGCCTAATCATATCGATTCTGTCGCTCTGGTCTTTGATGACGACCTTATTATCCTCAATCGCAGCCTTGCATACGGGATCATCCAAGAATTCCTCCAGTTGAACCTGGGAGCGCCTGAGATGGTATAATGAGAGCTCGAGGCGTGCCGCTTCTGCGTGTAGTTGTTCAAGCTCGAGCTCACGGATCGCCTGGAGGAAGAACTCCTGCTTGGAAAAAACGTCGTCAATAAGGGGGCGGAAAGCAGCTGATACATATGATGACAGTTACCGGAGTTATCGGGTGGGACGTTGCGCTCATTTTAAAGTCTTTTTTGCACACTCTCTGTGGTGAATAAGGTGAATAATGTCTTTACGCGGGGTTGGCGTGGGGCAACAATGAGGCTCTATCGTATTAAACCCTTTGAATCATTCTTGGCATAATAATAAAGAGTGCTCAGACAACCATGCTGCAGGTACAGCTTCCCAAGAAATAAATAACTCCGATAACTTCCACCAATGACTCAACATACATACAGCCTGAAATACGTATTTCTATAAACCTTACCCGATATTCTATAGAAACAGCTTAAAGTAAAATGGGGAAAAATTCCTGGGACCTATTATACAATGCCCACCCTACCTGATATCACTATTTAAAGAAGAGATAGAGGAAAAAATACCTCTAGTTGATTACCATGGAAGCTAGCCAGAGTTTTTGCAGGCAAGTTCTCTCTTCTTTTTGAACTCCTGATCTTTCCAATAGGCAAAGGCCAACCCCAGAGTAAACCTGACAAATGCGCCATATGATCGACTGTTTTCCATCCTCTAATGATCCCGACGAGCCCAACCAAGGCGAAGCCACTTACGAGCTGAGAGACTTTCAAAGGAATAAACTCTGAGGGAACGCGTCTAAAGGGAGATAATGTTAGGAAGTAGGTCAAGGTTAGGTAAGCCACGCAGAAAAGCTGAAGTATGTACGCACTCTGGGTTGAAATAAGCATATGTGCCGAGGACACCACTGATTGCGCCTGAAGCTCCAAGTGAAGTGATGTGGAATCTAGCCCCAAGAACATGGTATGCAAGAGAGGTAAATGAGGCTACAGCTCCTGCTGAAAAGTAAAGTGCCAGAAAGTTTCCCCGACCTATCTGATCACAAACTATAAAAGCCATCAGATTTATTCCCGATTAATTTTTCAATAGACAGGTAACATACGGGAAGTTCCGCCCGTATATAAAGCCTGTCAAATATATTTGGCCTAAGCGTCAGTACAATTCCTATTATTCGGGGCGTCCGGGTGTTTATTACAATCATGTTAAGCCCCAAATGAGCTATGGTCTGATGCGAAAAGACACTTCCAATCATGCTGAAGCTATACGGCAATCCCACTACAGAGATAAAATATCTGTTGAGTAGTCGCCATGAGACTGGGAGAGGGACCTTCCATGCCAGGAATATCGCGCAATTGGCTGCAATAATCGTTGCAACGGTTGTAAACGACTGCGGGAGCGTCGGGAAAAGACGGGATTCCACCGGTGCTGGTACCCAAGTTTGGGCAAAGTAATAAGAACCACCACAGATGGCTGATGTGAAAATAAAGGGAGCGAAGAGGCGTTGAAACTATTCGATACCTACGGTCAGCCTGGCACTCTATTGGGGGGAAAAATGTATCTTGAGTAGGTACATGGGACAAACTCGGGGGGGCTTGGAGATCAGAGACAGCACCCGCGGCTCTCAGACGATCAAGCAGTCGAGGTTGATTGTCCAATCCTGGTAAATTTTCCTTTATGTTTTGGACTACGAGATTTGATTTTCCCGAATTTGCCGATTTAGGGACAGGTTTGGCATGTTTTCTTGATTTGGTAGCATACTGTCTAAATGCACTTGGTTGAAAGAACTGAGGATAAACTGGTGGGCGCTGAACTAGTAGCCTTGAGCTCAAAGAAACTGAAGATGATACAGTTGCATAGGTATTAATTTTAGTGCATATTGTCCTTTTTGAAGTAGAAATTATTGCAATTGTACGTTTTGAAAAGAGATGTAACATGGTGACGAAGTTGTTCGGGTCACTGTGCCTGAATGGATGGGGGAATTTTAACATAAACCACTTAGGTTTCCTCTCACAACCAGGCCGGGTAACTGCCACACTGGTGCCAATCATAAAAATGTAGGTATGCATGTACCGTATACTAGGGGTGTGCCACCTCGCGACCGCGAGTTGTTGGATGATTAAATAAATATACAATGTACAAGTGGTTTCCGGCCTTCGGCCGGTTAGGACAATGAAATCAGCTAGGTAGTCTCGTCCAAATGTGACAGGTCGTCTTGGAAATGTGACAGGTCGCTTGGAAATGTGATATATTGACAGAAAGTGATATATTACATGTACGCTAGGCTCACTCAGGACTAGCGCGCAGCATTGCTGGGTGAGGATCCCCAGATCGCCTCCACCTCCACCTCCACCTCCACCTCTACCTCTACCTCTACCTCTACCTCTACCTCTACCTCTACCTCTACCCCTACCCCTACCCCTACCTCTACCCTACCCCTAACCCTACCTCTACCTCCGCCCCTCCTACCTGACACCTATGCTAACGTCTATATAGACTCTTAATTCGACACCTAATTCACGCCCAAATCGACGCCCAAATCGACGCCCAAATCGACGCCTAGGAGGCATCAAATCGAGCACCGCAGCGAGCACCGCAGCGAGCACCGCAGTCGAGCACCGCAGCGAGCACCGCAGCGAGCACCGCAGTCGAGCACCGCAGCGAGCACCGCAGCGAGCACCGCAGTCGAGCACCGCAGCGAGCACCGCAGCGAGCACCGCAGCGAGCACCGCAGCGAGCACCGCAGCGAGCACCGCAGCGAGCACCGCAGCGAGCACCGCAGCGAGCACCGCAGCGAGCACCTAGTCGAGCACCGCAGCGAGCACCGCAGCGAGCACCTAGTCGAGCACCGCAGCGAGCACCGCAGCGAGCACCGCAGCGAGCACCGCAGCGAGCACCGCAGCGAGCACCGCAGCTAGCACCGCACCTAGCACCTAGTCGAGCACCGCACCTAGCACCGCACCTAGCACCGCAACTAGCACCGAGTCGAGCACCGCGGCGAGCACCGCACCTGGTCGAGCACCGCACCTAGCACCGCACCGAGCACCGCACCTAGCACCGTTTCGAGCACCGTTTCGAGCACTAGCGCGGGCGTAAGTAGGGGTGCAGGCGCAGACATGAATCAGGCGATGGGAGGTGGTAGGCGCGAGGTGCTAGAAGCGGGTGCTGGAGCGGGTTCTGGGGTGACGCGGGTGCTGGGAGCGGGTTCTGGGGTGATGCGGGTGCTGGGAGCGGGCGGGTGCTGGGTGCTGGGTGCGGGTGCTGGGTGCGGGTGCTGGGTGCGGGTGCTGGGTGCGGGTGCTGGGTGCGGGTGCTGGGTGCGGGTGCTGGGTGCGGGTGCTGGGTGCGGGTGCTGGGTGCGGGTGCTGGGTGCGGGTGCTGGTTCAGGTAGGGTAAGGCTGCTAATATTATGGCGCGTTGCTGTCGTTGGGTTTCCCCTCTTCTCCTTTCCTTTCACAACACCGTCCGTTCGCTTGCGCAACAACCTTCGCTTGCGAGTTCAAACACACAACAAATAAGTGAGAGTTCAAATAAGATAGAAATTCAGATATTTCGGTGCTTTGCCCTTGATATCCTTCTATACTTAGGAGTACAATCGCTTGTTCTTGTTGTTCTTGTTGTTCTTGTTGTTGTTGTTTATTCCTGACTCACAGCTTCTACAAACCCGATTCACTAGCACAAAAATGCCTCCTATCCGATCCAAAAGAATACCACCCCCCAAAGCATACAAAAAAGCCATCAATGAAATTGCTATCTATATAGCTAGCAAACCCTCTCTTCTGCAGAAAATCAGAGATAATAATATTGATTCCCTTGTTTCTTCTATTAAGAGAGAGTTCTGTAATGTTGCCGATGGAGTTAACGATAGCATTTTCAATGATATTTCAGCTTTCCTCAACCACCCAAACAAATGAAGGAGCCGAATTGCCATCAAGAGTTAAGAGAAGCGATGAAGCATAGGAAGAATGAGAAGGAAAGAATTAAAAGAATCAAAGCTGTATTTGTGCAGGAGTGTAACCTCAAGGAGGACGATGCAAGGAGAGACAAATATTTGGAAAAGTTTACGATTGTGGAAGTAACCCGATATCAAACACCTTACCCTCCACCCAGTAATTGGGTGTATGAGTCCGAGCAAATCCATGACATTTGGCATGATCACCTCCATCTTGGTAAGCCGAAGGACAAAAGGCTAAAAGTACCACCGATGCTACTTTTGGAACCACAATATCTACAACTAGATGTTGCCGAAGACCAAAACTACATTTTTGTTGATTCCAACACCAAAGAAATTGTTGGATTGGTTGCTAGGAATTGGATGGCCGAGGGCAAGAAAGAAACTCTAGATTGGGTCAATGAGATTATTATCAAGGAATGTCAGGTCAGGAAATCAGTCCGAGTAAGTATTATTTCTTTCCAAATTTTACTATTGCGATTGCTAATTATTTTTTAGCTTGAAGATATTGGCAAACTTTGTCAAATGGGATATTCAGCTGTTTCCAGAAGCAAAGCCAGTTTCGATTGGGTTAGAAATATCACCTCCAAGAAAAACCGATTGGAGGACTTTGAGCACTTGGGCAGCTATATTTTTGCTCTTCTTTGGAACATGAGTAAGGGTAGATTGCCGAAGCCGATTATTGAGGATATAACTGGGTTTTGCAATTCTACCCTAATTCCGAGAATGAATTATGCTGCTAAAGACAGGGCTACTTCTCAAATCTTGGGGAATTATACTGTGAGGGTGGGAGCCGATGACATTTAGTTTGACTGTGTTCCGATGGCACCCCCTTCTGGATTTATGGCATATAATTATTCAAGTTAATAGTCACTCCGAGTACTTATATTTCATTGTTACTAATTAATTATAGGGGTACTCATAATGAAAAGTGCCCTCATAAGTATGCATTGTTCTGGACTACAGCTAGGACATATGGATCCGAAGAGGGGGGTCACTTCTTCATTGCCGATTATGGAATAAGAATTAAACAGTCAGCCAATTCAGTGGTAGTTTGGAAGCCGACTGACTTTCATGGTACTACTTTATCAGTAAAGGGCCCTACCGATGAGTCTGATTCCCATCAAATTGGTATGAGTATTGTCACTCCTGTCCGATTGGTAAAGTTGTGGGAAAAATATCAACAGGAACAAATTACTGCCGATAATGTTGAGGCTATTTTGGTTGAGTCCGATGATTCCGAGGAGGAATAAATTGTTATTTCCTATATTATGTATTGTTATTATTGTTGTTACTGAAAATCTCCACTCTTGTATTAAGTACCGATAGTTTTAAAAAATTGTTTTAAAAATAAAAAAAATAAAAAAATAAAATTTTATAACAAAAGACTTTTATATACAATATTTTTAACTTTGTTTTTATCCCCGATATCAATAACTGAAATATCATTATCCAATAAACACTTAATATGGTTTCTATTTCTGACTCGGGAAACACTTGTATACAGTTGACCATGTGCAAATACAGGAGTTCTGAGATCGATGACAGCTCTATCGAGTGTTAAGCCTTGACAACTATTGAAGGTTGTTGAGTATGCTAGTCGTAAAGGGAATTGTCTTCTCTGTACAGTCCAAGAGCAATATTTTGGTTGAAATTCAAATACAATTCGGGGGAGGCAGAAAACAGTTGTATCTCGTCGAATATTATCTGCAGTAGATATCAATTCAACTTTGACAAATCTTTCATATAGCTCTTTAATAACTACTCGGGAATTTTTAACCAAGCCATTCTCCAGTGATAGATTTCGCATAATCGAACAAACACACCCAACCTTCAAAACCAATCTGTGTGTAGGCACACCAAGCTCCTTCAACACAGATATAAAATCTAGAATCTCCCCCGATGGTAGAATATTGATAGTCGGGGATGTGAAATTAGGGTCTTCTTTGATACAATCGTGGCTGTAGTATGTTCTTTCTTTAATAAATAATGTATCAGTATATTGTAATTTTTAATAGTAAGGAAAATAAATATACATACTCTCTATTGTCGGGAATCTTTCAAGAATCGCAAAGTTAAATTGATCTACATTGATATTCAAAGGACTAAGAAAAGCACGATGGGAAACAATCGCTGGATTTTGCAATACTTCTGTTGGAAATAGAAAGTCAATTGCCTCCTCGATTGAGTTCAAAGACTCAATTAAATCCAGATTGACAAACGATTCATTTGATTCTTGACAACCATCTCCAATTTTGTCTACCCACTCGGCATATTCTAACTCAGAGGCATTTCTTATAGGTGTATCCAATCGTAAAATTTTGAATTGTTCCCAAAGGTAGGATGATCGTATAGATGCTTCAAGTGTAGCTGTTGGTCCTGCAGATTTAACTACTGGTGCTACCTGTCGAAAGTCACCTAAGCCAAAAATACTTTGCCACCAAATGGTTTGTCGTTGGCAAGCACGAGTTGCAAGAACTCATCTGCACATTCAATTGCTGCTTTGTTGGCCATAGGCATCTCCTCCCATATAATTAAGCTTGACTGCGATAGTAATTTCGCCCGATCTGATCTGATACTCAAAGTCGATTGTAGCTCCATATTATTCTAATATCGTAATGTCAATGACTGTTTTTACTAAAACCTTCTCATAGGATAGCTTTACCTCAACGACAAGAATACCAAATGCAGAATGTGCAGTACGACCTCTCTCATATAGTGTAACACTCAAAGCTGTCGAACCAGTAATAAAAACAATATCTCCTTGCCCTCTTAGATAATTTACGATCGTATTTACAACATATGTTTTGACCCGACCAGCTTTTCCATCCAGAAAAAAACATGTATGTTCAGGAATCTCCCCGATTGCTATTTTATCGATATTATTCATGATAGTATCAAAAGCATCCATCTGTTGGGGTAATAACTGTTCCCGAGATAATATTGCTATCTCAGTAAGTTCGATACTACGATGATCAAATGCAAGAGTCTCAATGGATATTTCATCTGTGAGGTTTTGAGATTGGGGTAACCCAAAATCAGTCAACCTACTACCTTGAGCAGCCAAATGTCTTGCAATCCCCTCCAAACATTTATTCATAACCATTATCGGAGAATCATATTGGTCAAGATAATCTGCCGAGAGAGCCTCCTGATATTCCTCGAACAATTCAATAGCTGCCACTGGAATATTCATCAGGAGATGTGCAAACAGAAATCGTAGCTGGTTAGGACTGCAAAAGCTTTGGACAGCTTCTGCCATAATTTCTTTCCCCTCCGACTGATTTTCGAAGAGACCTAATGCTGCTGCTGCCTCTTGGAATGTTGAGTATGTAATTTGATTGACAATTTTTAGGTCCTCGAAACAATAAGCTGATCCATGAAGTAGGAGAGCTCGCAGGTAGAATAATTCTCCAGTTCTCGGGGAGACTGTATCGATTCGGGCAATTGCTTCATTCCTTCTCCTAGCTCTTACAATAAACTGTGGATAACTATTGCATATTTCTTCAAGGAAATCGGTATCTTTGAAAGTGGTTGACGACTTCGAGTACAGAATCCACTTCTCGTAGTATTGAATATAAGTCAAATCTTGAAAAACTGTATCTCGGGGCCTAGAGAAATATCTAAGCAAAGTCGATGCTGTAGATTCTCCACCATCCTTTCGATACATTTGATGCATGTTTCTTCCAGGTAGATGAACTGTGAGCGATTTGACTGCAGGCGATCGATCTGTTATATGGTATTGCAGGATCCTCCATGCTGCCTCCGAGGCAGACAGATATCTCGCATTGATATAGTCATTAATCTCGTCAACCTCCTGCTGTCCTTCAACATTGAAAGAAAATAATGTTCGATCGGGTCCTTTAAATAAATATTTATATAGATACATGAAAATATTAACCGTAAAACATATATCGACATTAACATGACATTCTAGTAGCTTAGTAAGAAATGGCATATACGATGCTATCCATCGATCCTCTTCCTTTCTTCTTCTATACTGTACTCGACCATATTGATTAAGCTCTGTAGTTTCCTGAATCGCTTGTGGGTATCCCCAAATACAGGATCCATTTTTGTTACACCGACTGTTGGGAGAATTTAAATGTGTTTGGGGGTGTTGATTGAATCGTAGAACCAATTCTCGTAGGACAGAATCTTCCTCTTCTGTAGGTACTTCGGCAGAGACAATGGAATCAATAGCTGAGAAAGGTAACTCGGGATTCACCTAAAAATTTTTAGAATCAACCTCAATTGGGGTTTCGATTATCTCACTTTGATAACAACATGTGCATGTGGTAACCCCCTCTTTTGAAATTCTATAACCCGAACAATGTAAACTATTGTCCCTAAATGGCTCCGAATTTTGGCAATGGCATTCTCTAGCTTTGCTTTAAATACCCGACAAACAATAATTGGTATATCTGAGGCATTCTGTCCTGGATTCAATCGTTCTTTAATTTCTGGCCAGTTAAGATTTGTTGTAATCGTGATAAAAAAGGATGGTTTGCCTCTTGACCGACAGATAGCAAGAGAGTCGGCAACCTCATTCGATGCCCATGCTCGGGAACCTAGGAAAGAGTTGGGTAGTGTAGTGCCTTTCTCGATGGGTAAATCACCTTCTGCTTCTGCAATTTCAGATTGCTGGTTGTATTGTCTCTCTCGTCCTTTTCGTATATAGTCCAATCTTTCATCCTCCACTCTCGAGTACATATCCACCAAATATTCTCCACACAATCTACCAAACCTCAGAAATCGGTTCTCTGTTGTGAGCCTGGCTCTATACCATCGAATTTGACTGATATCGGATTTGCAGTCCCAATCAGGTGTACCATGAGGAAAGAAAACAGGATATTGTAATGGCTCGTAAAGGGGACTTAATATACTGATAGCTTTTGGACGATCCCGAATATTGTTGTAAACTAATACACTCCGAGAGTAGACTTTTTGTATATTGTTGGCATGTATAATCGCAGCAATTTCTCCACCACTTGTTGGTGTATATAACTCTAGTGCAAGTGGGGTATCTATTGCAGTAGTAAATGCTGCTCGGAGATGGTAAACAAAAGGATTGTTATCTTCTAATAGTTTTCGAAAGCTGTTAACTAGGGAGGAGGGTACACCAAGCTCAAGAGCTAATGAGTCTCTTGATTCCTCATCGTGAAGAAACCATCGAATTGAATGTTGCCCTTGGTTGGCATCCAATAACTGATGGTATACTCGTCCTGTTATAGCAACATTTGAAGGTGTCGGTAACTGCCGAAATCCACCTGTAACTCTTAAAATTGAAAATGAAAAAATATTGTTGAGTTTTCGGCTGATCCTACTCAACTGAGAGACATGTTGCACAAATTCAATTTCGGTATCGGGTGGATATACTGGTAGGGAGGGTAATCGATATTTCCCATTAGTACAACACCAACCATTATTCTCACTAGTTAATAAAGCTGCATCACAATAGGTGCATTGTTTTGACCAAGTAATAATATATGGTCGGAGATGAATTGTTTTTGTAGGTAAAATATTCCACCAATTGCTAGACAATGAATTTGGCTCTACATTGCTTTGGTTTTGGGTGGATTGTCGGCGATTTGTAATTTGTTGTTCAGCTCGGGAATTTAATCGCATCTCAATTCGGTCTAATTGGGAGCTAGAGGCTTGAGAGTTTCTATTTCTTCTTGTTCGGATCCGATTCAATGTTCTGGAATCATCGATTGATTGTCTGGAATTGGTTCTTGGCATCTTTGCATTAAAAATTGTATTTAATATAGAAATCTGTCGCCCAATTCCTAAAGAGGGATACACGATAGTTATATATGCCATTGGTAATAATACACTCTCCCGACTAAAAATAAAATAGCTAACGATAACTCACAAACCAATATATCCTATACCAAACCTATTCTAGTCAGAACCAACATCCTCAATAATATCATCCTCAATATCCTCAAACTCGTCATCGACAGAACAGTCATTAGATACACTCGAAGCTTTCTTTTTGCCTGGTGTAGTAGGTTTGGAAATAGAAGATGAGCTAGCAGTGATCTTTAGAGGGGGGGAGAACTTGAATACAAACTTGAATCATCCATCGCAGATCTTTTCTGAGCCCGAGCACCCCAAGATCTTCCAACATTTTTGGACTCAGATCTACCTGAAGATTGTCCAAGAGACCCACCTCCCGATCCAGATTGCATTACTGAAATATAGTTTACTGATGACACTATACAACCAAGAAAAGAATGAGATGCCAGTGATGAATTATCAACGATTACTCTAACTAATCTCCCACTGATTTGAATTACACTATCGACTTGGGGTAATTTTGTGCTCTCCCACCTCTTTCCTGGTGGTATATACCACCTGATTACAAAATACTTTCGGGAAGCTGATTTGGAGGCCACCTCTACATCATAGTAGGAGGATCGTAAATCAAAGGATCTCCAGCCTATAGAGAGAGACTTGATAGTACCCTTAGGTTGTCCTACAACCTTCCCGACTGAGTATATAGTGGGACAAGAGGGTGCAGGGGCTATATCGTCAAATCGTGGATGTGTCGGGTCACCAGCAAATCTAAATTAAATTTATTAGTTTCTAATTTTAATAAAAAAAACACCTTAGTTAAATTCAAATTTCTACTTACCTCCGCTTTTATTCTACGTAAAGTAATAACAAACTGGTATTGTCTTTAAATCCAGAATTCAGGTGAATATTCTGTAAAGAATCGACAAAAAATGATCGGATGGAATCTTATCGAACTAAGAAATATCGTCAGCAAAATAAACTAAATCGTAGATTTTGAATACATTTTGTTTTATTGTAAATTAAGCATGCAGTGAATTTCGGTAGAAGCATTCTCGTTGAATATTTGAGGCATCGTATCAAAAGATATTGTAGGCAGAGAGTTTGGAAATTGATTGTTTAACTAAAAAATAATGTGCGATCGAGAGTAACTTTAAACTTTAACTCTAACAATCAAAACTCTGACTAACACTAACAATAATAGAAAAACAACGTAAGATTTCCGTATTGGCAATAACATCATTAGCAATAACATCATTAGCAATAGCAATAACATCATTATAGGGAAAAAGCAATGTCCCTACCCGGATTCAATAGAAGGAGACAGTAAACTCCCCGATTCGCCACTAACAGCAATAGAGGAAAAAAACAATGTCCCTATCCGAATTCAATAGAAGGAGACAGTAAACTCCCCGATTCACCACTAATAGCAATAGAGAGAAAAAACAATATTCCTGCCCCCAAATCGTCACTAACAGCAATAGAGGGAAAAAGCAATGTCCCTACCTGAATTCAATAGAAGGAGATAGTAAACTCCCCGATTCGCCACTAACAGCAATAGAGGGAAAAAGCAATGTTCCTGCTCTTGAATCGCTACTAACAGCAATAGAGGGAAAAAACAATGTTCCTGCCCTCGAATCGCCACTAACAGCAATAGAGGGAAAAAGTAATGTCCCTATCCGAATTCAATAGAAGGAGACAGTAAACTGCCCGATTCGCTACTAACAGCAATAGAAGGAAAAAGTAAACTCCCCAAATCGCCACTAACAGCAATAGAGGGAAAAAGCAATATCCCTATCCGAATTCAATAGAAGGAAAAAGTAAGGTCCACGATTTGTTGCTTATATCAAGAAAAAATAATATTATCAAAATATTACTAATCAAACTACCAAGAAAAAGCAATCTAATACCTGGCCAATCAAAACCTTTAAATAACACATTGCATATCGGTATATCTATATACTTATTAGATATGTAGGGGGGGCTCCTTCCACCCCCCCCCCCTTCCTTTTCCAATCCCCAATCCATCCTTTCCACCTCCCCCCAGCTCCCCCTCTCCCCACTCCAGCTCCTCCTCCCACAAGCCGTCCACCTCGTCTACCACCTCCTACTCCCAGTCAGATCATATAATATCACTATTTCATTATATAGAGCTTTTTAATTTAATTATACAAAGATAAAGACTCAACGGTGCACTCTCATGCTCAAGTATTCTTAGTGTCATGCTCAAATATTTACACTCCCATGCCCAAATATTCTCAGTCCCATGCTCAGATATTCGCGATTACATGCTCAAATATTCGCAGTTTCATGCTCAAATATTGGTGTCGTGCTTACTAAACACCCATGTCGGTGTCGACCAATCAGACTGCAACAATCTACATAATAGAAGATGTACTACACATACCTACAAATGGTACCGGGTGTTGAGGGTAAGCTACACCCTAGTACATGTATGTAGCTTCAATGCTACTTATACATGTAGGTAAATACATTGTGCATTATATCTAGGAACAGTGCCAGGTCGCTCTTTTTTTTCCTTCCTACCTAATAAAAAGGTATAAGCTTGCAACCGCTCAACTCAAACGGGCAAAATCCAGAGTTGGAATTATACAGGGAGTAATTAGCTACAGCTTCCTTTAACAAAAATCCCATGAATTTCCTAGTATTATACAAAGTATCCAGCAGGACAAGGAAAGAAACTTTAACGGTAAAACTCAAACTTATCCGCCTCATTTCCACCCTTAACTTGACTACTGTAGGCATCCTCCAAATCGGCCTGGATGATATTGTACCTATTCTTTCTTACAGCTCTCAAACCCGCCTCTTGCATGATTGCAGCTATAATAGCGCCCGAGAGAGGGTCGTTACGGATGATGAGCGAGTCTAGGTCAACTTCAGGAGAAAGTGACATTTTGGATGCGATCGTAGAAAAGATGAGACGACGCTCACGACGGTCGCGGAGAGAAGGAAACTCAATTTTACGATCAAGGCGGCCAGGGCGAAGAAGCGCTGGGTCAAGAGTATCCGCGCGGTTTGTGGCCATGATAACCTTTGTCCTATTAGAAAATGTAGGACAGAGTTATTAGTCCCATGGGAGTATACTTACTTTAACGTTTGAGGTTTGATCAAATCCATCCATCTGATTCAACAGTTCCAACAGAATTCGTTGTACTTCACGATCTGCACCTGTTTGGGCATCAAAACGTTTCGTTGCGATGGCATCAATTTCATCTATGAAAATTATGGCGGGGGAGTTCTCTCTAGCCATGCGGAAAACGTCACGAACCATTCGAGGCCCCTCTCCAAGATATTTCTGAACAAACTCGGAACCCACAACGCGGATAAAAGAAGCAGTAGTACTATTTGCTACAGCCTTTACCAACATAGTTTTACCAGTCCCAGGAGGTCCGTAAAGTAGAACTCCACGTGGCGGATCAATACCTGCACAAAGTTAGTGTATGTTCGGCCCATAACAGATCATAGTAGCAAACCAATCTGCTTGTAGAGATCAAAATGGGTTAAGGGAAGCTCTACGGCCTCGCGGATCTCTTGCTTTTGCATATCTAAACCACCAACATCGGCGTATGTTACATCAGGCTTCTCATGTGCTTGGAGCATAGCAATGGAGGAATCTGCTTCTGGAGGAAGAATGTCGACAAGGGCATTTGAATGTCTGTGAAGCGCTACTGATGATGAAGGTTTCAGTAGTTCACGGTCAAGGGTAGACAGGATTCGGACGACGTAATTTGAACCCGTGGAGCTTTGAACGATGCCAGTACTAAAAAGAATAAGTTATCAGTGCCAAGGGATTTCATGGGACAAGTTAACAAGGTACTTTTGATCGATAGCCTCCATGAATTGCCCAATCACCAAAGGAACGCTTTGGATGCGTTTGATCTCTTCCTGCGCCCGCACGAGCTCCCTTTTCAGGCTCCTATCGTTGTAATCAGAATTTTGAGAAATAAGTTAGGAGAGTACCCGAAATACCTTTGCTCATCTTTGATATATTCTTCCTGTAGGCTTATATATCTATTTTGCCGCAGCTATCAGTTATCTATAACTCCACCAATCCATCAAGAAACCATAGATGGACGATCTGTCCATCATCCAGTCTCCATCATTCAGGAGTGAGTAGGCTTACTCAAGGTGTCGCTGAAGCCTTTTAAGCTTCGCATAGTCGTTGTTATCCGTGACCAAACTATTATCGAGGGTGGAAGCATAGGAGGGGTCGGCGAACGGTGAAGATGCGGGGCGTTTTTGAACGGCGACGTCTGCCATGACGAGCTTTATATATATTGAAGAAGTTTTGGTTGTTTTTGACGCTTTCTTGGAGGATGGTTGTGATGATGGGTAGATGATTGGGGTGTGGACGAAATAAAGGTTGAACGTTGCTCCGTGTAAAGAGAGTCTTGAAGCTATTCTTGAGTACTTGTGGTACCACCAGGCGCAGCACTGGGAACATGCAGTGTGACGACAAGTGACCAATCAAGTAATCAAGGGCTAAACGCCCCCCATACAAACCACATACTGTACTTATCCTTCTCTTCCTGCCTCGCTTTCCTCTTACTCTCTCGCCATCACGCCTACCTAGATTCACAGAATACTTCAACTTGTTTTCGGCATTACATAGGTCCCTTTTTTACTTGCTTACCTCGCTCCCCGGAACGCGTCTTGACGCAAATCGCCAAGATGGGCCAGGACACTTTGTTCCGCTCGTCGGAAATGTCGCTCGTACAATTGTATGTAGCGACAGAAATAGGGAGAGAAACCGTCAGTGAATTAGGAGAAGTTGGCTTGCTTCAGTTCCGCGACGTAAGTCCCCCACTATCAATATTTTTGGTGAATAAGGAGGAGGAGGTCGGGAAAACAACAAAAGCCGTGTATCCAAATTTAGCAGAGAAAGAGAATATATGCTAATCTTTTCGATTTTATAGCTTAACGCTGAAACCTCTGCCTTCCAGCGGACCTTTACCAAAGAGATTAGGCGGTTGGACAATGTTGAACGTCAACTTCGTATGCGCTCCCTGAACACTCTGCTCGGAATCGCGGTAAGGTATTAATAGTCGCAGGTTATTTTGCTTCTCAGATGGAAAAGAACTCTGTTCCAGTTCGCCCTGTCCAGGACAATGCAACCCTCACTGCTGCCCCAAGCTCTTCGGAAATTGATTTTCTTGCCGAGCGTGCAGAAGCCTTGGAAGCCCGGGTCAACCAACTAAACGGATCTTACGAAACGCTTCAGAAGAGATGGGTTGAACTCATAGAGTATAGATGGGTCTTGCGAGAGGCTGGTGGCTTTTTTGATCGCGCTCATGGCCAGGCGGATGAGATTCGTCGAGGTTCGACCGACGAGCCTTCTGCTCCTCTTCTTGAGGATGTTGAACAGTCAACCCCAGCTCAATACGGAAATCAGGGAGAGATGAGTTTCCAGACAATGAATATTGGATTTGTCGCTGGTGTTATTCGCCGTGATAGAATTTCGGCATTCGAAAGGATTCTCTGGAGGACATTAAGAGGAAATCTCTACATGAATCAATCCGAGATCGATGAGCCAATCACAGACCCAACAACCAACGAGAATGTTGACAAGAATGTTTTTGTAATCTTTGCTCATGGCAAAGAAATTCTATCAAAGATCCGCAAGATTTCCGAATCTCTTGGAGCCGACCTTTACGCAGTTGATGAAGATACGAACCTTCGTCGCGACCAGCTCCATGAGGTCAATAGGCGTATAGACGATCTTCAATCAGTCTTGCAAAACACTAAGAATACTCTGAATGCTGAATTGAGGACAATCGCACAAAATTTGGCAAGCTGGATGGTGATCATCAAGAAGGAAAAGGCTATTTATCAAACAATGAATCTATTCATTTACGATTCCGCACGGAAATGTTTGATCGCTGAGGGTTGGTTACCAACAAATGTTTTGCCCAAGATCCAAGAGCGTTTGCGGGAGGTTACTGTCCGTGCTGGATTACAAGTGCCCAGCATCCTAAACGAACTTAAGACAACAAAGACTCCACCAACCTTCCACAAGACCAATAAGTTTACTCTGGCATTCCAGACTATCGTTGATGCTTATGGTGTTGCAAAATACCGCGAAGTCAATCCAGGTTTGGCGACTATAGTAACCTTTCCATTCCTGTTCGCCGTCATGTTTGGTGACATTGGTCACGGAATCATCTTGACGCTCGCTGCCCTTGCTATGGTATGGTATGAGAAATCTCTTCAGGGAAAGAAAATTTTTGAGCTTTTCGACATGGCTTTCTTCGGACGATACATCATGCTGCTCATGGGTATCTTCTCAATTTACACAGGTCTTATCTATAACGACATCTTCTCTAAACCCATCACATTATTTGAGAGTGCTTGGGAATACCCCTCTCACTTCACGGAGGGTGACAACATCGAGGCAGTAAAGAAATTGGGCTATGCGTATCCTTTTGGTCTCGACTGGCAGTGGCACGGAGCAGAAAACAGTTTATTATTTACGAACAGTCTTAAAATGAAACTCAGTATTATATTGGGTTGGGCTCACGTGAGTTCAACGTCATTCCTTAGGTTTGGTCTTTACTAATAAGAGTTATTCCTATTTAAGATGACTTACTCTCTTTGCCTGTCACAATATAATCACCGGTACTTTAAATCAAGAATCGATACCTGGGGCAATTTTATCCCAGGGATGATCTTCTTTCAGTCAATCTTTGGGTACCTGGTTATGTGCATCATTTACAAGTGGACTGTTGACTGGCCTGCTCGAGAGCAACAGCCACCTAGTTTGTTGAACATGCTTATTTACATGTTCCTTTCCCCCGGAAATGTTCCAGAACAGCTTTATCCCGGACAGTCGGGAGTGCAGGTTATGTTGTTATTAATAGCACTCGTCTGTGTTCCATGGATGTTGATGCTCAAACCCTTATATTTAAGGTGGGAGCATAATAAGCATCGCGCAGCTGGATATCAAGGATTGGGTCAAGTCTCAAGGGTTAGCGCTCTAGATGACGATGATGAGGATGATAACGTCACAAGAGGAAGGGATAGTGTGGACAGCGATGGGTCTGGTCATGTACTCATCGCAGAGGAAATGAAGGAAGAAGAAGAGTTTGAATTTAGTGAGGTGGTGATCCATCAGGTTATTCACACCATTGGTAAGTCCTCTCAACATATCATACTCTACTTGAGGTCTTAAACTGATCGCAAATCCAGAATTCTGCCTGAACTGTATCTCCCATACCGCCTCCTACCTCCGTTTGTGGGCACTTTCTCTTGCTCATGCACAGCTCTCCATCGTTCTTTGGTCAATGACCCTAGCCATTGCCTTTGGGTTCACCGGTACCATCGGTATCATTGCAATCGTCATTTTATTCGGGTTCTGGTTTATTTGCACAATTGTAGTGTTAGTAATTATGGAAGGGACTAGTGCCATGTTGCATAGCTTGCGATTGCATTGGGTTGAGGCTATGGTACGTTCCTCTCTTTGGCATTTGTTCAATGTGGTTACTAACATACTTGGTAGAGCAAATTTTTCATTGGAGACGGTATTGCTTTCGAGCCTTTTAGCTTTAAGCTGCTGTTGGAGGAATCTGAGTAGTTCATTCTGCATGTTGCTTTCGAAGCATCCGCAAATCTTAAGGACAGTAGGGATATCATGATAGTGTTTAGTACGATACGAAATTGGTTTGGTTACTTTAAGGAACTCTGATAGGAGGGCTGCGTAGGGTTGCAGTGTATTTTAGTGAGGTTTTGCGTTGCATATCAAGTCATTTGTAAAATCAGAGTAGTTAATAGCAGCTATTGGCATCAAGCACAATTGCTTCCTATTCATATTTCTAATAATTTAGACCCTCTTACTCCCCCTGAAATTTGGTTACAGCGTGCAACGGGACAAAGGGCCCTACATGCATTAGATTCTTTCCCTAAAAGCACCAGCCAAGACCCTATATCGATTTTCTTGTTGAGTAGGTGGGTAAATTTGGTACCAGGAAAAACGAAGCAAATTATTGGTTGTAAATAATACATTCCGACGCAGGCAAGCTACATGTAGGTTTCTTCGGTCACATAATCGGAAAATTGCCGGAACATTTTCGGAGCATTTTCGAATTCTTGGAAACTGCTCCGGGAGACGGTCTAACCCCAACGCGGAAGACAAAGCCCACCCACATATATAAGAGCTAGATATGATCCCATATTTTGAACTTTCTATGCCTCCTCGCACCATGGCCTTCTCGCAACTTCATACTTTGTCACTCGACCTGAAAAACTCTCAAAATAAATGTGCGCGAAACAGTCCAAGGTATCAAAATGTTCATAATTCAAAAATAAAGTCGACGAACGAGATGTCATATCAACCCTAACACTAATTCAAATTATCGTCAGACCCAAATAACTCGTAAACCCATGAGCTAATCTAACGCCTCCATACTATAGTCATTACCCCGCTTCCTCTAGACCTTATCGGAGTGCGATATACTCGGCGACTGCCTTGATGGTTTTTAAAATCCTTATACAAAGCGGTTCGTTGCCCCACCTATCCGTGAGATTTCCAACCCTCGACGCCGGCACGCCATGGAACTGCCCCGTAATTATCTCCAATTGCTTCACAATTTCCAGCACTTTCATAGCTTCCTTCCTTATAGCAGTTCTAGCCATAATCTTCCACTGTTCAGGATCAAGTTGCATTGCTTGTCCATCGCCCATAACTACATATTGCGGATCGGTGGTAGCCTCTATAGACGCCAATACCCTATGGTAGAACTGACAAAGCAGTGGCAACTGAATTCCCAGCATCATTTGTGCGATATAGGTGGCCTGAACGTCTGAGTGACAGGACTCGCAGTTGAACGAAGTCTGAGTGGCTTGAAGGGCTGCATCTGATGTCTGGAGGACGTATGGGAGTGAGACAGAATGTGTAGGTGGTGGAATTCGAAGCATCGAAATTATTGAAAAAAAGGTAGACAAGCAAGAACATGAGGTTTGAAGTGGTCTTTCCTCTATTCCGGGGAAATAGGCCGCCAGTCCATCGCTAAAGACAAAGGGCTCCGCCGGTCTGTCCCTTAAATGGAAAGGCGAGGGCTCGCCTGTACGAAGACGGAGAGTAGAGTTACGGTTAGGAGGTGATACGGGGCCCTCAGACATCCCGAGAATCGCGCCTGCAGGTTGAGCTTCCAGGTCAAACAAACTATTAGGGGCTGCGCTCGGCTCGAAGGTTTCACTACACAAAGCGAGTAAACCGCCTGTTAATTCTACCCAAATACTCACAGTAGAAGATTTAAGGATAAACACTCACTAATTTAACCATTCAAACTGGTCCACAAAGAGTGTGCATGGAGGGTTACCTTGCTCGGGACCCACGATTTGATTTTGGTTGTGATGACGGTTGGAAGACGGTTCTACTATTGAAAGCTCCGCAGGTATCTGTGAAGAATACTGAGCCTGCTCATCATCTGCCGTATCGCCGCCTCTGCGCCTTTTCCGAGGCCTCCCCATAGGCTTCTGGATTGAGTACACGCATGCTACTTTATCTTTGTGGCATCGCTCGCAGCCAGACTGATTCCCCGAACATTTGAGCTTTCGCGCGCCTGCAGGATCATTTATTAGCTCTTCGATTCCACTTCAAAGACATTAAAGGGATACGTACGGCACTCATCGCAGGCAGAATGTTTCTTCGGTTCCCGTTCCATTGTCGGATGATACAAGAAATCACCACTGACTTCTAGAAGTTGGATTGTGCTCGTAATATCTTATTTTCCCAGCCCCTTCGTGTTGTCTGACAGGCTCCTCAATAAAGGCTTGGTAATGAGGGTTCTGGGATTAGTGGCTCCCTATTTTTATACACCTGTCTGTTGATCCAAAGAAGATACATGTACATAGATATGTAGGTTCATGTATTCTCACAGCGGTTTCATAACCGACCTGGTCCACAGGCAGATTGATTGAAGACTGAGAAGAGCAAATATATTGAGTAGACTTGGAGGCAGCCTTCATGCATTCAGGCTGTATACCAGTAAAGTCGCCCTCACCCAGTTTTAAACCTCTCTTTTCTTACTAAAACGTAGGTAGATGTGCACAGATTAAAAACTATCGCTCCCTTCACAGGGTTCCTCATTCATGATCATCTTGGCGACGTGTTGACAATAACATGATACATCTTCGGCTGCTACGCCCTTTTCCGACAGGGCTGTGCTTGTATGTACATACAGCTGACGCTCGGAAGGCCATCCGTCCGGGAAAGTGCTACCGGAGTAAGCAGTAGGTTGTGGAGTATTTACCAGTTACTATGCAGCCTCACAGCATCAGTAACAGTTGTCTGTACTGTATGTATGTGTATTATCTGGAGTTCAATCAAAGCAGTTTAGTCCCCCTCTTTAATCCCAGCACCGGTATCTATTGCTATTGGGGTGATAAAAATTCGGTGAAACACCTCCTCATAAGGCTGTGAATACACCTTCGATCGATGGTGATCATACGCTGCTATGATAGCTTCGATGGAATTTGGTAATTGGAGTTTATTTTTATACTTTGCCTAACTGCACAATTAGCGTGGACAACACATAGGCTCTGCAATACTTACTCTTGGGGAGAGCACGATTGACAATACCTATCTAACCTACATACCTTATATCTTATGTACTTGTATGTACCAGCGAGATGCCATTAAACCGTTAGATGCCGAGATAATAAGCCAACTCTGCGCCACAGACCCACGTTTTCAACCCCTTTGAATGTTCAAGGATGTCACATCTGCAGATATTTCCAAACTTGAAAAAAGCGAATGATGTTCACCGGAGGTGGTTGAACCCTGAGAACCCGTGTAACATTGTGGCGCATCGCAGATCTCTAGCTAGCTCGAGCTAACTTTCAATGTATGATTAATAATAGAACTAATAGAGTACATGTCCTCGAGTGATAAAGTGTGACCTATCACGCAAGCACTCTTCATATATTGGGATTGTATGAGTGTCTATAGATACGATATTAACGATTCGAGAACCTGTATCTTTTGGTCTCCCATAATCGAAGCCCAGTAATAAGAGAAGTTGATCATGAGATCTCGAGATCAACGTACATACCTGCTAAATTAAATCGTACACTGGCTATATCACGTGCCAAGATCATAGCCGGGTAACAGGTAGCAATGACGATATTGCATTTCAATAATACATGTATATAAGCTAGAATGTAGTAGAAGCTTCGCGATCGAATTCGGGTGATATATCATGAGCATTATTTTATAGCATATTTATACAGAGTTGGCCTCACTCTCCTGATGCGATTGAATCAAATCTTTTCTTTAACAGAAATTCTCGATCAAAATGCTTCCACAGTCACGTATTGCAGGTGCCGTTTTTCGTCCGTTGCTTCGAGTTCCACCACTCAAAGCAGTGATTCGAAATAGCTCAAAATCTCAATTACGACTTCCTTTATCAAAGATACTCTCAATCCCTCAAGTAAACTTATTACCTATAGTCTATACCAGGGGATATGCAAGTGGACGGGGTCCAGTGCATCCACCCGGTGGGACACATCGGATGAACGTTGGTGGTGGCGGTAAGTAGATATATCACCGTGGCCGCTGCATTATAATTTTGAGCACTTTTGCAAATATATTCATTCTAACGCCCAATATTAGACGAAAAAACAGCTCTGGAGCAGTTTGGAACCGATCTGACAGCTCGCGCAAGAGATGGAAAATTAGATCCAATCATTGGCCGTGATGCTGAGATTAAGCGGACAATCCAAGTTCTTTCCCGGCGGACTAAGAACAATCCTGTTCTTATAGGAGCTGCCGGTACGGGAAAAACTGCAATTCTTGAGGGGCTTGCACAGAGAATAGTTCGTGGGATGTTCCTGAGAGTATGAAAGAGAAAAAAGTCATCAGCTTGGACCTCGGTCGGTTAATTGCCGGGGCGAAGTTCAGAGGAGATTTTGAGGAGCGATTGAAGGTAATGAATAATTCGATTGTAATCATTATCCATGTAATGTGGCTAACTGTATTTAATATATAGGGTGTTCTAAAGGAAGTCTCTGAGTCTCAGGGAAAAATCATACTTTTCATTGACGAGCTTCATACACTTTTGGGTCTCGGAAAAGCGGAGGGATCAGTTGATGCTTCGAACCTTCTCAAACCCCAACTCAGTCGTGGTGAGCTTCAATGTTGTGGCGCAACAACATTGAATGAATATCGTCAAATTGAGAAGGATGCGGCACTGGCCAGGAGGTTTCAGCCCATAATTGTCGAGGAGCCAACAGTTCAAGATACAATAACTATTCTTCGAGGGTGAGTTATTGGCTCTTTGAGGTTAATATGATGTTTTCGCTAATTTTGCATAAAAACCATAGGATCAAAGATCGATACGAGGTTCATCATGGTGTTAGGATCACTGACAGTGCGTTAGTAGCTGCGGCGACTTTGTCAAATAGATATATTACGGACCGTTTCCTCCCCGACAAGGCCATAGACCTAGTTGACGAGGCTGCATCCGCGCTCAGGCTTCAACAGGAATCTCGCCCTGATGAAATACAAGAGCTTGATCGTGCGATTCTGACGATCCAGATCGAACTCGAGTCACTCCGGAAAGAGGAAGATGTTGCCTCTAAAGAGCGAAAAGAGAGACTCGAGCAAACTTTGAAGGAAAAACAGGCAAAGGTCAATGAACTTATCAAAGTATGGGAGAAAGAAAAGGCGGAACTTGCAGAGATCAAGAACACCAAAGCAGAACTCGAAAAAGCAAGGTTAGAGCTTGAAAAGTATAGGAGGGAAGGTAATTTTGGGAAAGCCAGCGAGCTGCAATATTCAACGATCCCGCGCCTGGAAGCAAAACTCCCAAAGGATGGCGATTCATCCTCAAAACCATCTCTTCTTCATGACTCAGTTGATGCAGAAGATATATCCCGCGTTGTGTCCAAGATCACCGGAATTCCTACAACTAAATTGATGTCTGGGGATGTCGAGAAATTAATTCATATGGAAGATGCTCTGAGAATGAAAGTCAAAGGCCAAGATGAAGCCCTCAAGGCTGTGGCGGATGCTGTGAGGCTCCAGCGTGCCGGTTTGGCGAGTGATAACCGTCCTACTGCTAGCTTTATGTTCCTGGGTCCTACAGGTGTTGGTAAAACAGAATTGTGCAAGAGGATGGCCGAGTTTTTGTTTTCCACAGAGAACGCTGTCATACGATTTGACATGAGCGAGTTTCAAGAGAAGCACACAGTTAGTAGACTTATTGGGAGCCCAGCAGGATATGTCGGGTATGAGGACGCTGGGCAGTTGACGGAAGCTGTGAGAAGAAAGCCATACGCAGTCCTGCTGTTTGACGAGTTTGAAAAGGTAGTCCTCTCTAATCGCAATTTTTTACCAGAGTATATATACAGTGTTCTAATTATTTTAAAAGGCTCACAGGGACATTTCATCATTGCTTCTTCAAGTTCTTGATGAAGGTTTCCTGACCGATGCCCAAGGCCGCAAAGTCGACTTCCGTTCTACGATAATAGTATTAACGTCCAATCTTGGTCAGGACATATTAATCGATGATGCCACACCTGAAGGCCCTATTACCCCCGAGACGAAGGCGAAAGTCATGGAGATAGTTCAGCACACATACCCCCCCGAGTTTCTAAACAGAATAGACGAGTTCATTGTGTTCCAGAGGCTTTCCAGGGAAGCCATAAGGGATATCGTTGATATACGTCTTAAAGAGCTACAGGAAAGATTGCTGGACCGACGAATCACACTAGATGTAGATCCGGAGGCAAAAGAGTGGTTAAGTAAGAATGGTTACGACTACAGATATGGAGCTAGGCCTTTGAATAGGCTTATTAGCAAGAAGCTTCTGAACCCACTCGCAGTTAAGTTGATTCGTGGCGAGATAAGAAGCAATGAAACTGCCAAAGTTAGGGTCAAGGAAGGTGGCGAGGAACTAGAGGTTTTGGCAAATAGGGAGATCGAAGAGGGCGGGTCACGACTTGGAAAAGTGTGATGTTGCTAATATTATAATATGTATTATCAATGTGCATTGGTTCTCAGTACAACAGCCGATTTACAAAGTGGTCAAATTTTTCTTTAACGATTTCTACACCTCCAACCGGTTTGGGATATGGGTTGATGTACGGGTGTTTAAATCAATACGAACTACCAAATTCTCAGGGCTTTTTTTATATTATGTATGCGTTAATTCTATTAAATGGCTGTATCAATTGGCAACACAAGCATAACATTATATATAGCATATATTGTGTATCAATAAAGTAAATATTCGTATGATCACTAAGTAATAATGTTGGCCATTGACCTAGAATATCGAGGTCAGATACCGCATACACATACGCCAGCACATTTATTCATGAGGTCTAAATCAAAGTCCACACGTATTCCTATATTAAGCTGGGCGAGTTAGAAAATCCATCATAAGTACATGTAGTACATATGTACTTTCAGATAAGTAACAGATGTATACGTAGCTCGGTACCTGTTGATGTGATATGATATCTCAAATACTACAGGATGAATTATGTGTATGCGATCTAGCCGTACACGTGTGCGGGCCGCAAACACATCACCTACCCCAGCTTTTCAAAATGTCATAGTATATAGACTACATGCAACTATATCTACTTCGAGGTTCAAGTTTGCTTTTTATTGGGATTATACCATACATTCGGGGCAAATCAACGTGGAGAGACCAGGGAAATGCCATTTATCCCAATGTGCACCCACATAATAATGGTAAACATAAAGTGCTTTCATGTACGCCGATGATCATGGTTTTGAATCGGCCGATTACGCCGGAGTTATCCGCTGGAATTTGGGTTATTGCAATCCGGAATTCGTTGGCAAATTTATAAGTGCCTGCAACTGTGATTAGAAAAATCTAAAAGGAGTGGTCATTTCGGCGAGGCTGTGTCTAGCGAGAAATACCAAATTAAAAGCACTTTAAAATTTTGAAGATCGGGGAACGTGATAAAACCACCTTGGGGCGAGCATTACTAGTGCTATAGTACCACAGCTATATTAAAGTATCTCTGGGACTTTTCTTTGTGATTTTATAAAATCAAAACTGGAATGTGTTCACCGAATTCTAACTATGCTGCTCATCAAAAACTGAGTCATGATAAATCACTCGGTAGTCCTATTACTCAATTTATCAACGATCATTACACGTAGGTTGATCTATGATTGAGTTGTTCAAGCAATAATTCTCCGGAGTAATTATTAATGTATTATTACGACAACTATATCACGCATTGTTGAGCGCATATTCATCTACATACATAGTTGTACTTTATGCTCGTATGTTTTTGTAAATAAGTACAAGTAGCAGTATGCGCCCGCTTTTCTTAGATCATCCAGCTGGTACATGGTCATGGTCTCGTGTAGAAAACCCTCCAACGACATGCATGACGTGTGACCTATATCTATAGATATGTACGAGTTTGGGAGGGAGAGTAACATAATATAAAAGTTCTACGCTTTGAAATCTGAAGGAGGTAGATCATCAACTGAACTTTCAGCAACCGAGTCGGGTACGGTTTTATGGTACCCAGGCCGGTACTTGGGTAGCAAAGATCCCAAGAGCTAGTTAACCCTATATAACTACAATCCATCATATTTAGCGATTTAAAAGGAGGTAATGATACCTAGCCGTCGGATTCCAGGGCACCTGGCGCATATGTACATACATGTACGTATGCACGCATATTGGGTTTAAGGAAAATCGTCAAGCTAGCACAACGTGGAGGCTGTATGGTGTGCCTACCTCGAAGTGAAACGCTGAGTAGGGTGCCGGTCTATATTTAAGAACTGTATTTAAACCCCCTTACGTATATGCGTGCACATGCTTAAGTAAACAAACCTAGGGCCAAGAAACAGCTCGGCATAAAGGTTTCTAGTACATGCAGTGCGCGCCTTCATATATCCTGTGATAGGGTGTACGTGTACTGGTAGTACATACACACCGGTCAACTCATGAAGAGGAAATTATTTCCTAGCTAGTATGTGTAGTCCATCCTACACATACATGGGGTGAGTTGTCGAATATTTAATAGTGAGAAACTGATTAGGCCCTTTTCAGTTGCAGGAAAAAATAGGAGTACTGGAAGATACGTGGTGATGATAAACGTCGCTGAATTCATAAAGTTGGTAACATGGCCATGGAGTTCCACTTATAAGAGAAACAATTTCCAGTAAAGAATATTCGCTTTTTATTGAGGTGGTTATCCTGGCTTGCCTAAAAACTGGTTACATAAGACAGGGTTGGGTTTAAGTGCGACCTTTAAGGGATCGGTGATTCGGTATATCCCGTTCAACTACCGCCAAAACTCGAAAAATTGGCTATCTCCGGCCAGGGATTATCACTCGAGTGATTGGTTGAATGGCATCGATCTGCATCAGAAGTTTCCCATACAAGTAATTTTGATCTCTGGAAGCTAGCCAATTTTTCGAGTTATGGCGGTAGTATTTAGATTAGAGTAGGAGATGGGGGGGCTTTTCTTGGCAGAACCCCCGCCATCTGTCCATACCGACGTAACATCACCTCAACCCCTTGACATATCTTTCAACAAGCTTAAAGACCCTCTAAATTAAATAAAGAAGAACCGATCCAGGCACCAAAGACTTGAAAATGTCGGCTCCAGAACCAAAAAACTTCGCGCCTAAGCAGCCAGTCGCCCTTGCACCACCCAAAGAGGACCCTATCTCTGTCGAGCACTTAGCAAAATGTAGTGGTAGGTACCCAAGAACAAAAGAGCTCTATAACAACCAAACTTGGTCTATGGGGTCATCTATAGACAATACTATATAATGCCTTTTGTCTACTATTCAAGTTTCTAATGCTCTGATAGGTGCTAATCCGGATTATCCCACATACGTTGCCATTAAGGTTTGCATATCATATTTTATCACCTCCTATGAGATACAATAGCTAATTGGGGGAAATTTCGAAAGGGGACTGTTTTTGATGTAACAGGAAACAGTAGCTACGCCCCGGGAGGCGCCTATCACGGTTTGTCATCCCCGAAAGGCCTCTCGTTGTACCCGAGCTAATTATCTATCACTTTTCACTAGTTTTCGCTGGTAAAGACGCATCTCGTGCGCTGGCCAAATCGTCTGTCAAGGAGGAGGATGCTCTTCCTGAATGGTCAGATCTCTCTGAAAAGGAAAAGGGTGTTTTGAATGACTGGTATGAGAATCTTGCTTCGAGCCCTTGTTTATGCCTTGTGCACACACTGACATTTATCTCAACACGATTTTTTTGTATCGCCAGGTTTACTTTCTTCAGCAAGCGCTACAACATTGTTGGAAAGGTTACTGGCGCTTCTAACCTTTAGATCATAAGCCAAAACACCTTACTTGAGTTATGTATGTGAGAATATCAACGTGTTCTCGATTTCATTGCAATACCAATAATAGGAAGCATATAACTATGAAAGAAATCTTGGTGATATGTCTAATATCTTTGAGTCCGGCGAAATGCTATGTACCAGTTTAATTGTGCGGATTCTTAGCACAAAGAAGGCGTATGCAGGATATCCGTTGCATTATCTGTGTCCACGTGGGTTAGGCGACATCTAAAATCTCCCGTCAATTATGGCAACTTTTCGCATAAGAGTTCCAATTTTGACATTTTGCAAGGTCTTCGAAGAGGAGACATTCGCTGCCTTCATCGTAAGCTAGGTTTTGTATCCTGACCTATGAGTTTGTGAAAAAACAGCAGGAAGGCTTGATTAGCAGCAAGGGTCACTTTTTATATAAAATCTGTATTACATATACGAATACTTAGGCATTCAGTAAAAGGCTGTGACACTTTTACTGAACGCCTAAGTAGTCTGGAAACGAAATTTGAATACCGTATTCATGCTGCGTTTCAGAGGGACTGTGGGTACCGATTGCCTATTGTGGCAACTCACATCAATAAAGAAAATCCTGGGGTAGATAAGTCATTGTCCCTTGGATAGACTTAAACTCGCAGCCCCCTTGGTCTAATACCAACCATATTTGGTAGTTAAAACTAACTTTTAATTAGCTCTGTGGCTACATTTAGGTACATGTACATGTATCTCATATCATCACCCGTAGTGTAAAAAGCAAATTTTTTTACCTGACTAAGTTTATGCACGGACAGTTTTAAGCGTACAGCGGGGGGGAAAATTATTATAGAAGTATGGGAAGAGTCCTGTTTTTAGACCCCTGTTTCTACAATAATTCCCCCCCCCCCCCACTGTACTCTAGTACGTACACCACTACATGTAACTTAACTATCATGTTTCCTTGAGAGTTCGCCCCCATAAATACATAGAATTTAGTACGAGCCAATATTCGGAGACTACATGTAGTGTTCTTGATGCATCTTGTTGTTGCACAATTATAAGTAAGTTACAATCCAGCGATGTACAGCGGTAGGTAATAAGTGATGGAACACAGCGATACCTGTTTTGGTAAAACGCCACCAACATTTGGTGTTTGTACTCCCAGGGCGTTCCATCACTTATTACCTGTCGCTGTGCCTACATATCCTTAGTGCTCTCAAACCTTGCAGTCATGCATGTGTACATGTGTTTTGGTTAGTTGTTCATAGTACTTGGTAGTTCCTTCCTATATATAAAACAGGGAGTTCAGATCGTGGCCAATTAGATCTATCAAAATTCACGGCGGGCGCCTGACCCGGCCGTACGAGTATGCAGGAGATTTCGCCAGCAAAAAGAGCGAATGTAACAAAAGCATCTAATAGGTCATCTGAAAATGTTGTGTAAATCCTTGCCCATTGTTATTTGCTAAATCCTTTCCTCTAGATGCTTAGCCCATGAGTCTTCCCGTCAGATCTTATCCGGCCGCACTGCATGGCCGTTGTCGATGTAATTTCCCCTGTTCCCCTGCTTCGTCATACCAAGGACAAACATGCAAAAGAAATAAATAAAAATTCAATTAAAAGATGCATCGAAAATAATAAGACCAGTAAACAATCATTCATATCAAGGCTTGCTAACAAACAGTTCATGGATTCAGTGCAGAGAGAGTTTAGGAAAACAATTTTAATTCAACGGAGTTCATGGCTAGTATAAAAACTACCATTCATATAAACCTCTATCCCTCAGGCCCAGGTTCTATTCCTTAAGTCTTGCAATCGGAGCATTTCTCTCCTTCAACCCTTTTTTCGCGTTTGATGGCTGCTACTCCCCAGCATTGGTGGAAGGGATCGTTTCGAGCAAAGTGGCAGTAGGACATGAGGCGGAGTTTGGTGTGGCTACACTCCTCATAGATGATCTTTTCGTAATTGCACATTTCCAAACGTATAAATGTGTTGGAAGGTATTCGAAAGAAGGGGTATGATCAAGAGTCTTGGGACTTTTTTGTGTAGGAATTATGATTGACTAGGTGTTTGGTATTGGGATATGGAGGAATTCGAGAGATGAGGAAAGGAAAGTGATTGTGGATAAAGAGGTCTTTAATACAAATTCAATCAACCAAGTCGAGGTAGAGACTCGCGGATCTCAAGTTGGAACGAACGGGAATGCACTCAGACGTATTTGGAGGCCTGGAAGGCGTTTTAATTTGGGGTTTATCATATGAAGAAAATAATTAGGTGGGCAGTGAAGGTAAAGGATCAGAATTCGAGTAAACGACTTTCAAACAAAAACCTGAATCTCCACTTTCCCCAGGAATTGAAATGACAGCTAAGAGCCCTCACTTTGGACGGATTTTAAAAAACTCCGCATTACATACTATCACTGACGTTACCCTCATTATTTGTACAGTGGCGTACAAATCTTTCGCGTACGGATATACGTCTCCGGGTCGTCCTGAACACCAATTGTTCTAATGGGGGTTTCATCATAGCAACGAACACGATTTAATTTTGCAGTTATATAGGTTGCGTATAGGTATAGCGAACATGGGGATAAGAGTTCACTTGGCATAAAGCCTGAAATGGGCCAGTTTAGTTGATCATTTCAAGGGCCATCATCCCCAGTATGTACTTAGCTGCAACTGATCATGATCATGATATATATGTCTAAGTATGAATATTATTTATTTATTTTTGAGAGAATACGAGCTCTTGAACACGCAATACGCAGAAATGCACTTCTAGACTTACCATAAATTAAGCTACTGAATTAAACTGCTGGATTCATCATTTGCAGTCAGTTCGTCAAAAAAACTACGGTTGATGTTTGAAACAGAAGCTCCACTCCCGCTGCATCATGGCAACCAAGGCCTGATCTACTTTGTTGTATAAACTGAGGTCCGGGCCTTATCGGTTCTCTCTCTATATCATTGTACCGGCCGGCCCTGATTGTGAGTACCTACTACGTGTATGGAAACCAAGGACTTACGGTTGATAAATCAAGGGCATGTTCAAGAAAAGATGGATACCTATACTTCACGAGAGCGCATTTTAGGCTGGTAAGAGGCAAGATTAAGGAATTTATGTCAGGCATGTGAATTAAATATAAAGCACGTTATCCATCATATTTTGTATCATTGGTTCTGTAGTAAGTATTCGTTGGGAATTAGAACTATTATTGGGCTGGGCAGCTAGCGCCTGCTTGACGATCGCACGACCGTCATTCACTGCCTCATGCACGTGGTGTCGAGGGATTCTGGAGCTCGCAATTTTCTTATATCTATATCACATCTCTTCTCACTGGAGACTTTAAACTGCTTCATCACTCATTTTCTTGCCTGATATTATCAAAGAAGCCGCTGAGTTTCGCCATCATGATCTCGGATATGGGCTGGTTTTCGCACGTATCAGAGGGTAGTCTTGGGCGGTGGGTATGGCGGGAGTTGCAATACCAGTGAAGCAGAAAGCCTAGGACGAAACGTGGTTTCGGCATTGCCGGCGCGCGAAACCATGGTGTCAATCAAGCAGCCTTGGAGATTAAATTCTGCAGGGGATATCTTAATTTTTCCTTCTTTTCTTTCTTTTCCCGCAGTCATGCTTTATCACTCCATGCTCCGAAGCTGCGCCGACACTGGTCGATCGGTGATGCCACACTAGGGTCGATTGAGCTAACTTCTTGAACATCGATATCACAATGTAAAATGCGAAGAAATATATAGTAAAAAGAAGTTCTTTTCTCGAGCCCAATCTCAAATCTAGCCTTTGGAATCACTGGACCGTTGATTAATCCTCACGATTGTTCTGCTCGGGTATCCCTGTAGACTAGCTGGTAGGCAGGAGTTGAAGGCCGAAACTAGTAGTTCTCCGGCCCCCTAAGCTTTCAATACTTATGTGCGTCCCCCCTCATGCGAGTGTTAAAAAGCCACATATTTTATTAGTAAATACTAGCCACAAATTTTGTCTCACCAAGGAGGCCAGCATGTCTCGAGTAGAGTTTAATAGGATTTCCACCAACCACCCCCTTGGGAATTTCCCGAGAAACATCCACCTTCCACAGATATATATAATCTTATCCATAAACTGTAATAGGTAGCCTCGAGCGGAGGCCGACCCAACATAAATTTCTCTATGAATATATAAATACATGTAGTATACATTGTGGATCACTAGCTATGAACCAATAATCAGCAAGATACGAAAAGGCCAGTCTTGGTGAGGTGCTTTTCAATGTGATGTCGAGTATCATCTTGCCTTGCCTGGCTCGTAAAACTTTGAAAGTTTTGTATCTGGTATCGCTGAGTGGAGGGACCGGTTACCCCACCGGGAGGTCTTGGACATGCATCGCAACATTAATGCTAGTATGAAACATGAGATATCACTCACAATTTTTATCCCTCGTAGTAACGTTTCTTAAATAGGTAACGCGCTATCTGTATTACTAATTCGTCGTGTATTAACCTTAAACTTACATAAAAGGTGAAAATACGCTGCCGCATAATCTCATTACCACCCAGCAATACGTGTAGCTCGATGCATAGGAAAACGAGGACCTACATGTATCCCTTGGACGAATGAGACATTGGAATATCTCTCCCATGCATTAGCGTGCTCTATATAGGAAGTGATTGACTGAACTTAAGGCAGCATCCTGCGAAATATATGGTATACTAGCGTAATATAAAGACTGGCTAACGTAGCAAGCTGTTTATCCAAACGTTTTCTTTCCAATGTCTCACTCTTCCAAGGGATAGCCACCGCTCCCACGCGTATAATATGCATCCGAGCTCCATGGGGTTCAAGCAAGATGGAATAGGCCTAGTTACTTAGTACCTACATGCTTCAGATGTTTCATTAGAAACACATACTAGACGCCAAGTACCAGCAATGATACACATGTAACCAGCGGTAAGATGGTCATAGGCTCGTGATGAGACTAAGATGACCATCATGGCGGTTGTTATATCACTTTTTTCTTTTTTTCTCTTTTTTTCTGAAGAAAAAAGAAACCCCCTTTTTTCTTGTTATTAAAATTAAACTAAGATGATTGGGGCGTAGGATGAGGTGGGGGTAGAAACAAATGAATGCACGACTTGATAAATATGCACTTGTACTGCAAGATAGAAGAGATAAATGCAATCAGATAAATAAAATACATAGAGAACTTTCAGTTAAGTTAAGTAGAGCCTCAACAATGATTATCTCGACTCAACTACAGAAAGTCTTCCTCTCAGCCATATCGATAGAATGCTACGTTGCCAAAATCCGCAGTTGCAATATGTGCTGAAGGGTTATACTCTGGTTGGGAACTATCTGTCACCGGGAGAGACCATTCGTATGGAAAGTGGGGTGCTGATATGACTGATTCCGGAGGAGTGACTAGATTCTCTAGCTTTTGTTGAAACCGCCTTGATATCATGTAAGTTGATTCTTCCCGAAATCTATCCCTTAAGGTTTCGACTTCTTGCCATCGAACAATCATTGAGGTCAGAACGAACGTAATTGCTTTTATTGTTTCAAGGGCGGACTCTATATTCGAGTCATCTATGAGGGCATGTTCGCTATGCCACACTGCGTGGAGAAAGTTGTTTCCTATGAAGTATGTGCGAAGGGCATCGTGATACGTGTAAACAAATCGAGCATTGGAATCTTGGAGTATGTTCCGGAATCTCCGTGCGTAATTGACGCAATTATTGAAGATTTGGACCATCGCTTCGTCGCAGGGACGTGGGATCTTTGGACAAGGGGCAGCAACATAAACATTGAGGTAATACCATTCAAGATAGAGCCAGTCTTTGGTAGATTGATTAATCGACTCGGGCATTGTGTCTTTCCAAACCTTCAACATTTCTGTCCTTTGTCTAAAGTATGGCTTAGGGTCTTCGATGGGAATATTCCCAGAAAGATGCAAGTTTTGATACCACTCAGATTGAAGTTTCCGTAACTCAAAGAGTTTTGTGGCAGCAATCATCGGTGTAAGTGTACCCCTGACATATATTCTTTTAGCGACATCTGGATTAGCTGCCCTGGGTAGCTCTACTAGGACAGAGTCATCTGAAAAGGTGACCGGCCGCTGGAGGACCATGCTTATAGACCTATACCACAAACTTAAGCCCCAAACCAAACCAATACAGTACTCAGAGGTAACCCACAAACTCACCTATCCAAGGTATAAACACAGTAGAAAATCCTTCTTCGTAAATCAACATCAGATTTCTTCCTCGAATTCTTCAGAGGTTCTTGGTGAAGACCAATATCAATCATTATCCTCGACGCAGTTCCTATCAAATACCAGCTATTGAAATGTGCCGGCTCTAGCATTGAGTATTGAACTAGTAGTAGGGTTGCTTGAACTCCCGTGACCCCACTTGGCGATATGACAGAATCCGCATGTTCTAAGGCAGACTTGACAAAACAAGCAGCATTATGTGCTGCTACCGATTCTCTCCTTTTCGATAAGGACATTGTTCCTATCGCAAGAACCATATATACTGTATAAACATCAAAAGGACTGCAAGCTGCTTCATCGCGATAGACTGAATTTACTGCCCCAAAGAAACTGGATTCATTGAGGCAGGGGAGTGTCGTGAATATCTTGTCAAAATAATGCTGTATCAGTTGCGTTGCTACATGTCGTTCAGGCAATCCAGCCTTGGGCTTTGATTCGATCACTTTTGATGCAGCAGAAGCTTTTAGCATAAGTTTTGCAAAAGTCATGCTTTTAGTGAATCCATAAAAATCTCTTGTTGTGGCATTGATAGCCCTAGAGATGTCAGGCATAGTGGTCAGCTATTTGTCACAAGTGCGATGTGGGTAATTTGCGTACATATACCCCAAATCCGCAACCAATTCTTCAATCTCGTTCTCATCATCTCGCTTCCCAGGTTTATTTGATGTTACGGCAGGTGTCTCTGGCCGAACTTCGCGGAGATTCAGCCAAATTCAATGATGGGGATATAAATGGCTTCAAATACCTTCAGTTTGACCGATTACTGTTTGGGGCTCATACTGGGATTCCAGCATGGAAACCGAGCCTCTCCGGCCATCCATAGCTGCAAGTTTCTTTTCGAGTTTTTCTACCCTTGATTCTAGGGAGGCCATATAGCTAAAGGATTTATCAGAATATTTAAGTCTCGAGATGTATTGCCAGAGATGATGGTTACCTGCGTTCCTTGCCTCTCGCAAATTGATCCCCCCCACCAGTGCATTCGTGAACCTTACCAGACTTTTCACAAGCAGTACAAGCAGGTAGTTTTCCATCGCACTAGCTTTTTGGTTAGCAGACTTCCGAGTTCCGTTGACTGGGCCATGGAAGTTTGTTGAACCTTCACTTTTGCGCTCCTACATCGTGAGCACGCGCTTACAGGCCTGCTGACTCGCAATAATGGCGAACTTAAAGAGTCCATCGATAAATAGCAGATGATTTGAGTTAAATATATTCGAAGCTCAAGTAGTGTTGCTTGCTCAAGGGAGTGTCCCCCGCACTCTTCTCAAGAACGGCTGTCAGTGTCAGATTAAGAATAAGCTCAGCAAACCCATCACTGGCAGGGGTGTCAATCAATCAGTACAGTAGGTTGTAGCTAACGCGGGCGGCGTACTCAGGGCGGTTTAGGTTGTTGCCGGGATACACACTCCTAAAACAAGGATTCTTAACTTCTTTGGCTCTCGCATTCTGCGCTTTCAGCTAGTACGGGATGTCATGCATACCGTGGATCGTGTTCCTGCGAGAGCAGGAACTTTTAGCCACTCTGGAATTATGGCTTGCGTTGAAAGCATTTGCCATAAATAGGAGTGTATAGAAATCCACTTGTAAGGTGGAGGGAGGAAGACCTTACCCAGTAACCTCATCTCATGAGGGTCTTGGATAAGAATATCTATTAGTGGGTATTTAAAACTTATAATAGCTGTAATGCGAGTATTTAAGTATGGACTCGGTACATAATTTCTGGTGGCATAGTAAACAGTTCATAGCTACATGTACTTGACATACGGATATATTATATCCAAGCCTACTGTAGATGGCAATTCTAAAGCTTGAACCTGACCATGCATTTGCAAACTCCAGATAGAGAGAGGGCACGAGCCTTCGGTTAAAATAATCCGGAGGTCACGGGAGAAACTCCGGCGAATAAACTCCGTTCAAGAAATGTATCTACTAACGCACATAACACCAAACCTATCAATATGTAGCTCACAAGCCATCCGACCACGGCAACGAGAAGTACTAGGGTGTAGCGAAAAGTGATCAGAATCTGATAAGACAAATACATGTATTCACCGCAACATTCACTTATCAGATTCTGATCACTTACCCTCAACACCCGGTACGTATCCTTTAATAGCTGTAGCACGATCATCTATCATCTTCTGCAACCCCTGCACCCATGATTCCGAGTGTTGGTATTGGAGGAACTATTCAACGCTGCAGCGTGTAGCTTGCGGTATTCAGAAATGTCCTAATGGGTGTCTGTCATCAGGAGAGAAGACAGGCAGACTGATACTATGTGGGCCTCATTCAAACAGTCCCGAGATACCAAGCCGTCTATCCCATTCAGGAATACTATCATCACTGCAGCATTCACGAGGTATGTACTCGCAAAGTGCACTGTACACTGAATTATCCGGAACATCCATCTCCATCTGGTTGAGGTTCCCCTCATCTCGCTAGGCCGGCGCCCTTACGTTGTTGCGGCTGGTCGTGTCACACACCCAAACGCCATCTTCGCGGGGAATAAGCACGAGAAGGCTGACGCAAAATTCCTGCAGCAAGATACTCTATTGCAAGTCCAACAGGGGAGCTGTTGGTTTCTTTTCCCGGCGTATGTTCCAGTAGCCGCTACAAATCATCGGCTGTTGAACTCCGCCGCTCTCAGCTTTCTCCTCAGGTAGACCACCTCCGTCGCAACGAACACTATTGACACGAAATTCGATATCCATGAGTCCCCGATGGAAGCGAAGGAAACTAACAGGACACGAAAATCTCCGGGGGCGCGCGGGAGAGAGTATCGAAGGAGTCCCACTGAAGCTCGGCAAAGTAGTGACAGAGATGGAAATATCGAGAATGACAGTCGGGGAGAGGCATCTGAACCTCCAAAACTGTACCATACTTTAACAGCTTGCACACGATGCAGAACTGTAAGAAACCCATAATTTGTTTTAGGGCATAAGTTCTTACGAGTTATTGACAGCGTAAAACCCGTTGTGATGCCGGATTACCGAAGTGTGGGCCTTGCGAGCGAAGTGGGGCGCACTGTGAATTCTTCGATTCGACAAAACAAAAGACCATACCTAGAAGTTATGTCGTCCATCTACAAGCCAAAGTTCGGGCTCTGGAGGAGGAAATAAAGATGCGGGAGGCCTTGACACTTGAGGTTGAGACACCCAATATTGAAGACCTGGTAAGGGGGGTTGCCATGGTGAATTTCGCAGACTATGAACATTACAAAGAACCACGATATGTTGGAACTTCGAATGGGTTCACTGTGACTCGATTAGTTCTAGAGTCAGCAAAAAGAAATTTAGGATCCCAAACATTCAAGGATTTGACGACACAACATCGGCGTACATTTAGACATGCGCTGCGATCCAGTCCAGATCCCGAGAATCATTATCACAGCTCTGTTCCAGCAACAAAGCTTCCAAACCGTGAGATTACTGATAAACTTGTTGACCGATTTTGCCAGAAAGGTTCCTATCAAAGCTGCCCCGATTCTTCGAAGCACTGACTGATAGGTATGATATAGCTCTTTATCAGCTCCCAGTTTTACATGAGCCGACGTTCATCCAAGATGTGGCCGATGTATATTCCGGTTCAATAGATCCTTATAAGAACTTCCAATTGAAAATGGTGTTGGCTATCAGCATGCAGAGGCTTTCACGGCAATATGCAACTATTGCAGATAGTTATTTCCTGGCGGGACTGGAACACCTCGAAGAGGTTTTAGAATCCATGGACCACCGAACACTCCAGTGTTTGCTTGTTATGGCACAGTATGCTCTTGTCACACCTACTCGTATGGCGGTAAGTGTCAACCATTTACTAAATATGGTACGAGTCTGGTATCTGATTATTGTGTAGGTGTACCATATAGTTGGCATTGCTGTACGACTTTGTATGCAACTTGGATACCATCAGGAACGAACAATCATGCTGAGCGAAAACCCCCTCGACTGTATAACCAAGGATATGCGCAGGAGATTCTTTTGGTCGTTGGCATCTATGGAGTATGTAACTAATCGATTGTTTTAGCGAACTTCCCGGTCCTCTTGGTTGGAGTATTTGTCAGGGCTGGATTGCTGATGTCGGCTTAGATACGGCCTTTCGCATGTTCTGGGCCGACCTTCCTCCTTTGCTACAGCAGACTCATTCGTCGATGTTGGTTTTTATGAGACTGTTGATGACACTTGTATAACTGTAGAAGGGATATTGCCCGGGCCCCCATCTCCCAAAAAGTTGATATCTATGCATTTCTTTAGAATGAGAAGATTGCAGGCGGAGATCCGACAAACTCTTTATCAGAACCCAAGAGAAAACCCGAAGAGTGATGAAGACCCTTGGTTTCATGAAATGAGTGCAAAACTTGATAATTGGAGAGCTACCTGCCCTCAGAACGATCAAGGAAGTGGCATGAGCTATGACTGGTGAGTTCAAAGTGGGGGATCTTTTTTTCCTGTTACTTTCTTTCCAAATCCAGCTGACAAATTATCCCAGGTTTGACCATAGGTAGAATGGACTGAAACGACGTTTTCATATCGCGCTGACTTAAATACTCCAGATATCATCTCATGCGCATCTTCCTTTTCCACCCAACCCCGCAGATACCTCAACCATCCCTTGAGGCCACCATTCTATGCTACGATTCATCAGTTAAAGGAATCCACCTCCAAAAGAAGATGTTCGACGAGAAAACCATAGAATTTACCTGGGTTTATCTGCACCAGATATATACTGCGACTCTGACCCTTATCTGGGCATTGTATAATGAGGGAATTCGAGAGCTACATTCGAAGGAGGAGGTGGAATCCAACTTTGAGATCAGCCTATCACTTTTGACTGTACTGGCCGAACGATGGCCTGGGACGGAAGCTGCAGCAGACTTATTTGATAGGCTAGCCCGGGCAGCATTGCAAAGTTATACCACATATCAAGGGAAATCCCCAGTGTCAACGCACTCTTCGATACCATCACACTCCACTGCCACCTCACCAAGCCCTCAAAAGGAATCTTCGCCACTTCATAGGCATTCATCCCCATATGCTAGTTCTCCAAGTGTCCAGTCTGTAGAAGAAACTACTCCTAGTCCAGCGGCTTCTTGGGCTGCGAATTACATCGGAGGATCACACCTTTTTGAGAATAATCCGAGTAGAAGCGCGTCAGGGGCAGAGGTTCCCCAGGCTCTGCAGGATATGATGTTCAGTCCCCACCAAATGTACGGTCTTTTTGGGAGCGGTCCAGGTGCTGGAACACGTCATGGAATTCCAGCATTTGTAGGAGCCTGGGACCCCGTAAATACCTTCCCTCAACACACAATGGCCGCCCAGGCCATTAATCCATTGGTGGAGGGTTCTCCAATTCAGCAGCCAGATGGAAGTTCCCACGATCATAGAGTGCTCAATCAACAGCAACAACAGAGCGAGTTAATGAGTATCCTTGAAACTGAAGCAATGGAGACTCTCGACGATTCTCGACCCTGGGTACCTGATTACGATGAACACCTCCACTTTTATTGACCGTGTTTTCAGATATCTTGGGGGCGTTTTTGTGAAGTAAGGCGTATTGTCTCGGGTTTTGGGCTGTCGATCGTAATCCTTCGTGGTTTGATTATTTAAGTTTCAGTTTCTCAAGGCTGTATCAATAGCTGTATGATTGGATTTGAGCAATATCAGGGTGTCCTTATATGTATTTCTGTTATAAATTCGCCAACTAATTTCTGCTTTGTTCCTGGGAAAGGCGTCAGTAAGATTTGGAATTTCAAAGGGAATAGATTCTAGATACGTCCTCACCTCTGTCGTAATCACGCCCTGAATCGAAATACCAGGTAAAGAGGGAGGGGAGGGACTCTACAGGCAAGAAAACAAGCACGTTAAGTGGGCTATAGGCCTGCTATCTGGAAAGCCGTAGTTCTTATATACTAGCGATGCAGCTAGCACCTCATATAAACTTGGTCCATTGTGGAACCAACCCTGGACCGTCTCCGAGCCCAACTGTGCTTAGTGAAACAGCTACAGCCTTGGATGTGAGCCGCAAGCGTGGGGATCTGCTGCTGGGATTGGAAAGCCCCGCGACTTGCGACCTTCCCTTCGCCTTTATGCAGAGGGAAAGGATTTATTGCTCGGGCATGCTAAAGCGAGCCGTTTTCCCACTTTACATACATACATTCAGATACTATGATGGCACTCTGGGTTTCCCTAGCCGGTAACAATAGCATCTTGTGTACATGTAGGTATGTACAGATATTACATATCGTTTCGGCGATGCCGAAATATTCGGAGACGCCGAGGTGGGAGGGGTTGCTATTCGCTCCTCCTCGTCTTCATGCGGATCATGGTTGACTCTGTAATTGAAAAATGCACTCTCAAATTGCACGTACATGCAGTGCAAGTCAAATTGTTCGTAATTCTTAAGGCTGGCTTTAGCGAATACTACATGTACTGAGCTAGTCTACATTGTTCATGGTTCATGGGCGCGCGGGGGGGGGGGGGGGGGAGCCGGGGTCTCTCCAAGTCTTATATTTTGGCTCTCCTATTTCAAAGAATGAGCTTAAACTACATATAGGTAGTCACGTTTCTAAATAATCCCGCGATTGAAAACTCTCTTGGCTCTCAGGCCATCGTTCGATTACTCTCCAAAAGTAGGATAGGTGGTGTAGGTACATGTACAGCGCGGAGGCCGTGGGTTCTCACATGTTTCTTCTACTAGAGATTTATGATATTAATGACCCCAGAGCTAGAGATTTGGGGAATACCAATCATAACGATTGACCAGATACAATGTTGTACGCGCCATTGCCCTCAAAGTAGACACTCTGATGTGTTCTACATTAATATTACTGCACCGTATGCGTGCATCATGGATATAGGTGAGGAGGTTTTACCATACACGTATTTACCGTGTTCAAACCAGGGGACGAAGGCAGATTGAGAAATCCCAGCCATTGATATATCGAACGCGGATGTAGGTACATGTCCCGCACACGTACTCCCTTCTCGCCAACATTTTTATCTTATCCCTAGCCCCAAAATCAGATGGTGCCTGCATGGAATATTTTTGCTCCAAATCTGAAGGTTTCTGAAACCATGGAACCGACATAAAGTTATTTTCGCCTAGGTATCCTATCCCTGCCTGTAGATATTTTAGGAAACCTCTGTGAAAGATATAAAGTAAGTAGTCTGGAGCTCTTTGATCGTTACTATACCCCAGACGTTAGGTCTCGTTTAACGAAACCAAGAATACATGTGTGGTTACATGTATATATATATTAAGCCTCTGCATCTGGCCTACCACCATCAGTACCTACACTGGGGCCTAACCCCAGCCTAACTTTTGAATGCAACGGTGAGGCATGCGGCCTATGCTCCGGTGTCAAGAACCCGTCCGTTGCCCAAGCAATCGGGTCTTATCCCAGTTTGCTTCGCAAGCCAATGATAGATACAGAATTATCAACAACACGGTCTTCGGATACGTTATGATATTTTTGTAGTAAAGATAGCGGACCCAGAACAAAAAAGCTAGCAGACATGGTTTGGCATACTGGACATATGATCCCAGATGCCCGTCTACTCTATTATACATTAAATGCGTGGTTTTAACCAATACCTCCCATCTCCCCCCTGAACTTGATAGTCAATGGATATTGAATGCATGTACTTGTGACTGGCATTGCCCGCACCTCATCCGAGTTACCCGATCTGCCAAACAGGAAGACGTTTATGCGCGTGGCTCCAAAGCGGGAACTTTATTTGAGACAAGCGAGCTGTTAGCAGGGTCTCGAAGAAAACACAGCTCCGCGGAGAGATATGTATGTATGGTTAGATGGGTGCCATTAAAGGGATGGATAGCTTACTAGTAAACCCATATTTGAAGGTCTTCCCGTCAGGTTGATGTTTGTCTATCTCAACCCTTATGGCAACATTCAATGCACCTGGAATGGTCTCTACCCCCCTCTGCGGTTGCTGCTGGATGTTCCGCACCAGCTCCATGCTCACCAGCTCCTATGGTGTTTGTTTTCTTCCTTTTTGGCTTCTCACCAACCTCGGTTTTGGGGTGGGTATCAGTGTTAGTACGGGATGAGATGATTGGAGACTCTGTGATTACTGAATAGTTTCTGGACGGCATTGTGTTCATATTTCTCTGGCGAGGCTTTCCATAAACATCTTTGTTAAAGAAATCGAGGAGCTGCTCGTCGGTGGAGCTATCCAGGTGATGGAGCTTGTTCCTTCTGGCCAAAATATTGCTGACCGCTTCTGGCGGCGGCTTATTCGTAATGGCGCTAGAAATAACATTCACCATATACCTATGGTCGTTGGCTGTTGGTATATTTAGTTCCGGCTTCGAATAAAACCTTCCGATTGCTGCCAAATGGACATCTCCGCTCAACATCGTTATCCTCACTCGTTTCTCCAATGAAAATTTCTGTAATCGTAGCAAGAATGCGTTACGTTCTTCCTTGTGTGGTCTTGCGCAGTAATGATCGTCCAAGTCATCAAGGATATCGACTTGTCCATCAAACTTGTTGAAAATGGCCCCAGCTGCGCCAAACCGCTTGTTGAGGAAACGTATGAATCCGAAGAGAGGGGATTGAAGGATGTTCTCAAGCCAAACAAGCCGCGGGTAGGCGATTGGTACACCAAGTAGGATGATCATGTGGCGAATATCACCTGCTTCTTCGACCTCACGATCCATGCGCTCAAAGAGGAGGTCGTAGGTTTCGCGCTCGTTGATCATATGTCTTGTTCTTTCGCTCCTTGCATCGACCCCAACGAACCCAATCCTTTTACCTAGTCGGGCATACACAGATCTTGAAGTATCCCCGATATACCTCCCAGGAGTTTTCCCGATAATCCAGCAGGGGTCCTCTTTTTCTTCCCCCGTCGGTGGTGTGTGGTGTTGAAAAAGCATGTAATATTTCCTCGCAGTTTTTCCGACACCCCTAAACACAGGGCAGCTCATGAAACGATCCGTGTAGCTACCATATCCATCAATGATATCATGGTCATCCCATATATTTACGGACGGTATCTGTGAGTTTGCGTGTGAATAAGGTGCAGTACTGTACCAATCAACATAGTTGTTGAAATACCATTCGTCCGCATCGGCCTCGAGCTGCTCGCTCCATTGATAGGCCCGTTTCTTGGAGGCGCTCCCGAGGCTAGCCCAATCTTTGAGCGGGCCGTTGACTCGGATTCCATCATTGTATATTTGATCTCCGCCGCCGATTGAGATATGGAATGGGTGCTCGGAATGGACGCGAAGGACATCGTTCCAGAGAGCAGGGCCCGAGTAGTCAGCCTCGTCAGTACCGACGGAGAAACCTAAAAAATATCTAATAAGATCCCGTTGTCCTAATCTAAGACTAGTAAGGTGCTTACCGTTACAAGAATGGAACTATATCAACATCAAAACCTATTAGTCCCAAGGTTCTATAACCAAGATTTGGGGCGTCTCACCATAATTCTCATACTATCGTCCTTTCCTGGGACCCAAAAAGCTCTCTTCAACACTTCATTACTACCAAAACTGACGATATATTCCACCTTCTGTTCCTCCTTCACCATCACAACCTCAATTATAAATCTCCAGAATGCTCTCCCGCGCTCATCGAATAGCTTCAACCCAGGAGACAATGCTGGTGTCCTCCTGGTTTGCTGTCCTACATTATTCCCTAGAACCTCTAGGCCAAATATTGGGACACATTGTGATTCAGTTACAACAAGAACACTGCCACGCCATAGAGCTGGGGGTCTCGCGGGATCAGTTGAGTAGTCCGCGCCGTGATAGCGGATAAGAGGACCGCATTTCAGTGCTGGCCTAAAAGAATCTGGCGTTTCTGGGGCTAAGGAGGGGCTAATATGTGTGTTATTAACGTGCGCAGGTGGAATTACTGAAGGGCCGTCTGGGATATTAGGTTTGACTATCACCATTGATTTTGTTGGTGATATCTGACAATTATTCAAAGTAGTTTGAGTGAAGTGACCAGCTGTGGAGCGTTAATGAACTAGAAGGGAGGTTGGGCGCGTTTTGAAGGATTTGCACAGCGCATAACTCGACTCCCAAAGCATGCACCTAAGACCCTAACGGCACCTGGACTCGTACGTGGTTTCACTTGTAACAATCGTCCAAGGCGCTCATTGAGTGAGTAGCCGATCTAAGTCTGGTATACCGCAAGAAAGAACGCGGGCTTGCGACGTCATTCGATAGCTTCAGCTTGTTATTTTAAGATTAGTTACTTTTTGACGATGGGTAGCAGGAAGCAATGTGACATTAAAAGCCCTTAATTAATGAACCTATCTACTCGCGTGTAGCATAAAGAACCAGAAAATGCAAGTGACGGAGTAGGGACTTTTTCTATGGAGTTGCGCTGATCTGCCATACAAAATACTCATTTGGTTCTTTCCCCTACACGCGAGTACCGCAAAAACTCACGAACTTTGCTAGCGGATCTGACCAAAAACTAACTTGTAGAGGAAATATCTGAAGCTGATCTCTGCCTTTCAGCCAATCATCAATGAAGAAATCCCTGCACGGAGATAATCAAGTTGGCGAGTTTCTGCGGTACTCTATATGTATAATGTAGCCATTTATTAACCTAATAAAGAAAGTAATAAACCGGAAGACCTACTCTAGAGGGAAAGAGAGACGGGTGAGTGTTGAGCCGCGGCCGCCAGGGTTGGTCAGATCCCAGGGTTGGTCAGATCCCAGGGTTGCCAGATCCCAGGGTCTTTCGATTGTAAATTAGATAACGACGTCACCACCATAAACCTTTCTGATTAACGTTTGCTGCGATGAAACCAAGCCTCCGGTTCCTTCAGAACGCTGCGAAATCGATCCAGCCTGTTCCAATCTTGAAGCCCCCATCACTCTCAGAGTTTCAAAAATCCTATTTTCAACCTGAACTTCCATGTGTATTTCCACCATCCCATTTCTGCGATATCCCCGCCATCTCAGCCTGGTTCAAACCCCACAAATTATTTCCAAAGACCGAAAAATCGATTAACATAGAGTTCTTCCGTGATATTCTCGCCGAAAAAGGCCGTTGGGATGTATTGGTACCTCTAGAGTTCACTGAAATATTGGATGACGGGAGGCAAACGTTCGATCGGAGATACCTGCCATTTCACATATTCCTACAATACCTCGCCGGTGACAGCTGCTCGGAAAAGTCAGTGATATATCTTGCGCAAGAGCAGCTTCTACTAAGTTTTCCGGCTCTTGGAGACTATGTGCCACCACCGGAGTATGTAAAAAAGGCTGGCAAGGGCGATATCTATGATGTAAACATATGGATGGGCTTTAGTGGAAGAACCCATACACCACTTCACAAAGACCCAAACCCTAATCTTTTCGTCCAATTAGCGGGAAGGAAGAAGGTTCGTCTATTCCCGCCAGAAGTGGGACGGGAAATGATGGACGTGTATCACCGGGGAGGAGATATCTCATTTCGAACGGGAGCCGAAATGATGGTGGGCGAACATAAGGATAGGATCAATCAAGTCGTATGGGGGGATGGATTAACCGATTTTGAGGGTCGGGGTTTCGAGGCCGAGGTAGGGAGCGGCGATGGGATATTTATACCAAAGGGATGGTGGCATGCCGTCAATGGAATCGGCAGTGGAGTTGGCAACAGTGTTTCCGTGCGTTTTCTCACTCCACGTATGACCGTCTCTTGAAAATCCCAATTAACGAATTTACAGATAAATTGGTGGTTTCGGTGATAGAAGTTTACTCCAAGCTTCCAAACCTACGACCTCAAATACACCTTAATAAGGAATGAGTAAGGGATGAATTCAGACTACATGTAGTACCGGAATGCCATCCACTGATACTCATGTGTACCGAGTGATCCCCGGCAAATAAATGGGTCTTTTTTAGTACTAGAATGTTCATATTCACCGGTAGACTTAGACCAGGGTATATCTTTATCTATTTTCCCTTCTGAGAGGAAAATACATGTAGTGGACAAGATATAGTTGAGAGACTTAAGAGATTATAGCTGTGCTGGGCATAATTTGCGCCCTCCATTAAATACTAGAACACATCAGATATCTCTTGCCCCATGCGAAGGATAAGGTGAGGTGGTTTCGGGAACTGATGGGAAGGCCTACTTGCATAAGGACCTAGCTGGGCACCTGTACTCGAGCTATAGAAGATCAATCACAGGTACTATATAGAAGGAACCAAACTCAGGCCCTTGAATTCCCTACATTCTAGACTGTAAACATGCCCCTAGAGCAGGATGATAGTGACCCAGGGGTAACACCCGGAGTAAGAGTATAAACACCTCGATATGCATGCCTGATGAACATATTTTATACCTCATCGTTATAAAGAATATGTCGAGACTATAAAAATACCCCCCTGGCCGGCGCTCATCTATAAACAGAACAAAAAGTAGCATTGATGGTCCAGTCATATCTACTACTCCCACCCAGCCTTGAACCCTAAACCCTCTGTACAACCTCTCGGTGTCCGTCCGGAAGGCGAGTGTTAACCGCTAGGCCACTCGCCAATGTGTGTTATCGGCCGGAAGTAATATTTCAACGCCAAGGATAAATGATAACCTCTACATAGCTCGATTGTTCGCGCTAGTTACTACAGTAGTAGATGTGGTCTTTGCGTCATGAAGCATCACTCGAGCGCCAAGGAAATTGCTTCTGTAGCATTACATCTCTGTCTCTTTCCCCAACCGCCTAATAGTGTTTGCAAATTTTTTTTTGGGGGGGGACAGAGAATATCAGAAATTAGTAGCAGGTGTCATTACTGCATCTATGTATATATATCATTCTTGTAGTCTCGTTCGCAGAAACTCGTTCTATGCAGATCGCGATCGATCGATGAGATGACGGTCTAGCTGCCAGTTATCATATGGTCATCCATATATACCGATATCCAGTCACTATGCGCTTTTAACAAAGTAAAAAAGTTATGAGCTATTTAGCCGTTGAGAAAAACAATCAAATAATGATGCAAAGATTCGGTGAAGACCCGGCGAAGAGATTGTGCTGTGCAACATTTCTTATGCTATTGCCAGGCGCTCGAAATACTATCACATAGAGACCATGGCGAGAAGGGCAAGTAAAGAAACCTATAAAGAGCTTGGCTCAGTACGAAAGAGGGCGGGTAGGAACCCTCCCCTTCCCCTCACCCCCTTCCTGGTATTCCGCGGTGGCAGCTCCGAGGGCAGGCGATACCGGGGCTGAGATTTCTGCGCGTAAGGCCTAGGGACGGCGCTCCTAGGTCCTTATTGTGAGATATATAAGTAGGCAAGAATGGGGTTAATTAATCAATTAAGCTTCGCGCAGCTGACCATTGCATACTTTCAGGGCCGAACACGGTGAATTTCTAGGCTTCTCGAGAAGTATCAAGAAGTCCTGCGGAACACCTCCCTCCAGTCAAACCTAGGATTAGCTAAATGACCCTCGGCTCCTCGACGGATAAGGCGAGGTAAGTAAGCAGAGTACAAAACCCGCGTTTATCCGCAAGGAAATGGGATCCTTGAGCAAGTTACTAATGGGGCGTTGAGGGAATTACAGTCATGTCCTAATCCCCCCTCGGCACAATGTATCAGCCTCGGAGTGAGGAAGATCGGTAAATGAACCATATGCCAGGCCTGTGGTTAGGCCAGGTCTTTCGGGCAAGATCTGTGATGTCTGGCTGTGAGATCTGTTGTGTAGTGGTAGCAAGGGCCAGTTGTTTAATTCATTAATTGCATGCAACCTTACAGTTATGGCAATAGCAAGGGCCGGTGAATACGGAGCCGGATTTAGTCTCGTACCCGTCACCTATGAGTAGCTAGCTGCTCGTCGTAGGGGCCAAGTTGCGTCTGGTACAGCTGGTATTATAATTATTAAGGCGAAGGCAGCGGGAAGTGCGCGTGTGTGTATTTGATGTACGAGTGATGCTCCATGATGCTCCAAAGTAAACTTCTGACGTGTGCTCCAGCTTGCTGGCTCGTGGAATTGGAACGGGCAGAGGAGCAGCACAGTATGTAGTATTGCAGGTACCGAACCTTATTTTGCCCTTGAGAACATTCCCTCAACCTGGTCAAAAATGTAGTTACCACTCTTGGCCTCCACCAAACTGGTACTTCCATCTTATTCCTCTGTCTTTCTGATTACTGATGAGTTAAATCTCTAGCTTTTAACCGTAGGTTTATTGACAAACACTCGCCAGGTATTGATCATTGCTGCCCCATGCCCAAGGATGTTTAACTATAAACGTAGTTATGCTCCGGTTGGTTTCCAAAAAATGCTGAGGGAAGGGAACAAGGTGTTACGTTTGGGTAAGTACTGCAGCCGGTAATGATCGACTTGGCTCCCCTGCATGCGTACCACTCCCATAAACTCCATTGCGCTGTCTCGCTGCATTGGATGGTGCGGCACCAGTTTAGCTCACGAGACTAAGTGGTTTCGCCTTTTTAGCTCGAGGCCACAAAACTTAAAGAGAAGTAGAACGAAGGGAAGAACTAAATCATATACTATCACTCGTCGATCGCATGTCTCGCTCTGTTGGATATTTGGCGTTTTAGGTGGTGTTGAACGAGTGCGGGTGTGGGTGCGGGTGAGCTGTCATGACGAAGAGCACTGGTGGTCGAACGGGTACGAGATGTCATGTCGAGACCTGTCCTTGACATGTCGAGATCTGTCCCTGTTCTGTCGAAGACAGCTGTTGAATGACAGCTATCTGGTCCGTGACTATATAGCTAGTCAGTTTTTTTGTCGAGATTAGAATCAAGTCACTTAACTGTCTCGTCCTCGTCCTACTTTTTCAACACGCTCGCAAGGTGGAACATGCGAAAGAGTGCATGGGAACCAAGACCAAAGATAAAACTTCTATCTACATGTGATTGTAAAGATTTCGAAGAGAGGTCTGGTTTTCTCTCTGCCCTACCTTACCGAATCATACTTCATGATTAGTGCCAAATCAGGCTCAATGAAATGCCGAACTAGCTAGTAATATTAATGCCGATATTTCTATGGGTTATTCACACCTAAAGACCACGCACTAGATACTCAAGCCTCCACACTGATATAGGATTATATGATTTATAGAATTATTATCAGCCAGCACTTGGTCGCTGAAGAGATATCGAAACTAAACGTTATAATTCTACAATCATTTGAGGCAATAGGTAGCAATCGTTGCAACCTTTAACTAAAGATAACCTAGGCTGTAGAATTCGCCTCGGCCGATCTATTTACACAACTGGTTATTCTATAGGTTCGGCTTTTGCTTCTTCCCGATACTTGATAGAATATGAAACTTCTATCTATCTGATTGTAAAGATCCCGAAGACAGGTCTAGTTTTCACTCTGCTCTAGTAATTGACCTCGTAGCTTGTTAGCGAACCATTCTGTTGACTGAGGCTACTGATGTATTGCACGTGTTGCAAGCCGATCTCATTAGAGTAAGGGTGCATTATGATCTGTTATACTCGGGCGTTCAGTAAAAGGTCGTGAAAGCAACCAAAGTTGAAGCAACACCATGAACTCACGAACCCATCCAAATGTAGCAATGACAACAAGAATCTTAATGAAATAGCAAATAGATACGCGATAAATTAACCTTGAAATAGATTTCCTCCCTTTTGTTGAAACATTGATTTAGTTGGACCGCGTCACGTCAACTTTGGTGTTCGCCCCGTTGCTTCCTTGGTTTCACGACCTTTTACTGAACGCCCGTGTATTGGTTGATCATAAATGCCCGTATATACTTGTAAACCTTTATCTAGAACTGTTCGGGCAACTAACCCAACGCACCACCTACGTCCCCATCACTACCGCAGTCCTCAGCAACAACTGAGCCATAGTGATTTCCCCCTCCATGTCACGTCAGTCATACAGGTGCGCTCATTATTACATGTAACCTAGTGCCTGGTATCCAAAGCTAATAATGACCCTTCCTCTTTCTGCAACTTTCTCTGGTCAACCAAGACCCAACAGCAAAATACTCATCCGTCTGGTACAAGAAACCCTCTCCAACCGTATCCTGAACCTTCACCTCCGGATCCACCTTCACAAGTTCAACGCCAAACTTTGTCAAAGTCTTATTCATCCCACTATCCAGCCCCGCAACCACGCCGACCGTAGTAGGCTCAAGCCACAGCGGGGGAAGATCGTTCGTCGAGTCCCCGAAAAACAAAACCCTGTCGGCCTCCTCCTTCTTTCCTCTTCTGTCCGCTTCAAATCGTGCCATAAGCTCAACCTTGTCCATACCAGTGTGCAACCTGGTTGGGAAGTCGAGCTTATTGGCCCTTACCATGCCGTCGGGCAGGATCTCAGAGCAGTAAATGGCAATGTCCTCAGCGAGGTCGGCTTTGAGCCATCTGCGCTCCTCTGCGGTAGCATTGGCACGCATCCTCTTCAGATCTTCGCGCAGAACCTGACGGATCCAGCGCACGCTCCAGTTAAGGGATGCGATGCGCGGGGTGATGTCGCACTCCAGGGATGACGCAATCATCTTCCAGAAGCCCTCGCGAATGGTGACCGCAGCGGCGGCCTTCTGGAGGATGGGGAATTGCATATATTCAAAGATACCAGACTCTGACACGCGGTCGAATGAGTCGGATTCGACTTTGCGGAGAGCGGGGGAGGAACGGTAGGCAATCTCTGCAGAGATATTGTCACGAGGCCCAAAGTTGTCGGCAAAGTCAAGATATTCGGCATAGTAGACATCGCCATAGTAGCTAAAAAAGTTTTCGGCGGGAGTCAGCTGACCGGTTTGGTTGATATCTTGGATTTGGGGGGGGGTTCAAATCACCTCCAGGGCGGGAATTGCGCTGCTTCTTCAGCGGTCATGGAATCGTACGCAGCAAGCGCCAATGTCTCGAAAGCCTCATTCGTCGCGATTGTTCCGTCAAAGTCGAGCCAGAGAAGAACTTCGCCATCTTTACCTGACGATAGTACCGGCTGGGCAAAGAGGGAGCTCGCGACGAGCAGGTAGATGGTCTTCAAGACCGGTAGTCTGATGAGCATCTTTGAAGGCTTTTCAGAGATCAAAAATGAGTGTTACAGAAAATTTCTTCGGGGATTATCAAGCACTATGTACTATTTATTTATACCCAGCTGGATACTCTGGTAGTGTGCGTTTTTAAAGCCACAATGGCCGAATCGAGTAATGGGGCACACGCACAACCAAACATCAAATTTCCACAAGTTCTGCATCGGGAAAAGAACTTTAGTTATTTTGACGTATCTTCCAGAAGTGGATAGTTCATGATGATACGATCGTTGACAAATAATGTCACCACTCCGGAGAACTCAGTTATTCGCAACAACGACTTTATGTCTTTAACTATTAGGGATCACAGCAGGCTATCTAATTAACCCAAGACGAGTGGCCGTTATGTATCTACACGGATGGGCAATGCTCCGCATGAGAACTTGATCATACCATATAGTGTTGGCACAATCCCGAAACCTCCAGCCTTCTAGAGTAGATGCTGCAACTTTCACGAATAATTAACTCCAAATCGCGGATGGATGAAAGCTATTAATTGGCCTACAGTCCATCTTACATGTAGTCTTGCTTATGTCAGCTACGGGCAGGGCTAGGTTTTAAGATAATAGATCTTGAGATCCCTACCAGTGCCATAAAGCCAAAAGAATCTCAGTCTTTTATTTCAAAGAGGACACGGAGAGTTACGGAGGCCCTGGACCAGGGACATTTGCGAAAGGACTGTGAGAAGTAAGGGAGTGGCATGATATACGAGCCCTTTACGGATTTCCCATTGAGAATACGCCTGTGCAGCAGACATAGTTAAGGCGGACCTCACACCAAAGAGTGAATATCACCTTCCAGGTTAGGCCTGTTTACTTGGTGTTGAGTACATGTACTTCTGCATCCTACTTGGGCCGCCCAGCTTGGGACTCAAAACACACCGCTACAAGTTGCACAGCGAGCTCTACGATAAGTACTTGTTATCTATCAGCTACATACGGGTAAATAATTGGTGCAGCTACATACGGATATGGTAGCGGTGCGGTGTTGACAAGAGGACTGTATATAGGGCACGTGCAATGCCATGCCGGCCGCGCCGGGCATCCCGAATTCAACACATACTGGTACAATAATCTCCAGGATCAAGGCCTAATGACGCCTCTGTTATCTCACCCATTCCCGCTCGCAAGCTACCAAACCAATTGCTCCGCCGCGTGCCTATCAAGGGTTTGAGAAGGCAGCACGTTTCCTTCCTTCCCCACCCGTACTACGTGCTCCAGCCGGGTAACCAGCTGGTACCCGGATGAACAGCTGAAACGTCGTTGCTACCCACCAACCCACCCCCAGTCAGCGTTCGAGCGAATTTAAGCATCCAGTCAGATCCCAACCCAACACACGCGACCTCTGGCAGGTTGAATGGACCAATCAGAGCTCGATCCTGAGCACGCCCTCCCCCAGCCATGGTAGAGACTCGATCGCAGCCTATCAGTTTCCCCACGGGCACGCGACACTCGCCTCACCCCTTTCAAACTGTAGAGGGCTGGCCGGTATGGGGGCAGCTAGCTAGGGTAGAACGGCGCTGCTGCAATTGCGTGTGGTTCTGTCACTTTTTTCTCATGGACGAAAAAGAACGATGGCCCATAAAGCTGCAACATGTGCTCTACGTCGATATACGTACTCTCTACATAGTTGAAATGTCCAAATAGTCCAACCAGATTCATACTCTGTTCCTCCTTGAGCATCTTTGGGTTTCCCCGGCCCTCGGATTGACAATGTACACATATAAAGTGCATAACATAATTGTCCCACAAAAGGCCTACCTAATTGGAAGTTTGGCATACCATTAGACTCCGTCGTCGTATCGAGCGAGCGAAGGCATCCTCCCCCCCCCCTCCAAAAAGAAAAAGGCTCTGGGCATGTGTGTGTGCGTGTGTGCGTGTGTGCGTGTGTCGAGTAACCCGAGTTGCTGATGAATTACCTACATACCTGTCCGGATTTTCCCCGTGATTTTGGTGCTCGGTATATTTATTTCGGACGGACCAGTGGTGATGGGTACGTGCCTCTCGTGCCTGTATGTATGCATCGGAGGCCAAAAAAGCTTGTACCGTACATGTGGGGGAAGGGTGGGAAAAGAGTTGGGACTTTAGAGTAGAGAGAAAAAAAGGTGGGAAGACCTAGGGGGGATATTAATAAACCCCTCGTATCTCCCACTCTCCCGTGGTGGCTTTTCCTTTTCACGTTCCTTCCTTCTTTCCCTTCCTCTCAGTCTCACACTCCCTCACTCTCACTCCCCTTCCATTCTACATACCACTGCCAACCAACCACGGCATATATACGCGTATATACGCATATATACTTCTGTGTTTTTCTTTTACCCACCTCCCCACCGCACCCTCCATCCAACCACGGCCACGGCCACCAACCCAGCCCGCACCACAGCAATATCAACCATCACCACTAACCACTAACCACCACCACCGTGGCACCCACCACACCTCCAAGCACCATGCCCCGCCCCATCCTCCCCCCAACACCCCAATCATCGCTCGACCTGCCGCCAAAGCTCCCGCCTAGCCTCTCGTCCCTCGAGCTCGCATTCACGCTGCCCCCGCCCGCTCTAGGCTCAAAAGATGTCTCTTCCACCACTACCTCTACCACCGCCGCCTCAGCCTCCTCCGCCGCCGCCGTAGCTACGACACCGCCGACATCCTCGCCGCCACCAAAGAAGCGTCGGAGAGCAACGCTGGACGGGCAGAAGAAGAAGACGCAGCAGCAGCAGCAGCAACAGGTGGACACAATCACGCTACCGCCGCCGCCGACACGGAATAGGAAGATTATACAGATGAAGCCTGCCGCGGCTGCGTCCAGCGGCGGTGGTAGCGGCGGTGGTGGGGATTCGAAGTCGGCGTCATCGTCGGCGGGGGCGAAGGGTGGGAGGAAGGGTGCTGCGAAGGATAGTGGGAAGGGAGGTGCAGGAGCAGGGGGAGGGGGAGGAGAGGAGGGGGGGAAGGAGGGGGGGAAGGAGGGGGGGAAGGCGACGACGGCGGTGGGCAGGAAGATTGCGAGGAAGACGGCGCATAGTCTGATTGAGCGCCGGCGGAGGTTTAAGATGAATGAGGAGTTTGGAGTGCTGAAGGGAATGATTCCGGCGTGTAATGGGGTGGAGATGCATAAGCTTGCGATTCTTCAGGTGGGTTTTTTAATTTATTTTAGGGGATTTTGGTGGGGGTGGTGGTGATAATTATTACCGCTTTTTTTATTATTTCTTTTATTTCACTTTTTTTTTCTTTCACTTTTTTTACTTTTTGGTTTTATAATTGTTTGGCTCTTTGTTCAGTTTCTAGTTTTTTGTACAACCCCCAATACTTAGAAACCGTGGTTTCGAGCATACCCGGCTGACACATTTCACCCCCCCATGCACAGGCAAGCATCGAGTACCTCAAATACCTCGAGCAATGCGTCGCCGACCTCAAAGCATCCAACAGCGCGGCAACGCACAAGAACAAAGTGCCCACACTGCCGCCCGGCGGCTACAGCGATGACAACGACGACGAGGACGACGACGAGGATGCTGATGACGCAGAGGACGGCGCGAACGAGGTGAATGATGAGGATATGGCGGACATGGAGGAGGTGCCTGTAGCTGGGACGTCATGCAATACGGAAGTGCAGCCAACCAGCACCGCTACTGCTGCTACTGCTACATCTACGGCTGCAAGCTACTACCCAGCATCGGAACACGCATCGCCGTATCTGGGCTGCACAAACGCGCACGAGTACTCGCCCAGGTCGACATCGCAGTTCTCGCTCTCCAACTCGACACCCACACCCACCAGCTACACACCCTCACACTCACAGTCACAGCCACAGCCACAGCAGCTCCCCCAGCCACACATCATGTCTGCGCACCCCTCGCCCACGCTCTACCCCCGCTCCTCCGTCACCGGCGGTGGCCGCGCATCGATAGCGCCCTCGCCAAACCTGTTCCCGCAACCCTCGCCGGGCCTGTATCCGCTGTCTGCGTCAGCCGCCACATCGCCGAACTTGTTCCCGCAGCTGGCGTCGCCGGGGCTGTTTCCGAAGGGATATTCGCTCGCTGATCAGGTGGATACTGAGGCGACACATGCGCTGCTGCTGCTGGCGGATGGGAGTAGACGGGATAGTGAGATTGCGGGTGTGGGTGCGGGGAGTAGTAGTAGGCAGGGTAGTGGTGGTGGTGGTGGTGGTGGTGGTGGTGGTGGTGTAATACCAGAGAAGAAGGGGCGGGGGATGAGTGTGATGGATCTGCTCAGTTCGTGATTCTCTTTTTTTCTTCTGTTTTTTAAATTTGGGAGGTATGGTTTATTGTGAATGGCGGCGGCGGCCGGGGCGGGGAGGCGTTTTTTGTGATATGTTTTTTTTTATAGTTTTTTTTTGTCTATTTTTTCTTTTTCTTTGAGTATTTCGATTTATTTAGTTTTTATTAAATCTGGATGGGCCGGGCCGGGTTTGGTGGCCTGGGTTTACTACATAGGTGGGATTGGATCGGTGCCCCATGTGGGATCGAAGGGGGCTTTCATGAGAACCAAAAAAGTTATTTCTTCTTTCTTCCTTTATTTCTTTGCCTGCATGTCACGCGGGGGGGGGGGGGGGGGGTGATGGGATGGGCCGGACGGGAGTCAGTATATCTTGTAATTTGTGCCACAAAATTCCATTCAAGGCCAGTCTCCTACTAAGCTAGCTAGAGTAGTTGGCGGGGGAGATCTCGGCTTGATCCTCATCTGTAACTTTGTTCAGGATCGAGCATGTGTAGGGGGAAAAAGCATGTATGTACCGTTACCGCACTCTGCTACATACTCACCCCGGTATTCTTTTTGCTCGTTTTTATTTGCTTTTTATACAAAGCCTTCGATCAAACGTGCAATGAGCTAGAGGTACTCTACTAGCGTCCGCCGGTCTCTGCCATCTGGAGCTTCCCGTATATCATTTCCGGGGAGTGGGAGGAGTACGTACCTAGTGTAACTATGTACCGGCGGTATTTGAGTACGTGCTCTTTTAGAGTACTCGGGGTAGGCTATCAGTATCAGAAGACTAAACTAACCATTGACGGACTGCTCTACTCTAGAGTACATGTGATGTAGAGAAAAAGCATCTCATAGGCACATCATCCGTACCGCGCACACCGCATCTCGGGAAAATACGGGCGATCGGAACCCCCCCCTTTCCTCCGGTCACTGGAGGGAGAATTCCGAGAGTCGTTGTCAAAGGTATTGCAGTTTGTCGTTTGGATTCTTCCTCCATGGCTAATTATGGCCAGCCAGTTTTTTTTTTTTAGGAAAAAACCTCCTGCACAATAGTTTGACTTGGAGGGACGCCGCATCGTGGCGCGACTGCCCAGCGGTTGAATCCGTGGTATTGGTATTGGTAATGATTGGGTATGCGATGAGAGATGGGCGGGCAAGTGGTCCGGGGGGATATAAAAGATTGTTTTCTAGTTATTCCAAATCATCGGCTTGTTCCTCAGCATCAGCAAAACAAAACAAAACAAAAAAACAGAAAAAAAAACCTAGCGGCATTGGTTAGCACTCGATCTATGCGCGGATGTGAAACATGCGAGGTGAGGTACTTACTAGAAGATGTGGGTCACAACCCATCACTCGACCCTCTATTACTCTGCTACTGACCCTATTCCGGTTAGGTCATCTGCATGTAGAATTGAGTGTACTCGTTTACGAGTAGTATCATGTATCTAACTCCAGCGCGCAAGAGAGAAAAAAAAAAGTTTTCTTTATGCAGCAGCAGTTGTGCGACCGTGTGAGCTGGCGAAAACATTTTTCCTCCGCTTTTTTTTTTCCCCTTCTCTCCCGGGGCTTGTATCCTGCTGTAGCAGAGTAACTTAGAGGTCACAAGTGAGTGGTGGTGTGGTGTAAGGGTTGCCCTGATTTTGCCGGTTGGATGTGGATGCGGATGCAGCAGGGTTGGATGACCGCAGACGATGGTAGCTCCAGGTAGGTACCGGATGCGGTAGAGTGCTGGAAGCGGTACCCAGCACATGTATGCCCCAAAGATACAAGAAGAGGGTTGGAATTCAGAGGCCGGAATGATGTCTTCTTGCATGGCCGTGGCCGGCTGGGTGAGATTAATATATAGATGACTTCGGTCACGTGCATTGTGGCTTCCTTCGGGAGTGGGGGTACGGAAGGACGGAAGGAAATAAGGAAGGGAGGGAGGCTCTCTATAAGCTTCCTCTCATGCACCCCGCTGCGTCGGCGTGCAGGTACGCAATTGATGTCTTGTACGATGGCGCACGGGATGCGGTGGGAGGTGAGACGTACTCTTGTTTGCTCTGCTCGTGCGACTTTGGACGAATTGAGTGTTGGTGTAGTGTAGTAATAAACTATATTTACTCAGCTACGTCGGCGGATGCGGTCTGTTTGATACATATTGACCATGCAATTCGGACCTGTACAACGGCCAGCTAGATAGCTATCCGTGATCACGAACATGGCCTGGAATCTTCAATAGCGTAATCAGCGCTATATATAATGAGGAGGGGTGTGATCGAAATACCCTTTCATGGCAGGCTGGCTGTTTGGCCGGCCACCAAGTTCTGGAAGTGATGGAAGGGATAAATTGCAACTAATGCCTATCCAGAGTTATAAAGAATCAATACGAGATCAGTGATCATGACAGCAGGTACATCGACTTTAACGAACGGGATGGGAGCTGGTTTAGATCTTCATACCTGTAGCTGGTGAATCACACTCTGCATCACTGGCTTATTTCTAGCCTAACATCACCTCCGTGCGTTCTTAAGAGCTCCAAACAAGATGTCTGTGTGCTCGTAGTCGCTTGCTAGATTCCCATTTTCGGTCCTTTATAGGGGGATCCTCAGCTTCCGGAGCTTGAATGACTCTGCCACAGTTTTGATAGCTGGCTCATGTAGGATCAGGTATTTTGATGGAAGCATGAATAATAGATGATAATCCTATGAGGAGGTTCGGAGGCAATTTCCTTAAATGCTCCATTGCACTATATATATCTGGCTTCACTAGCTTAATTAAAGCCACGGCGCTTTCAATATTTTTATCAACGCGACACCTATTGTATACGGATGTATAATACAGCGTGTACTGAAGCCTCCCTACACTGGCTACATATCTAGCACTAGAGGTCAGTATCAATGCTGTCTATATGTGGATATACATGTGTTTAACAGCTTACGGTCAACCTCGGATCCCCAATAAACATTGATACTCGACGAACCAACAGACATCTTTACAGTATCCGCCAATAGCCACCAATTTCTGACGCCGGCATCTACGACGAGAAGCAGGGTCTATTGAAGGTACCGCCAAATCGTAGCTCCGTTTTGTCCCCATTAATTGTGGTAGTGGTAATGGTAGAAGATTGCGTTTGGAAGTTCTGTTAATGAGCTAGCCAATATGTAGACCAAGCTAGTATTCAGAATGTGGTGCCCCAGGTTTGATAGTCTGGGCTCGTATATATATACAGCCTAGGCTTAGTTAGCTTTTGTTTTTTACTGGTGTATATATTCGCCTCTAGCCTCCTATCCTTTGTCTTCTTTGTGTGGTTCTGGCATGCACGTGTTTCATGAATTTGGATTGAATATTGGCGTCCAAAGTAGATGTATAAGCCTATATATCTGGTCTGATATGTTCGCTAAGGCAACCCATGAGGCTACAAGTACCGAGATGTTCAGGCCGGCAATTGCTGGCGCGGCCCCACCCCATCCTCTATCCCTCACAACACCAAAAAAACGACCACAGCACAGCACAGCCCATCCCACATCAACCTCTCATGAACATATTCAGCCAACGCAATACAGTATTATGTTAAGCTTAACAGCCAGGTCGAGCTTCCTTTCCTGTCTTTCCCGGCCGGCCCTTCTGGTGGCCGAGTGATCACCTGTGAAGGAGAAAAGCGTGGGGGCTAGAGCTAGATATATGGGCGCCTAAAAACACCTAAATCTCTATATTCCCTACAACCTGTATCTTTTCTAGCTATGGAGTAGTAGCAGCAGTAGCAGCAGCAGCAGCAGTACTGCTTTATCTACATCACATGTCTCGACACACGAGCCACAGACCGCGCAGCTACCCCAATATAATATCGCTGCATGCAACTGTCTGGGCCGCCGTGGTGCATTACCTCCCCCTGACAATGAGTTCTGAGGCTAGCTATCTGCCTGTGTAGAGTACCCAGGGGGCCCTGCAACGGACATTTAGTTTTTCTTCTTTTTCGGGCCGACGTATGTAGATACCATGGTACGGGCCTCATCTCATACCATGCTGCTGCTCCATGCCGCTGGCCATGGAGCTAGGGAAAAAGTAATGACAAGTGGTGAGATTTTTCGATGGCAGATGTCGAAGCAGATACATATAATATTTGCAATTTTAGGGCTGGGTAGGACATTGTAAAGCGCGGCGCGGCGGGGCGCCATAGAGTTTTCATGCGCAGAACCAAAACCCTCAATGGGTAGAACACGAACCATCACTCTACCATCCCTCACCAATTCCTGACCTCCAACTATCTCGACCTCCCCCCTCCCCCCTCCCCCCTCCCCTCCACGGATCCACCCAATGTCTCAACCCCCCCCCCCCCTAGCCTCCCCCGCAACCGGCCCGCGCTGTACTGTCATATCATGTCTGTCGGATTCAAAAGCCAGCCAGGCAGGCAGATTCCGAACCGGGCCAGCGATCTCAGGTAGAGAGCTGTCTGATCTGCCTGCCTCCTCGCCCTTCATTGGGCGCGCCGATCGGATCCGGTCCCCGCGCGATGGGATCGGTATCTGGGGTTGGCGCGCGCGGAGATCGGTGGAAGTGCAAGTGGAATTGGGGGGGGGGGGGGGGGTGCACTGGTCATGAGGGTCTGGTGGGTATGCTGCCAGCAGAGGTTTAAAACGGCGGTTCACTGAGTGCAGCTGGATCTGGATCTGGATCTGGGATGAGGATTGGATGGAGGATATATATATACGGTAGGTAGCTATAGCTATAGCTAGCTATATAATATGGGCACTGATAGCTTCCTGTGCCGCTTTGATCATTTGAAGTTTTCAGTTGTGATATTAGGCTCGTGGTGTCGGCGCAGAACTACGTGTAGCTAGCTAGCTATGGCAGTTAATACAGGTTTATCCTATAGCTACCTATTACCTACTCCACCACCACCAGGGCCGTCGACCCACCAACACAATACGTACAGCGCAGTCTCTAGCTCTTCCATCACACCGTAAAGTAAGTAAACCTCCGGAACCAGAATTAACCGGCCTCGTAGCTAGGGCTACCCCAATTACATAAATACACGCGCGGTCTACTCTAGATGACAGTAGATATGGCGGGTGCTGGGGGGATGAGACGTGCGGGTTATTGTGTGGTACTGTCGATAGCTATATCCGCGGAGCGGTGGTGGTGGTGGTTGTGAGCTAGCCAGCTGAGGTCGTTTTTACTCTAGTTTATCTATCCGAGGACCCAAATATATCTGGATAGATGCGCATAGCTATGGGAGACGGAGGAAATTATATCTTAGGGTATATAAGTGAAGTCCCCGCAATTAAGCCAGCCCGATCCCCGCCGGGCGAGCCAAGCCCACCACGGGCATGCACCAGCGGTGAGGGTTAGGGGTCGGCGTATATAGCCAGGGGGTAATGACCACTGGGAGAGTTAATATATTTGAATAACGCATTCTATTATAACAGTACCGCACAAACCACGGTTTTTTACTAATTACCCGGGGAAGATGTTGGCAATGATCGGTTTTACAAGAAAAATTGGGAGAGCGCGGCAATTACAATATTTACAATTAAATCAAGCAATCTCTAAGTCCCGCGCTCTCTCAGTTTTGTCAGCGCGTCCATAACGCCTGACACAGCGCCTTCATCATCATCAGGTGCAGCTTCGGCAGGTCCATCTACCTCCTTGCCCTTGCCCTTGCCCTTCCTCATTTCGAGCTCCTTCTCCCTCCTCCGCTCCTCCGCCTCCATCTCCGCCACGGCCATCAACGCCTCCTCATCATCCTCCACCACCCACTGCTCCATCTCCATCTCCTTCTCCTTCTCCCCCCCCACCCCCCCATCCCCCACCTCCTCCACCCCCCAATCCCCAACTTCGCCCCCACCCTCGCCTCCACCCTCCTCCTCCGTCTCTCTGCCACCCCCTCGCCTCCCTCGACTTCATCGCCCCACCCCCGCACCCCTCCTAAACGGCGCCCCCACAGCCTTCTCCCACCTCTCCACCTTCCTCTGCCCCCACCCCTGCACCATCACCACTTCTTCTCCTTGCGCATTCACCGCGCCCCTCACGGTGCCAAAATTGCTCACCAGCGCCACGGCGTCCGTCCGATTCACGCTGCGCACCTGCGTCAGCACCTCGACCACGCGTGTCGCCGGGTCGTCGGACGCCCGCTCCATGATCGCCGCGGGCGAGGCGTGCTCGTACATTTTGTAGGTCTCGAGGTAGCGCCCGGCTTCGGGGGCCGACCAGGAGAGGAGCAGCGTGAGGTTGTGTAGGAGGCAGGTGCGGGTGAGTTCGCGCAGGGGTCAGCGTGGGTGTCGATGTCGACGAGGACGAGGAGGAGGCGGAGGGTGTGGGTGTTGGTGAGGGGCTTGAGGCGTGTGTAGAGGTACTCGGGGTGGAGGCCTGGAGGGGGTTAGTAGGTGGTAGGAAGGGTAATGGTAATGGCAATGATAGATGATAGATGATTTGACTGGTGGGGTTGGAGTAAGAGACGGGGGAGGGGAGGGGAGGGGGGAGAGAGAGCGTACGGTGGTATTTAAGACTGAGGAAGAGGGCACAGGCGCTGGCGCCAACGAGGTAGTCGGGGACTATGTCGCCGTATTCCCAGGGGACGTTCTTTATGTATGTGAGGATTGGGTTTCCTTTCTGTTTTTTCTCCCCTGAGTTAGATATATGCCATCTGAATATAACTACATGTAGCTACAGCTATAGCTATAGTTGGTATCATACCTGTCGAGTGTTGACGATGATTGAGGACCCAGCGGGTCGTAGCTTCTGCGGTACGGGCTGCTGTATGGGGGGTTGGCTACAGCTGGGGCGGGCCGCTGTGGAGGTGCGGGGGGTGCGGGGGCTGCTGTGGGGCGGGCTTGTGCGCGTTCGGCGGCCTCGAGGGCAGCGGCGAGGTCGGCGTCGTGGGCATCGCCGTAGTCGTTGTCCATTGCAATTGTGGGGGTGGGAGCTTGGGGGTTTAGATATATAGATAGGGTATTTAGAGTATTTTATTTAACCTTTTCTATTAGTATTAATTGTTTATATATTAATATCGGACGATACGGCAGAAAACGTGGATCATTGACTGAGAGGTCTTTGTGGGTTGCGGTAGCTGCGCGCTGGCTGATTGGTCGGGCACGCACTAACTGCTTGTAGCTGTGGGGCGAGATGTCATCATTGACGTCGTTGTCGTTGCTGGGACGAGTGTCGGCAGCTACCGAGCGAGCGAGGGAGCGAGCGAGTGAGTGAGGCGAGGAGCGAGGAAGAAGCAGAAGAAGCAGAAGAAGAGCACAGCCTTCTATTTTAGACACAGGCAGGCAGAGCAGGGCAGCAGCAGGGCAGTAAGAGGATCGAAGGGCAGCAGAGGCGGAGGCAGGTATGATGTATCACCGCTGCTCGATGATATATCTGCAGCAGAAGAAAGAGGAAGTGAAAAAAGAAGCAACGATCATGTTCCAGGCACCCCTCGCCCTCTCGCTCCGTCCTTCCCTTCTTTCCTTCCCCGGCACCCATCCGTCCACACATCCACACATCCCACATCCCATCGATCCCTCCCTCTCCCACTCATCCATCCAACCCTCTTTCTTGGTCTGCAGGTTCCCTTTCGCACCACCCACCACCCACCACCCCTTCTGAGAATCTTCCCCTTGACTTTGCCATCCCTCCCGCGACAGCCAGACAGCCAGACAGCCGGCCAGCCAGATCGGACGTACTAGCACGGTCTAGCCATGCCATGTATCTGGCAGCCCTTTTTCTGTTTCTCTCCCTACATACTCTAGCTCCATACCTGGTCTGGAGCGAAGCGAGGGAGGGAGGGACTCACTCACTCACTCACCCTCTCGTATGATGGGGAAAATTAAAAAAGGTTTGTTCTATTCGGTCGCGCTGTACCTGCCCTACCACCTTGATACCCACCGCCCTACACTTCCTATCTAGGCGCTCGCTGGAGGGATGTGATGTGGTGTGTGTGGCCTGCCTGGGCTGCCTGGCCCTGGCTCAACTCTGCCACGGTCGGTACTCTACCGGTGGTCCAGGGCGTCACCCCCGTAACCTGCGTGTACAAATTGTGGAGCCCGTAGATTATACCCTGATTCAACCATCATGTAGAGTAGATTGCGACCCTCTCTACACATCACATACAGACCAGACCTGCCTGCCTGCCTGCTGGCGGCCACTGCATGATGGATGGGTTTCCATCCATCATCCAGCAAGGAAAAAAAAAAGTGGAAGAAAAAAAAAATTGCCATGATACTCTTCCTCTACACCTCCCCCCCTCCCCTCCCTCCCACCTCCCCCTTGCTTGCGTGACCCGCATATGGGGGGCGTGTGAGTCTGGTTCGCCGCATTTTTATTTTTCTGGGGGGAGGGGGGGTCGCGCGCCCGTCATCAATCATTGCGGGCTGTTTCATCGAAAGAAAGAAAGAAAGAGAAATAGAAATAGAAGCTAGGTAGGTACTGTGTGTGCTACATGGCAGGAGTTTGTTGCGCACAGCGCGTGTGAGGGATGGAGAGGTCTAGATGTCATAGCTGATACTATTTATCGCGGAGAGAGATCTAGGCTTGAGGGAACAGAACAGATAGATAGAATAGAACGAAGTCGCCATCCCACCCTGGGCGGGTGTGGTTGAAAACGGGGAGCGTCGGTTATGGCTGACGGGGGGGGGGGGGGGGGGGGGGGGAGTAGGTACCGTAACTCTCCCACACACCGCAGAGCTGTAGAACTGTAGAAGGTAAATACATGTATGCAGTACAATTGGGCCCAGCCAGCTCGGGGGTGAGCGCAGGGCGGCCGTCTGGGGGAATTGTATGTTTGGCACCTCTCTCTATGTACCTGCGAGGGATAGATAGAATGGAATTAAAGTCGAGAAGTATGGAGGAGAAGGGAGAGGCGCGCACACTCACCCACTCGGTGAATCTTCACACACCACCACCACCACCTCCTCCTCCTCCAGCTTCTTTCATTCCTTCCACACACCTGTCTGCCTGTCTGTCTGTCTGTCTGTCCGTCCGGGGTTGTTGCATCCACGCCCACAACCCACCCATCCACCCACACCCAGCGAGCGCCCACCACCACCCCATCCCGTCGCTGTGTCTGTCTGTCTGACCCTTACCCACAAAATTTCCAAGGTCCCAGTCAGTCCTGCGTGGAACGGACGGACCTGCTACCTACTACAGTCTACCACCTAACCTACATACCACCACCTACCTGCTACCTGCCTGCTTTTACTTTTACTTACATACTCTACGCTCTCTCTCACTCACTCACTCTCATTCTTTTCTTTCTCACTTACTCTCCCCTCCCCTCCTCCTCCTCCCCTCTCCCCAGAAAATTAATCCCCACGAAGAAGAAAAAACGACAGTACGCTCCGTCGTTCACTCTCTCTCTCTCGTATATACGACACAGTAAAAATCCGGAGTACCCCCCTCCCTCCCCTCCACCCCCATCCCCCATTACCGGTCAAGGATCAATCGGTCTCGGAGTATTTGCCACGGCCCCCCCCCCATCCAGCCAGCCCATACATCCATCGCCGCCTAAAGCCCACAACCACCGCTACCAACCACCACCACCATCCCCACAACCGCAACCGCAGCCGCAACCAGCTGGAAAATAACAATTTTAAAAAAATATAGCTATCTACGGCAGGAAAAAAAAAATTACAAAGTAGGAATTAGGGGGAATTGCGTAGGAATTAGGATATCAGGGATAAAGGGAGGAAGCAGAAGCAGAAGAAGAAGCAGAAAAGAGGGAAGGTCGGCCCCTGTAGTTGTTGTTGAGCAGAAGAGACGAGAAGAAAGCTAGTAGTTGGGGAAAAAAGAAGGGCTGGTTAGGTCATAGGGAAATAGAAAATAGGATAGGGAAAACGGGCTTCATCGGATAGCAAAGCAACCTACCTGCCTAGCTCCTCCTCCAACCCCCCCCCCCCCCCCCTCCCTCTCCCCACTCCCTCTCTACCCGCGCAAGATCGTGCTACTTCCCCCCCCAAACTCTCTCTCTCACTCACCCAATCACCCATCTCTATCTCTACACCCCGTAATAGGAGCCTGTGGAGACGAGATTCTTCTACATACATACATACCTCAGTACCTACTAGATACCTACTACATACCTACTAGAAGCGGTCAGACAAGACAAGACAGACGATTCCAACGCCGATCTCTTTTTTTTTTTAGGCCGTGAATTAATTTCCTTTTTCTTTCTTCAAGTACCTTTTTCCTGGGAAGGGGGCGGAAGATTATATATCGCTAGATCATCTCTCTCCTCTCATTAAGGGCACTTCCTGGTTTCTTCTTCTTTCTCTTTCTTTTACCTTCTTTCTATTTCTCTCTCTGATAGAAAAAAAGGGCACTTGTTTCGAAACGGTCGGAAGGGGGAAAAAGAGGGAAAGAAAAAAAGGGTTTCGACATCATCGCCCATCGACGCGAACCATCATCACCTAGCAACGATCCACACGCTCTACGATCGGCATTAAGCAGCAGCAGCAGCAGCATCAGCAGCGGCAGCAGCATTTCACGACCAACGTTTTTTTTCTTTCCATCAAGGGTTGATTTCTCTTTTCCACGGGGATCTCAAAGGAATTCTTCTAATAACGACCTTCTATTTATTTATTTTTTTAAGGGTGGGAAAAAAAGAAGAGGAGGAATTAACTAATTATTCTATTTCTCTCTCTCTGCCGTTGTTGATCACTATCACATTCTCTTCCCGTTTTCTGATTGATTGACGCCTTTCCACCGTCAGTCAACCAAGGAAAGAGAAAAGAAAAAGAACCGCCAAAATCAGTTCTTCTTCGTCGTCACAGACACCTCCCCCGACACCGTCGTCGCGTATGACAACCCTCTATTCCCACAACCACCACCACCCTCATCCTCCGCCTCCCCTGGAACACCAGCAGCAGCAGCAGCAGCAGCAGCAGCAGCAACATCAGCAGCAGCAGCACCACCACCACCACCAGCCTACCACTCCTCTGTCCCCCCCTTTCTACATGTCCGCCGCCAACCATGCTGGCTCAAGCAACACCACTTCCTCTTCCACCAACAACACTTCGTCTTCATCATCCTCCACAACCGTGCCCACAACAACCACAAAGTACCACTCGTCGGTAGCCGCGGGCGTCTCACCGCCACACTCGTCTCCGCTGCTGAACAACGCCTCGTTCAACTCTTCATCCTCCTCCTCCTCCACCACCACCATCACCACCATCTCCTCCTCCTCCTCCTCCTCCCTCCCAAACAACATGTCGCGGCAGCAGCAGCATCATCAGCACCATCACCAACAACAACCCACGTCGTCGATGTCGTCCACAGCCACAACAACATCGACAACAGCACCAAATTCCACGCTCCTCACGCCGACAAGCTCGGCTGCGGGCACGGTGCCCCCAACCACGTCGCACGAGGACACCGACGGCGACACCAACATGGAGGAGGACGATGAAAAGTCCCACAAAAGGCGGCGGACAAGCAGCAGCCCTTACGACAGGAACGCACCCACCACCGCTCCCGCTCTCCGCTACAGGAATTCAATGTCGCAGGGATACATGCCCGATGCATCTCCCCCCATACCGAGCGAGCATGAGGTCCTCTCTCAGCCAGATGTGTCAACATACTATTTAGTCTGCCCGAAACGTTGGTTAACCCTTCCCCCCTCCCCTTCCCTCTTTCCCTTCTACTCCCCTCCCCCCGTCGCGGTAGGTGTGGTAAAAAAAAATGCAATGAAAATTCGATAAAAAAAATAGGCAGAATCAAGAGAAAATGAGGGTTAACACGCAACAGCGCATGAACCTTCCTACCCAGACCTTACAGATAACCTGCTAGCCCTCTATGGCCTGCGACCGATCGCCGACTCAGTGGCCCGGTTCAATCCGGCGACGGGCGTGAAGAACAAGCTGCGGAAGAGCTACAAGGGCTTCATCAATGACCTCCCGGGCAAGAACATTGTCGTCACCAAGGC